ACATGCGGGCGAGGAGGAGAGAAGAGGAAGAAAGGAGAAAAAAAGAAAAAAAGGAGGAAAAAGAAAATAACCTGGCACGTACACGCTGGGCAAGTGAAGCAACAGAATACGGCAAAGTCTGAGGAAATATACAAGTAACATGCAGGACCGACCGGGGTCTGGTCTGGTTAGCGTCGTGCTAGCCTTTTTCGGAGAATTGAATCCTTGCCATGGTGCTAGATGATTGGCTGGGATATCCCCAGGGGAGCCGTTGAGGATGTATCAGATCTGTTTCGCACCTGCCCGAGGGGAAAATAAGTATATTGAAATCATGAATCAATACATCAATCAGTAGATTTTTTTTTTTTTAAATTTTTTTTTTTTTAGAAAAAAACATGACATGACTGCCATCATTCGCACATTCACATCCTAAACGCGACTCTCAGAGGACCACTCTCCCCCTCCCCCTCCCCGCTCCGACTCCTACGACTGCCCACTCTACTTGTACGAGAGAGAGAGAGAGCATGCAGATAGTCGGGGATGCGTACATGTACGGGGGTGATATGATGACGATATGACAACACCCCCTCGAGGGCTGAAGATGAAACGGCTTACCCTGAGGCTCGATGACACGGGAGAGATCCGTACAGTCTGCCTCGGATATCCGACTCGGAATATCCAGCAAGGCTGTCACGACCGCAACATACACTGACCGAGTCCGAGTCTCTGGCTACATATACCCGTATACGTGTGATACATGTATTGCCCGTACGGGTATATCAGCAAGAGATGATTCATCACTCGTCGAGACGCCACGGCGCGGTAACCCATCATTCGCCCCGACAGCCCTCCACTGCGCAACTAGGCCACCTCGTACTCGGATCATACGACCTATACCGACAGCCTTGCCTGTCCACCCTCCTCTGATCTCTCGACACACGGCGTAACACACTACATCCGAGTATCTGTATCTGTACCCGTGCAGGGGGGGGGGGGGGGCGAGAGAGAGTACGGATATACTGGATACTGGGTGTATGTATTTTTGGAACGCGATTAACCGACATAGATACCCTCTTTGGGAAGAGACAGAGAGAGAGGCTGTCATCATTCTCTCCGTGAGCGCCACCGTCCACTGACGTCTACTACCATATCTGTATATACTACTCCAAGGTAATATAGTAATATAGTAACATGGTAATATATCGTAATATATCATGCGCACCATCCATCCATCCCTCCCCCCTCCCCCCCCCCGTCATTACCATTTTGAGTATTGTATAGCCGTTCTGCCCCCTCCCAAGCCCCCAGCCCCATCTACGACTTACGGCTATACTTACTAGTAGTAATATTACTGAAAGGATAGGATCAACGGGTACCAACCCCAATTCGACCTCGTCACGGCGCGTGCCGTCACGGCCACACCGGATGCGAAGAGAGAGAGATACAGAGAGTCAACATTTTTCTCTCTCTTTTTTTTTTGGAATCATAGAGACGTGAGAGCAGAGTCATCATAATCTTGCACGAACTGCTTCCCTGTCGCACGTATTACCGTCATCACTCCCGTATAGATTAACAGAAGACTGTTATTATTGTACTCCAGAGTTGAAGTCTAGAATCTGGCCTCCCCGGTCAGGTGATTGCTCGCATGGAAATCGTAGGGTCCAGGGGAGGAGAGGAAAAAAAAGAGGTGTCGAGGTGGGGGGGACTCCCGAGGGGGGGGGACCGTAATATCGTTCCCCTTGCTCTCGGTCTCTCTCTCTCTGTGTACGACTCTACGAGTATTACCATCCCGGCTCATCTCTCCTTCTCCGTCCCGACTCTACAATAATACATGATGTATAGGTCCAGTAATACAAGGCATCATTATCCGTACCCGTACCCTTGCTCTGCTCGTGAGCATCAATCCAAGCAAATGACTGGGTATATCGGGTTGTAGCAGTGATACAAGGTAATAGTAATAGTAATAGCAGCAGCAGCAGCAGCAGCAGCAGCAATCTGTAGTCTCAGTCATAATAGTAGCCTTATCGGCATACCCCATCGGCATATCTGTCACTCTTTCCATCCAAGACTTGCAGAGAAATCGTTATTCTCCCGTGCGTAATACCCGGGGACTTTATATATATCAATACACAATACACCCTCACCCAAGGTAGAATAGATTGAAACGAGAAAGGGGGGGGGATCTCGATGTTATTCGATGTGTGCGTGTGATGATTCAAAAGACGGGCACCGCCTTTCAGGTCACAGAGATTTTCTGAGTACACCAAGAACAAATTTTCTCTCTCTCTCTCTCTCTCTCTCGCGTAGTGGATGCCAACGTTTCAAGGGTTGGGAGGAGACGGAAAAGGGGGGGATCCTTGTCCGGCCCGGGGTGGGGGAGAGGTAAGGGGCCAGTTTTCTCTTCTTTTTCTCTCTCTTCAACTCGGCTGGCTCGCCCTGACTTGCTTCAAGGGGGGGCAGGCGAGAGGAACTGCCGAGTAACGGGGCTGATTGTTGAGTGGGAAACTCTTCGACAGCCTCTGTACCGTTTCTGTCTGACATGGTGACGGGAAAGGTTTGTGACGACTCCAGAGGGGGGGAAGGGGGGTGTGGAGGGCAACGTCGTTGAAAGCATTGACGGGACAAGATTTGGTCTGGGGTTGAACGCTCTTCTCAATCACAATACAGAACCAGTACGGAGTACGGTTTACCGGTATCGATACCGGCCGTACCGGCATCGACTGTTGCTGATACCTCCTAGTAGTAAAGTATCAGTACTATTTTAACTATTGTCCATACTACTTTACTAGTCTGCCATCTTACCATTCTAACCATCATCACCAGGTGAACGGAGGTAGCAGCAGCAGTAGCATCTCGGAGTATTAACTCGTCGGCTGTGCAGAGAGCATGGGTATAGTATTATATGAGGAAGTGTGTCTAGTATCCACCCCCCTCCCCCCCCCCCATCATCATCATCATCATCACATCTAACGAGTTTTAATAGTCCGCGATACTTATTAGTAACAAGCAGTACAGTATTACCGGCAATTCCTCCGTAACATGACCCTGCAGAAAGAAATAAGATAAGATGTATATATAAGAGACGGGAAAGGAAGAGAGAATACGGAAATATAATATCATCACTTGTGCCTTGTCATCTTTTTTTTGTTTGTTTGTGATACAGGTATTATATACATGTAATATTATATACATGTAACATTATATACACGTAATATTGTATACATGTAAAATATAATTAATACAATGCAGCAGCACTCTCTTTACGAGTATTACAAGGGGAGAGTCGGTCAGTGGGGCTTCTTTTTTTATATATATAATTTTTTTATATAATTTTTTTTTAAATTTTTTTTTTTTTACCCGTGCACTAATAATACACCAGCTGATAGAGTCCCACTACAGTCCACTAGCCTCCTAATAAGCCTCTAGGTAATTCTCCTTCCGTCCCCTGACCGGGTTTCGACTCTCTCTCTCTCTCTCTTCTCCCCTCTTCTTCATCACCTTGCACCGTGAATCGATGATACCTGTACGGATTACTTCGTGACACAACATACACACACACGGAGTAATAAATTAGAATTCATCTTGATAGGATCTACCGTAGATCACAGGGGCATCGGCGGAGCTCTGTCTTCTGTCACCTTTTTTTTTGGGGGGAGAGGGGGGGCGCCGGTTGGTTTTTGCTCTGTCTTTTCTGTTTCCTTTCTTCTTTCTTTTTTTCTTTCTTCATTCATCTTCTTCTTGACATCGGACCTCTTGAACTACACACTCTCTCCATCTCTTTCCCTATGTGTATTGCTTCTCTATGCGCATTGAATCTTGTTTCGTTTCACATGTACATGTATACACACACACGCGCACGCACACGCGCACGCACACACACACGCACACACACACGCACACACATATATATATAGAAATATATATATATATATATATATATATATATATACAGCTTCATAACCGACTATGGCTCATGATCCTGTATAGTTTTATTTATTTATTCTGACAGCTGGCAAACTCACATCATGTACGTACAGTCAGTCTCGCACCTCATCTGCAGCTTGTAAGTTTAAATACGACGTAAACTCGTAACTGTTTATTTTACGACATAACTCCGCTATACTCCTTAACTCCGTAGATTCGCATGTAATCTGTACATCATTCTCGTCCTCGTCTTCTCCTTCCTCTCTCTCCTTCCTTTCTCTTTTTCCCTCTGTCTTTTTCCCTCTCTCCTTTTCCCTCCCTCCTTTCCCTCGCTCTTTTCCCTCGCTCCTTTACTTCTCCTTTCTTTTTCCTTCTTCCTCTTCTCAATTTTTTTCTGTGCCCTCGTGCCCAGCACGTCAGAAGATATGTTATTCGTCATGTTTGAGCTCACCCTTGCTCGAGTCTAAACTGGGGAGGGGGGAGGGGGCTGCAGAGAGAGCATGAAGGGACGGGAAATTAAACCGAAGAATTATTATTCATGTTTCCAATTGAGAAGAGAGGAAAGAAAAAAAAAAGGAAAGAAAAAAGGGGGAAGATCGTTTCCTCAATTGTTTAAACCCCTACCTATTCATAGCCATCTTCTTATGCGCAACATCGACATGCGCCTATGATTTTTATCATTCAAACGACTCGACTTCGACGGTCCATCACGTTGCATGCCGCCTCGTTGACGGGATTACCATGCGTCCAGTCTAGTACCCGTATTCCGTATTCTATCCTCTGTAGATTGTTTTTTATATAATAATAAAGAACCAAATCCCCTCCCCCTCCCCCCCCCCCCCCACCCCCCAAAAAAAAAAAAGAAAAAAACAACAGAAAAACAGGGCCGAGAGAGAAGACGGGATCGCCGGCAAGATAAGATTACTGCACTGCTCTACCCATCAATATGGGGGCGACGCGACAAGGGTAAGGGAGGGCGGGGCCTAGAAGCCTTCTGATTGTACGTCCCTGGCGTTTTTTTTTCTCTCCTTCTTTAATGACAATTGTGCTCCATCACTAGGATCATATTAATGGGTCCCTTTACCCCCCCCCTCTCTTTAATCCTTGTTGATCCTCCTCCACACTTCGTTCTCGGCAGCCGCAAGGCTATTGCCTGCAGCCGCGGCCCATTTCCTTGCCTGGCCCCACATACTGGAGTCGTCGTTGTCATTGTTGTACAGGTAGTACTCGTTGTGCTCGTATGAGGGGAGGTTGCTGCCGCTATTGTTGTTGTTGTTGTTGTTGTTGTTGTTGTCGTTGTTGTTGTCGTCGTCGTCGTCGTCGTAATCGCCACCACGGAGGCTGCCTTGACCGCCGGCATTATTATGCGCGCCGGGAGGAAATCTCTGCTGGGCTGATGAGGCGTAGGGATCCTGATGATAACCCGGCGGGTGGGAGAAGCTAGCTGCCTCGTGGAGGGTAGCATTGGTGGGTCTTGCATTACTGCCGACCGCGCCAGCGCCAGCGCCAGCAGCAGCCTCGCCCGTCGTTGCCGCTGTCATCGACGACGGCTGATGGTGACCAGCACCAGCACCAGCATTGCTGTCGGCAATGCTCGTAGATCTACCCGGTGCGGTGTAATTGGTCATGGGACATGGGTGGGACATTGGAGGAGGCATCGCCCCTGTCGTCTGAGCTGCCGTCCGCCGCTGGTATTGCTGCTCCTGCTCCTGCTCCTGCTGCTGCTGCTGCTGCTGCTGCTGCTGCTGCAAGGTCTCGCCAGCCTTGGGAGGCGGTGGGATATCCTGTCGCTGCTGGCTTGTACGAGCAATACTCGTATTGATACTCGTACTCATGCTCGTGGGTGATGCCGCTACAGGCACCGCCCCGACCTGTGGAGCGGCGGGCCCGTCGTCTCTGCCATGCTGCCGAGATGTCTTCTGGGTTGGGGTGGGCTGGCCTGGTCGCCCGTCGCCGCCGGTGAGAGGCTGTCGCGGCACTCCGGTCTGTACAGGCACGTCTGATGTCGCTGCAGGCTGGGGGACGGGGTATTGGTAGTCTCGCTCCTGCGAGCTTGCTGACGTGGTCGCAGTTGGCGGCCCCGGTTGTGGTTGTGGCTGTCGTTGCTGTCGTCGCTCTCGTTGATGACTTGATCTCGGGTCATTCAGCTGGCCTGCCGTCTGGGGCGTTGTGCCGGACGGCTTGGCGGCAGCGTTGATGGGGCTGGCCGTGTATACTGGTATAGCAGGCATTCTCGGTGTGGGTTCCTCTCCTCTCTTCCTTCTCCTGTGTATATCTCTTTTGGATAACTGATGAATCTCTTGCTCCTTTCTCTGCCTGACGATGATAATGTGAAAGTACTAGAGTGACAGAGTGACGGCTGGAATAAAGATGCCAGAGTGGCGTGCGTCATTCCTGTCTGGGACATCAGGTGACGGACAGGCAGTACACCCCCCACCCCCCCCCCAAAAAAAAAAAAAAAAAAACCCCCAAAACCAAGGCACGGTGTGGCGGGGCTATCATCCATGTTACACAGGTTCGACAAAGGACTTTTTGCGCGATCTTGGTCCTTACTCTTGAGAAAACATGTATTCGTGTTTTGCATCATCTATATCCGATCGTGCATGGTGCTAAAGCAGGTAATGATGTTAGAAGAAAAAAAAGTATGCATGTATGATATATACGTAAAATAAGATATCACCTGCATTCCTCTTCTCCCCCCACTCCCTCTTCTTTCCTCTTCTTCTTCATCCTCTTTTACCATCATCCCCCCCTCCCATATCAACCTTGGGCCTTACTCTTGGGCTTGAACGGTGACTCAGTCGGTGCCCTCACTGCCGCCAGGCGTTTCAGCTCAGCATCATTGTCGGTGCCTCTACCCATGGTCCTCTTGGGCCCAAGATCCCCGAAGAGGAAACCCTCGGGCATAAACCTGTCTCCCTCATCGCCGGGTAGGACACCCCCCCACAGCCACGTTGCCCAAGCCGTGGGACCCCATCGTGACAGGAACCCAGGGCGGACATACCACGGGTGCTCCATGTAGGCGCTTCCATGCATGCGACCAGTCTTGGGGTCCGGCATCGACAGCATCGGCGCGGCGAAGAGCGGAGGAGGGATCAGGTGGCGTACGACGAGCTTCCGAACATACAGCAGGGTATACGTCAGGGCTGTGATGCCGAGCCCAGGCTCAGGGTATCTTTGCGTCCAGGTCATCAAGATCAGCACATTTCATCGGTATCCCCTCGGGAGAGGAGAAAACAGAGAAGGAGAGGAGGGAGGAAAGAAGGCGAGGAGGGAAGAAGGCGAGGAGGGAGAGGAGGAAACAAAAAGGGAGAGGAGGAGATAGAGAAGGGGAGGAGATAAAGAAGGAGAGGAGGAAAGAGAGCTGATGGAAGGCAAGCACAAGGAAAGAGGGGGGTGGTGGACGTAGACTCACCCAAACGCATGACGCATCCGTTCACCCATCACGACCATGCTCATCGACGACACGGCCGGCCCCGCAAACTTGGGATACGAATCGCAAAACAGCTCCATGAGCACCTCTCCCAGCCTGCGCACCTCCGGGTACGGACGCATGTACTTTTCCTCGTACCCGGCCGCCCAGCAGGTCAGGTCGTCCATGAAGTCGATGCCGTCGGCCCAGTCGTCGCGGCCCAGCTCGGCCTTGTAGTCGATGCTCATGAGGTCGCCGATGTGCTTCCAGAGCGTGCCCATGGCCGCGCGCTCCATGTCGCTCAGAGGTCGCCAGTCGAACATGGCGATGCCGCGAACCGGCCCGGCCATGGACGCCCACAGGACGTAGAGGAGGTCCTCGTTCAGGATCTTGCCGGCCTTGCGGTACGGCGCGTGGAGGAAGTTTGTGCGCTCGATAGATTGAAGGAACAACGGGTCCTGGGGCTTGAACTGCGCCCAGCTGCGGAGCCGTCAGAGGATTCTGTCCCGTAGCAACGTGTGTCCTGTAGGGGAAGGGTCTCGGACCTACCATGTGTAGAGGATCGAGGTGTCTGCGTATCTGCGACGGCTGTCAGTAAGGCCGACGGCCACAGGAGGCGAGACTGCGGGCAGGACAGACCTCTTGGTTGCCTGTCCTCTGTCGGCAAGATCGCTGACAGACATGAGCACCTTGGCCACGTTCTTCACCGTATATGTCTGCGCAGGAGTTGTGAGCGGCAGGTCCTCGTCTCCCGAGGTGTATACAGTCTCGGACCTACCCTTAGCAATGCCAGACGCAAGGAGAGATCGTAGAAGAGCGTGTGCTCGTAACGGATCATGTGATTAGTTATGACCGAAGCATCCTCCACCGTCATGGACGACAGCGACTCGCGGTCCGTATATCTGTATCTGGCTTGCAGACGGTTCACCCTGCAGAAGCGAAGCGCCGAGCCTACGAGGCTGGCATATCCCACCAGGCCCAAGACGGCATAGAGCCATGTCGAGGTGAGCAGGGAAATACAGAAGGATCCGGAGCGAGCACCTGTGGGGGCAGAGATGGAGGCATCGGCATCACCGTAGGCTATCGGACTGGCACTCATGATGTCGGTGTGTCAGAGGCAGCACGACACCGTGTGATGCGTGTAGTTGGTGATGGCTTCTTCGGGGAGGGTTCTTCGGGACATGAAAGAGAGGGAGGTTCTCGTTCCCCCTAAGAAGAAGAAAAAAACAAGAAGACTGAGCAAGGGGTATCATTTAAATAGTTTCGGGACGCAATGGGCAAGTTATACCGAAGTCATCATTACCCTTGTGTGCCGTATACACCCCGTGAAGGATAGGAGAGGGGGCGAACGGCCTGCTGAACGAGGCGGTGGGACTAATGCTCAGCGACGGTGTGCAGGTAGGTACTAGCAGTGCGAGTATGTAATGCTCGTGTGCGTATTGGTTCCCATGATGGCCCAGACAAACCGATTCACGGTGCGGGTGCGGATTACGGTCATGCTGTTGATTCTCCCAGGGGTTTTTTTTTGGCTTTTTTTTTGCCCGTCTTCGCGTCCGAGACATCCTCTCACACTGGGATGGATTGTCCTAGCCAGAATGGGATACCAGATCGCAAAAGAGGAGGCTCTTAGACGTATCTGAGAGTTGAGTGGGGTCAAGAGGGGCGTCGATCGCTGCAACTCTCCTTGTCCCCTCACATGCGAGTATATCCTGATGATGCAGCTAATGATAGAGGTAAAGGGTAATTGTATATATTCGTACCCCATGAAATGTTTCCCTCGTGGAGATGTGCGAGGTGTGTGTGCTTCGTATATTTTGGATGCTGTCACGGACTCAGCTATGTGCTCTAAAAAGTGAATCATCCCGCCATGCTATGGACAAGGCAGCGATGAGTTTTTTTTTTTTTTTTTTTTTTGGTTTTGTTGAAACCTCAAGACTTACAGGGAAGATGTCAGGTCCTGTTAATCTCATAAAAAAAGCCAGCTAGTAATAAGATTGTGCATCACATACACCGCCGACAGCATGTGCGGTGCACCACTATGCATTCAGCACTGAGTCGTAGGCTTCATGACTGGGGAAATCCACTAGTAGTATTCACAGGGGGGAGGGGGGGGGGATCACATGTACAGCACTCCAGAGGTATTTCTGTCCTTCCCAGCAGGATATCGCGATGATGCACATTCCAGCAACTTGAAAGAGAGGGGAAGAAAGAAAAAAATACATGCAGCTTGGAGAAAAAGAAGGGGAAAAAAAAAAAGCTGGTGTTCTGTTATACTGTGACGGCCTCTATTATTTCCTAACCAGGAGGAGATCTGCTTCATCGGATTATCAGTACATCCGGTAAGGAGGCGCTAACCCAAAAATGGTATGCTGGAGATCGCGGTCAGGACCATGATGGTCTGTCCGCCCTCGACTGCTTTCCAATCTCATTGACGGTCAGCCCTCTCGATTTGGGTGCTGCGGTCAGGACGTAACCATACAGAATGGTCGGCAAAGTCAGCGAAAGGGTTCTCCTCCGTGAGGGTACGTCCCGGAAACTTCCCTTCTCCTCTTCCCCTCGATGATGGTTTGATGGAAGCGCGCACACGGGTGGGTGTGCGTAACCGAGGACCATCGGCTGACTGATTCTCTCGACAAACAGGCCTGGAGAGGACCGATAATGGCATGAAGCTGACGAGCTGGCCCGAGGTGGCCGCCATCAACCAAAAAAACTACTACACGTAGGCCAACCCTTCTGCTCCGGTGCTCTAGGAGAGAGACGGATGTGACGGAGCCGATCGACTGACACGGACGCGAACCCCCCACGTCTTTTTCTCTTCTCTTCTCTTTCTTTCAGTGATTACATGAAGCGCGATGATCAGGTGCTCGCCCTCCGAGTGCAGAACGATGCGAACCGCGACAAGCTGGTGCAGAGCGCCAAGGACCGCGACCGCGCCCTGTCCAAGCAGCCGAATGGCGAACTGCCCCTCCCCGTCCCCGACCTGGCGCCGGAGGATGAGGGCGCCGCCACCCCGGCGGCGGCCATCGACCCGTCCAAGATCATCGTCATACACCCCGGCAGCCAGAACCTGCGCATCGGCTTCGCCAGCGACGCCCTCCCCCGGACGGTGCCCATGGTCCTCGCCACCAAGTTCCCCCAGACCGAGTCGGAGATGTACGAGGCCCTGCCGCGGCGGCACTTCGAGGCCAAGACGACCGAGGCCCAGTACGGCGAGGAGTGGTCCAGGAAGTACCAGAAGATGTGCGGCGACCTCAAGGTGGACATGCGCGCCAACAAGCGTAAGGTGCTGCCCAACTCCAAGGAGCTCGTGCAGACCTACAACCGCCGCACCGAGGCCGAGATCATCCAGAAGCACAACGACCCGCTCGAGGTCGAGTGGACCGACGTCAAGAAGCTCGAGGATCCGGAGTCCTTGGCCTCCTGCTTCATCGGCAACGAAGCCCTGCGCATCCCCGACGACTCGTCGCCCAAGTTCAAGCTCTGGTGGCCTATCCAGTCCGGCTGGTGGAACGAGGACGGCTACAACAGCAAGGAGCACCTGTTCGACGACTTCGAGACGCTGCTCGACAACGCGCTCCGCCAGGAGCTGGGCCTCCGCCGGAACAGCCAGTGGAAGCAGTACAGCTGCGTCTTCGTCATCCCCGACCTCTACGACAAGCAGTACGTCGAGCAGGCGCTGCGGTCGTGCATGTCCTGGTTCGAGTTCAGCAAGGTCAGCTTCGTGCAGGAGAGCATGGCCGCCACCTTTGGCGCCGGCTACACCCAAGCGTGCGTCGTCGATGTCGGTGCCCAGAAGACGTCGGTGACGTGCGTCGAGGATGGGCTCTGCCTCGAGGACTCACGCGTCAACCTCAAGTACGGCGGCTACGACATCACCGACACCTTCCTCAAGATGATGCTCTACGACAACTTCCCCTACCAGGACATCAACCTGCGCAGGCGCTACGACTTCCTCCTGGCCGAGGAGCTCAAGATGAGGCACTGCACCATGTCCCAGGCCGACATCTCGGTGCAGCTGTACCAGTTCCACATCCGCGCGCCCAACCGGCCGACGGCCAAGTACCACTTCAAGACGTACGACGAGGTCATCCTGGCGCCCTCGGGCGTCTTCGACCCCACCATCTTCGACAACAGCACCAAGCTGCGCGGGCGGCGCACGCTGGTGCCGCGCTCCTACAACGCATACGACATCGACATGCCCGACGACCCGACATCGGCCGCCCAGCTGGCCGTTCTCAAGATGGTCGACCCATCCGTCACCACCACGTCTACGTCCAACGGCGGACCGTCGCAGCAACTCTCCGGCGGCGGCGGCGGCGGCGGCGACGTGTCGACGCCTGTCAAGGACAGGTCGCAGCCGTTCAGCTTCTCCGTCCGCGGCGGCGGCGACAGCAGCGCAACGCCCATGGGCTCCCACGCCGGGTCGCCGGCACCCGAAGGCGCGGGCACCCCCGTGCCGGCACCATTCGTCTTCGGCAGCGGCAACAGCAATAGGGATGCCACCAACGGCGGCAGCCCCGCGCCCACGGGATCGCGCGCGGCCGGCACCCCCGTCCCCGGTCAGAACGGCAGCGGCAGCAACAACGGAAACCAGGCATCGCAGCAGGCCCCGGCAGGTCTGTTCGTCGACTCGGCAGCCCGGACGGCCGAGATGGTGGCGGCCAAGAGAGACTCGGTCCTCCCCGCCATCCCGCTGGACGTGGCCATCCTCACGAGCATCGAGACGGCGGCCCGCGGTGACGAGAAGAAGCTCCGCGACTTCCTGGGCAGCATCATGGTCATCGGCGGCGGCGCCAAGGTCCCCCACTTCACCGTGGTGCTGGAGGAGAAGCTCAAGCAGCGCCGGCCGGACCTGGTCGAGAGGATCCTGGTCAGCAGGAGCGCCAGGGACATGGACGAGCAGGTCGTCACGTGGAAGGGCGCGAGCGTGTTTGCCAAGCTGCCCACCAACGATTCGTGGATCACGCCGTATGAATTTGAGAGGCATGGATCCAGAACACTCCACCACAAGGTCTTGTGGAGTTGGTAGGTCTGTCCTCCTCCTCCTCCCCCCTCCTTTCTTTCATCTTTCAATGGTAGAGATGGTCGAGAGGGTGATTGTTAAAAAGGGAGGAGAAGGGGAGTGGGGTTAAGTGTTCGAGGGAGACGAGACAAATATGTGGTTGAATGACGTGGGCGGCGGGTTTTGCATCGGGCGTTTTTTCTTTTCTTTTTTTCTTTTGGGTTTTCCTTTTCTTTTCTCTTTTCCCCACAGAATCGGGAAATGGGCGGGTTATCTTCTTCTTCTTCTCTCTCTCTCTCTCTTCCACTTTTCCTTCGCAAAGAAATCAAGGAGTATTATCATAGGTAAAGACGCACCTCGTGTTTTTTCTTTCTTGATGAGGATGATCGGAGAAGAAGAAGAAGGATATATGACAGAAGATTAGGGCGTTTGATACGTGATGTGTGATGAAAGACAAGACACTAGACTAAAATCACACTCGAGTCAGCGAAGACTCTCCAAAAGATAGCAATACTCGCACCATAGGAACTGAGAAGAAATTCCCCGATGATATATGTGCCCACGAGTATTAGTAATATCAGGGAGAGGTGTGTTCTCGTCAGTTGACGCGTGTTCGTGGTCGGTTGGTATGCAATACCGAGGGCGGGAAGGGGCTTAGATAATGATGGTTGTTGAACGTTCCAGGGGGGGGGGGGGGGGGGGGGGGGGGGTGGATGGGATGGTACGAGTAAACAATGCGCTGCTGCTGCTGCTGCTTGTCGGTATTAATACATCTGATACTCGTACTCCGAACTCGGGTATCCACTGCATAATAAGAAACACTACTACTACTACAATTACGAGTGTTTTTTTTCTCTCTCTTCTTCTTCTTCTTTTTCCTTTCCTATCTCTCTATTGCTCTACTCTGCCATGTGATTCATGGTGGTTATGCAAAATTGAGAAAGAGAAGGAGAAATAATACTATACAAGATAGAAGAGGAAGAAGGAGAAGGACCAAGATGCTGTCGTCGCTCTCGCCATTCTCGTCCTCGACGACAAACCTCCAGGCAACGACCTACCTGCTGGGCGTCTCACTCTTCTCGATATCCTTCCTCGTCTTCCTCAACAGCTCCGTCTCCTTCGTCATCACCGACCTGATCGGCACCAAGACTGGTGTCGGCGACATCGTCGGTACCCTGGGCTTCGCCGACGAGCTCGTCGCCCTCGTGGCCTGCCCGGCCTGGGGTCTGGTGTCGGACAGGCTGGGTGTCAGGTGGGTGTCGGCGATGGGGTACACCATCATCGGCTTGGCCCTGATGATCTTCGTCCAGGCCAGGAATGTGTATCCTCAGCTTCTTTTGGCGAGGATCCTCTTTGCCGTCGGTGGTTCAGCTGCGTACGCTCTTCATCTCTCTCTCCTCCCTCTCTCTCCTCCCTCTCTCTCTCTATATGCATAACCCCTCTGACACGGTACACGCACAGAGCCACAATGGTTACAGCTACACTGCCCTGCCTCACCGATGACACCGGAGCGGTCGAATCCAAGGATGGACCTGACGGGAAGCAGCAGTCTCGCGTCTCCCGACAGAGTATCGCCTTCTCCGTCGAATCCGAGGCCACCATCACACCCGAGCGGTATACGCGCCTCGCCAGCGCGTACGCCCAGTCGACGACGCGCAGCAAGGCCTCGACCCTGTCGGGCTACGTGGGGCTGGCCACCGGCTGCGGCGCCCTGGTGGCCCTGTCCCTGTTCCTCCCGCTGCCCACGCGCTTCGGCAGCCGGGACGGCGTCACCCAGGCCCAGGCCGTGGCCTACAGCTTCTACGTCGTCGGCTCCATCTCCCTGGCCGTGGCCGTCTTCGTCCTGTTCGGCTTGCGCAACCTCAAGGGCGAAGAGGGTAAAGGATGGGGGGTTCTCCTCGGTCTACGCGGAGGAGAAGAAGAGGCGTCGGTCAATAACGACGACGACGACGACGGTGGCGTCGGCAGCAGCCGGAACAGGCGCAGCCGCTCGCAGAGCCTGGGAGGGACGGCGGGATACCACTACAAGGCCCGCCGGGGGTCAGCCATCCCCTACCTCCGCCTGATGAAGGAGTCGGTGCTCCTGGGGCTGTCGGACTCGCGCATCGCCCTGGGCTACGTGGGCGGCTTCGTGGCGCGCGCCTCGACCGTGGCCATATCGCTGTTCATCCCGCTCTTCGTCAACACCTTCTTCATCGGCAACGGCTTCTGCCACGGCTCGCCCAACGACCCGTCTCCGGAGCTCAAGGAGGAGTGCCGCGCCGCGTACGTGCTGTCGTCGATCCTGACAGGCGTCGCCCAGCTGGCCGCCCTGGTCTGCGCCCCCGTCTTCGGCTACCTGTCCCGCCGTAGGGGGCCGGTCAACTGGCCCATCGTCGTGTCCACCGTCCTGGGCATGGTCGGCTACGTCGTCTTCCCGCAGCTGTCGAGCCCCGAGCTCAAGGATGCCGGCGGCAGGGGCGGCACCCCCGCCATCCTGCTCGTCGTCAGCCTCATCGGCATCAGCCAGATCGGCGCCATCGTCTGCAGCCTCGGCTCCCTCAGCCAGGGCGTCCTGACCGTCGAGATCCCCGCCCACGCCGCCGCCGCCGCCGCCGCCCACGCCGCCGAAGCCTCTATCGCCCCCGACCAGGACGAGTCCACCGAGGCCGACCCGCTCATCCGCATCTCCACCCGCGACACCCGCATCGAGCGCACCCGTCTCAAGGGCTCCATCGCCGGCGTCTACTCCCTCTGCGGCGGCGCCGCCATCCTCATCCTCACCAAGCTGGGCGGCTACATGTTTGACCGTGTGTCCACCGGTGCGCCCTTTTACATGATGGCCCTCTTCAACGGCGTGCTTCTCGTCGTCAGCCTCCTCCTGGATGCGGCCCAGACCTATGGGAACGATGGTAATAGGCTGTAGAATCCCTGACGATTATGGTCCACGAGTTTTATGAATTCCGAGCATTGCTTTCCTTGTCTGTTTCTCCTACCTAGCAGTATTGTCGCCTTTTTTTTGGTCTTCTTTCCTTTGCCTTTCCAAAACAACTTTGCTGTCTTTTCTCTTCATTGTGTTACTGTCTCGTCTTAGCTGTATCACTTAGTACGTTATATCCAATACCTTTTTTTTTCTTCGTTATAATCTAATCTACATCCTATTCTCCCAATGGTGGTGAAAAGAAAGTATGCTTCGGTCTAATGCACCCTCTACGATGACAGCTAGGTTTGCTAATATAGGAGGAGGGAGGGGGGACTGAGAAGAAGCATTTGGCACTTCAATCTGTCCTCAAGGTTGTTGACTTGCACCACGGGCAGAGAGAAGCTCGGTTCCAGTCTGGTCGAAAAGGGACACAACAGAGCACGACATCTTGAAATGGGACCATACCAGTGTTCCTTACAGAAGGAGCAAGAAAATGCAAACAAAAAAAAAGAGTGATGAAGCTAGCAACCGGGTTCGAACCGGTGACCTTAGGATCTGCAATCCCACGCGCTACCGCTGCGCCATACCAGCTGTTGGCGTCTATTCCCAACTTGGAATCCGGAAGCACAATTTCCAGCTCAAACGTGTATCGTGAATGGGGGGGCGGGCCACAAAAAAAAGAACCCCCTCCCGAAAACTTGGGGGAAATAATCGATATCAATATTGGAAATCGCGACCCACGAATGGAGGAGAAATTCTCCAAGGTCTAGAGTAGAGAAAAACGAGATGACAAAAAAAACAATTTATCAATTGTTGTTGAGCTGGCAGCCGGGTTCGAACCGACGACCTTAGGATCTGCAATCCCACGCGCTACCGCTGCGCCATGCCAGCTGCTGTTGACCAAGTGGGCGCATAATGCTGACTATCAGGGGCAGATAGGTGTTCCTAAATGTCACTTTTCCAGCTCCAAGCGGTCATATCATGTAGCATGATGAGGGAGGGAATAAAAGGTATTTGAATACAATGATGCAGAGAGACTTTAAAATGTTATGGTTTCAACGCAGGAACGTTGTGCCTTTTTTTTTTTTTTTTTTTTTTTTTTTTCAGAAAACTGTTCTCTGCGTTCGGGTCAGCATCTTACCCTGTCCTTACCCCGTCGCCATCGATCGTCTACGGTCTACGCTTGGGTTTCTTGGTATTCAGCATTGGACTTGTGGCTTTTTTTTTTTTTTTTTTTGAAATGGCTGGTATAATAAGGGTATACTATCCTTGGTATTGGGATTGCATTTCAGATGGGTCATGTACATGGTGGAACAGCGATGTTGTTATATAGTCGGTTCTTGGTAGATGCCCACATGGAGATCAATATTTCAAAGTTGAAGAACTTTTTGGGACAGTTAGCAAGTAGAAGCAAAAACTAGAAGAAGAAGAAAACAAGAAACAAGATATCCATTGGTTTTCTACTTCATTGAACCTCACAGTTCAATTCTCTCCCCGATCATTCTATTCATATCCTGCTGAGACGCGCTCAACTCTGGGGGGGGGGAGGAGTCCTACACAATAATAATGTAAGCAGTGTCCCCACATACTACTTACTCTCTACTTCAACTTCAACCCGCGCATTACAACCCTCCAACTTTCCCAACCTCACCACCATAAAAGAGAAAAAGAAAAAGAAAAGAAAACAACATCCATCGCCCAAACAATCACCATGGCACCCGTCGATAGTGTAGATCACAATGGCCTCGAGCGTAAGGCAATGTTTTCCATCTTCCCCTCCTCATTCAGTTCCCTCCCTCACTCCCGCTGACATCCACCTCCGCCTTCAGAACAACTCAAGGACATCATCCAAGATCTATACCAGGTAATGGTCCAGGTATCAACCTACGATTCAGCCGGTCGACCAAGCCGAGAAGTTCTCGCCAACGAAATGTACATTTTTCAAACCCCCCCCCCCAAAAAAAAAAAAAAAAAAAACACAAAGCTGGCATCGGACCTGACATGACATGACAAAAACAAAAAAGAAAAACCCTCTCTCGAGATCTCCAAACTCTTCACAAGACAGCCACCCCGCCCAACCCCTCGGCCGATAACCTACCTTTCGTCCCTCCAGAGCTGCTAGAGTACGTCGAGAACGGTCGCAACCCAGACATCTACACTCGAGAGTTTGTCGAGCTGGTCCGCCGGGGCAATCAGCTCATGAGGGGAAAGGCCCACGCCTTCGCTTCCTTCCGCGACATCCTCGCCGCTGATATGGTCTCCGCCATGCCCGAGCTTCGCCACGACGTCAGGATGGTCTGCCACGCTACAGGGGGCCCCGACCCCGTCCCGTCCGTCGTCGGTGCTCCCGTCTCGTCAGATGCTCCCGGTACGGCTTCGTCTTCTGCTGCCGCCACGGCGGATGCTGGCGCTGGCGTTGGCGTTGCTCCCACACAGCAGCAGCAGCAGCAGCAGCAGCAGCAGCAGCAAACGACAGAGACTGGTAGTACCGTCACACCTGCCCCTGGTAAAGCTACGACGCAGTAAAGGGGAGTGGGGGAGGATGACGAACTTTGCTTATATAGAGATTTGTATGCTCTTTGTATTTAATGGCGTTGAGGATAGGAACTACTAAGTAATCAAGATACCCATATGCATAAAAAAAAATCATATAAATAAAAAAAAAGAACAGCAACACCTCCCCAAATCAGCTACTTTGGGTCTTATTCTTTTCACACGTAACATTCCAGCTTCTTTCTCTTCCGTCTCTATGCTGCTGCCCCTGTTGCTCATGCTGCTGTTCTATGCCGCCATACCAAGTTCCTGAAAATGTATACAATGCCACCAACAACGGCCAACACAGCGAGGAGCTGCGGCGGTAGGAGAACAATGGCGGCCACGAGCAGCGCGCCGTACTGCCGGATCTTGGCCACCAGCCTGTCCCGTGCCTCTTTCTTCTCCCGTCGCATGTGCCAGTGACCGCGCCTACGGCTATCCTCTCCGATGTGGTCCTTCTTCTCTCCGTAACGGTAGTCATCGTAGTGATGATGACTGGCAGCATCGTCAGCAGCGTCAGCGTGGTTGGCGTACTGCTCATCATCATTGAACCCCGCAGACTCCTCATCCTCATCTTCCTCGCGCTCTTCGGATGGTCATGAGAAGCCGTACCCGGGGGGGAAGCCGCCACCTCCACCGCCTCGGCCAAACGACGCTCCGCCGGGGAAGCCGCCGGCTCCTCCGGGGAATCCGCGAGCACCGCCACCGGGGAAGCCGCCGCCAGCTCCGCGGAAGCCGCCGCCGCCGCCACCGAAGCCGCCCTGGTTGCCCATCATGCTGAACAGGATCTCGGGGTCGATGCCACCCATGCCGCCGCCCATGCCGCCGCCTCTACCGAACATGTCGGACGGGTCCATGAGGTCGTCGCCGTTGTCGTAGCTGGCCTTCTTCCTGTCGGCGGGGGGTCACAGTCGTCAGTCTTTTGGCTCCTGGAAGGGGAGGCCATCTGATGGGGGGTGAGGTGAGAAACTTACTGAGGGTCGCTGAGCGTCTCGTACGCCTCCTGCATATCCTTGAACTTGGCCTCGGCATTCACGTCGCCCGGGTTCTTGTCGGGGTGCAGCTTGACGGCCATCTTGCGGTAGGCCCTCTTGATGTCGTCGGCGTTGGCGTCCTTGCCGAGGCCCATGATCTTGTAGTAGTCCTTGCGCTGGCTCTTCTTGAACTCGAGCTCGGCCCTGCGGATCTCCTTGGCAATGGTGCGGTCCTCAGGGTCCAGCTCCTGGATCGACTTCCACTCCTTGACGGCCTCCTCCCACCTCTCGGCCTGGCCGAGGGCGTTGGCCTTTGTCTTGCGGGCCTTTGTGTAGCTCGGGTCGAGGCGGACGGCATTCTCCGAGTCCTCGATGGCGGCGTCGTACTGCTTAAGCTTGAGCTTGCACTGAGCGCGGTTCTGAAGCAGCTTGGAGTTGATGTTCTTGTTGGACGTGTCCACGTCGAGGGCCTCGGTGTACTTGTCGATGGCGGCCTGGAACCGACCGGACTTGAAGTGGGTGTTACCTTCCTCCTTCATACGGTCCAGCTTCTGCACAATCTTGAGCCACTTGATGCAGTCGCGGAAGTCCGGGTCGCAGTTGAGCGCCATGCGGAAGAGCTGGATGGCCTTTTCGTTGTCACCCTGCCCATACATGACGCGGCCCCTCAGCACGAGAGCCTCGGGGTCCTGGCTGTTCTGGCGTAGCAGCGACAGGGCAATGTTCTGCGCCTCGCCCAGGGCGTTCTCGCGGCCCATCTTGAGGTAGGCCTCGCCGCGTAGGAGCTGCCACTTGCGGGGCCTGGCGACGGTCGACCCCAGGTTCTTCTCGGCCTGGTCCAGGGCGTGTAGGACCATGGACATGGCGGTGCCGCGTTCCAGCGTCTCCTTGGCAGACTTGATGTGGCCCAGCATCTCCCTGGCGGGAGCGGTGTCCTTGGCCGAGGGAGGGGGGCTGATGCGACCAAACGTAGTCATTGCCTCCTCGGGGCGGCCGAGGGCCGTGTAGATGCGGGCCAGACGGAGCAGGATCTTGGCGTTGTCAGGGTCCAGATCGGCAGCGCGGCTGCAGTCCTCCAGGGCCGACTCGTACGAGCCGCTGTACATGTATGCAGCAGCACGGTTGCTGAGGTAGACGGGCGAGTTGGGGAACAGATCCACAGCTGTTGAGGAGTGGACCGAGTCAGTATCATGTGCCCAATCTTCTCCATATTCCTTTCCTGCCGCCAACATGTAGAAGAGAGAAGGAGAGGGAAAATGTGTTGTATACCTTTGGAGTACTGCTCAATGGCCTTGGGGTAGTTCTTCTCCTTGAAATGCCGGTTACCGGCAGCCTTGTAGGACTCGGCATCCTCCTCAGGCGTTGTGATGGGACTCGAGGGGTTGGCCTTGTGCGGAGGCGGGGCAGGAGCACCGTCACCGCCACTGGTGCCGTTGGGGATAGGAACGGAGAAGTTGGCCTGTGCCGATGAGTTCTTGGGGGAGCCGGCGGTCGACGGGGCATGGGCGGCAGCGGCGCCGCCATTGCTGGCGGGCTGCTCGGTGTCAATGTCCATCGAGTTGGAGCCGCTCATGGCGAGGGAGGAGAGACGCTTGCGTTCCTCGGGAGGGAGGTTGAGAGGATGAGTGTGGGGGTCGACCTTTCTCCGACGGAACGACGACGACGACGATAACGACGAGGCCGAGGAGGAGGAAGCCGACAGGGGAGAGGAGGGGTCAGCAGCGGAGTAGCGTGGGGCCCTTGACGAGCGTGGGTATTGCCTGCTGCTGCTGGACGTGCTGCTCGGAGTCGTGGGGGAAGAGGAAGAAGGAGGAGAAGGGGCAGGGGCTGCCGGTGCAGAGAAAGGCTCTGCTGTGCTGTAGGCCGACGAGTACCGAGATGTCGTCGATGCCCGCTTTGTGGGCGACGAGGGCTGGGAGGGTTGGGAGCGAGGAGGTCTCTGATGACTGTTACGGTCCTGACGCTCTGGACGGTCCTGACGCTCTGGACGGTCTGGACGTTGCTCGTCAGGGACGGGGCGGTCGTGTGGTCGGCTGCTGGACGACGGGACCGAACCTGTAGAAGAATGTTTCTTGGTTGGTGATTTTTTGGTGCTGCTGCTCCCACTAAAGAACTTCATTTGGGGCCGGTCGCAGGGCTGCGGCTCGGCCGCTGCGCGAGTGGACGCTTTTCGATTGCTTGCTGAGTGGGTTCGGTGGCCGATGGCTGTACCCCGAAACAAGGATATTTCGGATAAGATGAGTCAAATGCGCTTAAGCGGGGTTCTGCGGTCCGGACCACTGGGTCACCTTCACTGCCTCTTCTCTTCTCTTTCTGTCCCCTTGGGATCTCCCTGGCCTAGGAGGGGAGGGGGGGAGGGAAGCGAGGAAGAAGGGTCTAGGGGGGAGAAGGGGAAAAACAAAAAAGCCTAGAACCCTTTGGGCGTCGGCGGCGGCGTCGCAGTAAACACACAGAGAGAGAGAGGGAGCTTGGGAGTTTCTATGTGTGGGTTCCTATGCTGACCGCTGGTCCCTGGAACTGGTGATGCACGTAGCACCAGAAGCTGCGTCAGGAGAGAGCCGTTGGGATGGACAAAGAGGCGGGACACCGTCTGAAAAGGAAAAACATAAGCGATGACGAGTTGAAAATGTGAGAGGTTGAGTGAAGAAGAGAGAGATGTCGAGCTTGGAGCCACGAGGGCCAGGAATTGATAATAGGAGGAAAGTGAAAAAAGTAATACCAGGGGGGCGGACCCTTGTCGGGAAGTGTGTGAGAGAGAGACCAACAGCAAGCAAGCACAGCCCATGCTCTCGGATGTGTAGGTGACAGTATTAATTATCTTTATAGATAGACAGAAAAAATTCCCCAAAGAATAAAAATAAAAATCCCCATCAATCACAATACCTTCCCAGCTCTCTGTCCGAGAGTCCATCCTCAGCCCCCCCCCCCCCCCCCGGAAATCTCTGTTCTGTCGTGACTGTTATCCAATCCTGGTAGCAGGTAGGCACCTCTAGATATATGGGATGGCTGGCTGCAGGTGGCTACCACTCGTACAGTACTAGTGCAGTGCCTCCGGGAGCTGGGGGACGGGCCGTTGGGCGTCCGGCAGGGCGGCAGGCTCTGTAGCCCACGCTAATAGGCGCTGTAACCACACCTTCCATCTGCTGGCGATGGGTGGTCCAGGTCCACCCTCATTTGCGATGGATATCGATGTCTGGTCGTCTCTTCTGCTGCTGTTGCACTTCTCCAGATAGGGTCTGTGTGTGTGTGCTGCAGGGTAACCATATTAAATGAACAAGGGGGGAGGCACTGTTTTGTTCTGTCTTGTGTGCGCGTGTTTCTACTTCCTTCTCCTTCCATAATCGTCTTCTACTACGTAATCGTACTGTTTCCATGGGGGGGGGGGGGGGGGAGCGTTCCAGATGATAATACTGGTAATATTATCGACTTTACTCGTACGGTGTCATCCGTGCTTGACTGCGCTGGCTGCATACGTACCCGTACAGTACAGGTACCGGGCAGCGTGTAGCTTCACGCATATATGCACATCCTTCTATAGGGGGTATGCACCTATGCAACGCTGATTCTAGAAGGTTCAGTGGGGCGCTTCCTCGGCGGGCGCATGCCAAGACGGCCGGGCGAGTGAGGATTGGGTATTACCACCAGCTCCGTCCGTACTCGTTATCCCAGCCCCCCTCCTTCTTCTCCGAATATGTCATAATCTTTCACGTACAGGTAGGTAGCAAGTAATAATATTACATGTAGTCTCGTTCTCACCCCTCGAGAGTAGCACTCTATTGGTGTGTGCGTAGCCATGCTCCTCTGTTCCCAACCACCTGTCTCGGTCCATCACCCAGATGGGCGGGAACCGCCTTGCAACCTCTACGAGTACGGAGTGATACATGCAGCACGGAGCACTCCGTACCAGGGCTCCAATCTATCATCCATCCCGTCGATACGGATACAGCCACGACGTACACTGTTCCTCGTAAATGCGTTGTCCTGTAATCTGTACAGACCGTACGAGCACTGTCTCTCTAGTTGCCGTGGCACAAAGCACTGGCTAGCCTCGGCTGATACAATCCGCCAAAAGCGAGAACCCCCTGCTCGTCGACGTAATGTCACTAATCACGATTCACAAGTCTTCTAGTCTACTTCGCACAGGAAGAAACGAGGAGAGGCAGAAGAAAGAAGAAGAAGAAGAAGAAGAAGAGGGCGACGAGTACAGCGTAGCAGGGTGTGTTTGATCCATGTGCACAATCAAGGGAGAAGAGTTTGTCTTCTTCCCCTTTCCCATCCTAGCAATAGCATAATACCCTACCATACCGAGTACATTTCCTTTTTTTTTTTTTTTTTTTTTTTTTTTTTTTTTTTTTTTTTTTTTACAATAGAGAAACATTGACGTAACGGTAATCCGGCCGTTGCTTACTGACAAGAAAATCACCAGCGCCACCGGAAGAGAGAGCATCGAGACAAANAGAGGGCGACGAGTACAGCGTAGCAGGGTGTGTTTGATCCATGTGCACAATCAAGGGAGAAGAGTTTGTCTTCTTCCCCTTTCCCATCCTAGCAAGAGCATAATAACCTACCATACCGAGTACATGTCCATTTTTTTTTTTTTTTTTTTTTTTTTTTTTTTTTTTTTGTTTATTACAATAGAGAAACATTGACGTAACGGTAATCCGGCCGTTGCTTACTGACAAGAAAATCACCAGCGCCACCGGAAGAGAGAGCATCGAGACAAACAATCCGAGAAAGGAGACGCCAGGTAACGATCCGATCCAACCCAACCCAGCCACTGCAAGCCAGATGAATATATCCCACCATAGCCCCTGACCCTGCACATTAATCTTGCGACTCTTGCGCCGCCTCCTCTGGCCCGCCATTGGTGCCCATGACGGAAGTGACAAAGTCACTGTACTTGAACACATCGCCGCGCTTGGAACCCAGCTGCGCCGACATGTTCCTGTTGAAGGCGCGGCGGCCGGTGAAGCCGTCCATGACCTTGTCGACCTCGGCGGGCGTGAGGGCCCTCTCCCCGGGCTCCGGGGGCGTGGCGAGCAGGGCGTTGCGGAGCTCGGCCAGGTCGACCTGGCCGCTGTCGTCGTCGTCGAATGCGGAGAAGGCGGAGAGGAGCTCCCCGCCGGGAGAGAGGCCGGCCAGCGCCTCGGCCAGAGAGTTGAGGAACGCGGCCAGGGCTATGGTCTGAGGCTGGGAGGGGGGGAAGAAGGGGGCGACGTCGGACGGGTTCGAGGGGAGGCCTGTCCGATCAGCATCCTGTTAGCTCTCCTCCTCTTCCGGGCTTATACAGAGTCTGACGTACCCATCTGTTGAAGCATATCGGCCACGTCCTCGCGATTGACGACACCATCGCAGTCGCGATCGAGTATCTGGAACCCATCCCGCAGCATGCGCACCTGAGCAGGCTGCAGCTTGGACAGCGCATTGCCACGGTGGTCAGCCGTAGATGCTGCTCCGCGGACCAAGGAGCTGCGCGACGGCGACGTAGCCGACCGCAGTGGCGCGGGTGTCATCATGCTGCCGCTGCCGGCGCCACCGCCACCGCCGTAGACGGTCGTCGGGGTGTTCTGGCGCGAGGGGGAGCCGAAGCTGGTGGTGGTGCCGCCGCTGTACTTGGTAGGGGAGCCCGTCGGCGTCGACTGTCGCAGGGGGGACGGTGAGGCCGGCGACTCGGCACGGCGAAAGGGAGAGCTTCGTGATGGCGGCACGCTGTATCCCAGGTGCGAGGACGACGAGTGTCTGTGGTGGTATGCCGGAGCAGACTATGATTGTCAAGATCTGTCAGTTATTTATTTTGGTCGCTCCGCTGAGCCGCTCGGACGCAGGAACGAGTGGCGGTGGGCAAGAGCGCCCCCCTCCCCCAGGTATGTAGTTGCATACCATGGTTGCCGGGCCGTTATTTTGGAACAATGGGCCACGTCAAATGCTGTGCGTGAGTGGGCTCTATCTGGGCCTTGGGAGGGAACTTTTTCCCTTCTTCTTCTTTCGCCGCCTCTCAGGTTCCGGCTCTATAACAGAACGAAGAGGATCTTTCTTTACAGAAGAGTAGAAACTCGTCTCCCTCTTGGCGGCCGAATATTGAGGCGAAGGTGCAAGAGTTTGGCGGTTGATGGCGATTCCCTGATCTCAAAGCCACAAAAGTAAACAATTGAGATTCTGATGGCACAACAACCATTACGGTGGTGGTGGGGGGGGGGATGAGCCACCTTGTGGCTGGACAAGCTGGAGTGGACGCCACCATTTTTTTTTTTCCAACTTGGGGGCTCCATATAATGACTTGTTTTCTTCCCCGCACAACCCAGTCGGGGTATTAATAGTAGCTAGTGATACAGATATGATTTATATTACTGTAGTAGCGATACATCATACTAGTCGCAGCAGTTGACGGCATCCCAGAGCCAGAGAGACGTTGGTTTTCTGTTTAGGCTAGACGTGGGTGATGATGGATATCTGAGCACCGTGACTTCACTCCTATACGTACGTCATGTGCTGTGTTCTGGTTGCTGCTGTGGACGGAACACGGAGTAGATTGATGGGTTGATAGTGCTACGAGATTTCAGTATACGGGTAGACAAGTCACAACGTCTGCATTGCCGAGAACCTTTCCATAAAGCATCAGGAGCTACAGAGTACTCGTATAGTACGGAGTGATGGGTCTCAGGTTGGTCAATCCTCCATCCTCCCACCCCCAGGTTTGACTGGTGGAAAGGTAGTATTGCTGCAGCATTATTAATACTACCTTGCGTCTCTACAGATTACGAGCATATACTCGTATGTACGAGTAATACTCGGTACGTCGTACTTTCAGGGGCTCACCCGCATCCACCATCCGCAACTCCCAACCAAGGCCCCAATTCGTCCAGCTGGTGCTGAGTCCGTGACCGAGCCAGGAGACCCAAGCTAGCCTCTGCAAGTTTCGGAGTACTCGTAGGAGACCGGGGAGTGCGTGCAGGGAGAGAATACGATAAACGCGCATCTCTTACCATCTGAACCCTGTCCGTGTCTCAGTGTCGCCATCAACGGGCTTCCATCGCCATGACCCGACACAGGACGGATAGTATTATCTACTTAGTGTTACTTCCACCGTTACCATTACGAGTACTCGTACGCTTATCAAACCGCAGTATACGTGGTACACGTACGACACCATCTTCCTTCTCCTCTCTCCTCTTATTTTATCTTATTTTAATATATATATTTTTGGGCTGCCTCTTGTTGTTCGTCCTTCCCATCCTTCGGTAGTACTGCCAGTACCCACACGATCCCCACCATTGAACAAGCCTCACCAGGTCTTCCTTTGCTCGGCTTGGATGTAAATTCAAACCCGTAATATCATACTCGTAATACCTCGACGGACCTTCATTGTCAATACCTCCTCCTCTCCATCTCTCCAGACGCAGGAGGAAAGCCCCGACGACGACCTCTGAGCATAGCACACGACCCCCGAGAGAAGAGAAAGGGAAAAACGGTATATGGAGGCGGGACGACACCGGGAAAGCACCAACCCCTGACCGAACCAAAAAAAAAAATTAAAAAATAAACCCCCACAAACCACCCCCCTCCCCCCAAGGGGGCAGATGAGCGCCCGTCAGACGGCTACCGACAGAGACGAAGCATCGCGATCACTATGACGGACCAGATGCCGCGCATGGCGCGCATGCACAGCCATAGCAGCCAGACGAATGGCACGGGCGGGGGCGGCGGTGCGCGCCGGACGTCCCTCTCTTCGTTCCCCTCGTCGCGCTCGCCGTCGCAGATGTCCCGCCCGGCCCGGTCGCCGCAGCCGCCGGTGCACGAGGTCGACCGAAGTTCGGACGTGAGCTCTCACAGGCCCAAGACGCCGCTCGACTCGCAGCACTCGTCGCTCTCGGCCTCCCGCCAGGTGTCGGGCAGCGCCATCCCCAACCTCCACCACAACCACTTCTACCAGCAGCAGACCCCGGCGCGCAAGATCCGGTCCCAGTACCCGCGCGGCGAGACGGACAACCACGTCGAGTACATACTCGTCGCCTCCTTCGACATTGACCGCGGACCCGTCATGGAGCACCAGTACCCCGTCGCCATCACCGGGGATGAGCACATGCTCGCCGAGCTCATGCTCCCGGACCAGGCCCACGCCCGCAACCAGGATTGGACAATCTTCTTCCTCCACAAGGACGGCAACGAGGAGGACGAGGAGAGGGAGCGCCGGGTCAGGGAGGCGAGGCGGCGCCGCAGACGGCGCAGACGCAACAGAGAGGCCGGCATCATCGACGAGGAGGACGAGCAGGACGCCGAGGAGGACGAGCTGGACGACGACCCGGGCGACGACTCGGACGGCTACGAGTCGGTCGACAGCGAGCCCGAGGGCGGGGAGGGCCCGCCGCTCGTCTACGTGCTCAACCTCGTCAATACCAAACACGACAAGTCGGTCAAGCGAGGTGCCATTGTCAAGGCCATGGCCATCTGTACACGGCATCCGTTCCTGCACATCTACAAGGTGAGGCATTCTATCCTATCCACGCCGCAAACGCCGGGAGGGCCGTGGCCACTGACTGACCTAAACAGCCACTGCTCCTGCTCGCCCTAGAAGAGTACTTCAAGGCGCCCGTGCCCGAGACATTGTCGATGCTCTTCGACGCCGTCAACGCCATGGACCTGTCACTGATGCCGCGGCTGAGCCTGCTGGAGAGGCACCTCCTCCAGGGCAGCGAGAACAAGGACCTGTTCATGCACAAGTTTGAGCGCATGATCCAGCAGCGCATGGCCGAGGACCAGGCGGCCGAGGACAGCGGTCGGGGTTCGGGGTTCGGCGACGCCGGCCGTGGCCGCAGCCCGGCGCGGACGCCGACGCCGGCGGCCGGGATATCGCGGACGGGGACGCGGGCATACGTCGAGGCCGGGCCGTCGGTGTACTCCGTACCGCGGGACACGCACGAGTTCGAGACCAAGATCATGTACAAGGGGATACCGATACCGGTCAAGGTGCCGACGGCGGTGATGCCGGAGACGGTGGGGGACTTCTCGCTCATCAAGCTGATACAGAAGTTCTCGGAGCCGCACGCCAAGGCGCCGCAGCCGTTCCCGCTCCACCCGCACCTGACGACGAGCGGGACGACGACGCACCCGATCATCGTGCTGGTCAACGGGCTGCTGACGCAGAAGCGCATCATCTTCCTGGGGTACAACATGCCGTCGGGCGAGGTGGCCGAGGCGGTGCTGGCGTCGTGCGCGCTCGCCTCGGGCGGGCTGCTCCGCGGCTTCACGCGTCACGCCTTCCCGTACACGGACCTGACCAAGATCGACGACCTGCTCAACGTGCCGGGCTTCATCGCCGGCGTGACCAACCCGACCTTTGAGCACCACCCGGAGTGGTGGGACGTGCTGTGCGACCTGTCGAGCGGGCGCGTCCGCATCTCGTCCAAGATCGACGCCGCCGGCACGACCGAGGGCCTCCTCTCCTTCCAGCAGCAGAACCCGGCCTTCGCCACCGTCGCCTCGGGCACCACCAACCCCACCGGGGCCTACCAGGACCTCACCGGAGACGCCGCCTTCATGGCCGACATGCTGCGCAGCATCGCCGCCCGCCGCGGCGAGCGCGTCATCCGCGCAAAGTGGCGTGAATGGGTCGTCAAGCTCACCCGCATAGCCGCCCAGTTCGAGGAGAGCGTCTACGGCGCCAGCGCCCTGTACATCGGCAGCGAGGACAGGGAGCTCACCCTCCCCGGGGCCAGCGGCCACGGCTACGTCTGGCCGGACGACGCGTCCAAGATGCGAGAGCTGGCCGGCAATGTCATGAGGATCGAAGGGTGGCGCAACACTCGGAGCTATTACAGCTTCATCCAGGTACCCATCCTCCTCCTCCTCCTCCTCCTCTTCACCCACCCCCTCCTTCCCCCCCTCTCTCTCGGACGTACTGACCATGACTAGGACCTGGCACAGCTATACACCGTCCGCCCCCTCAAGGGCCTAGACGTAGCCCACATGCACGACCGGCTCCGTCTGCAGAAGCTGTCTCCCGCCCAGAGCCGAGACATCTACCTTACCCTGTCGAAGCACATCCACACCTACGACGAGATATGCCTCCTGCTCAGCGTGGCGCCCGAGTCGCGCGCCGGCCTGTTCTACCTCGGCCTGGGCCTCTTCCACAAGGACGCGGATGTGAGGTTCCGCACGGCCGAGCTGCTCGAGCGCGTGGCCTCTCACGAGGCGGGACAGCACTGGTGGAACAGCATGAGCCGGTTCCAGAAGCTGGCGTTTACGCGGAACCTGAACGCTGATGGTGCCGGAGGGGGTCCCGGGGGAGCAGGTCAGGTGCCGGTACCACCACCGAAGGATGCGGGGAGTCCGGGGGGAAGTGATAAGAGGATGAGCTGATTGAGAGGGGCGGGGGTTGTCTGCTATTGGACATCTGGACTTTTTTTCTTTTTTTACAATCATTTTATATATATATCATGAAGCAAAGCATGTCTTTCCTTGTCTAGTTCTGTACATTACGTACAGATATTTAGAGCGATGTCTTTCTTTTCTTTTCTTTTCTCTCTATTTTTTTTGGAGGAGGGTAGGAGGGGGGGGGGGGGGGGGGGGGGGGGGGATGCTGTTACGGAAGCAAGGCATGGACATACTGGGACATGAACACACGAGAAACCATAAGACTTGGGCCATCGTATATATATATATACATGCACATATACATGCACTGAGGATTAGAGGGATGTATACGGTTAACGTGATGTGAGCTTAATTATAGTTCCACTCCCGGTGTTCTCGACATGGATGTATGGGTGTGACCCTTCCCGGTAACCCTCACAGAAGACCGAGAGCCTTGGCGGCGTGCTTGACGTGGTCCTCGCCAAAGGTGGAGATGAAGAAGTAGGAGTGGTCGTAGCCCTAGAGAGGTCAGTTGATGAGGGGTGAGGAGTGAGGGGGTGAAGAACGGGGGGGTGTAAGAAGGGAGGTAGAGTTTCTTGTTTTGAAAAATGACGTGGAGATGAAATAGTGGGAGGGGTGATAGAAAGAGAGGGAGGGGTAATAGAAAGAAGTTTTTTTTTTTTTTTTTTGAAAAAAAAAAGTAAAAATTTAAGATGAAAAAACTCACATCATGGTAACGGACATTCAAGTCGGTGACACCAGCGTCCTTGGCGGCCTTTTCAAGATTCTCGGGGAGGAGTTGACCCTGCTTGTAAAAGTTGTCGGCACGGCCCTGGTGGGGGTTGTCAGCACAGAGTGGAGGGGGAGGGGGAGGCGGAAGAGGAGGAGGAGGAGGGGGAGGGAGAAAGGACATACGACGTCGATGAGAGCGTTGAGAGGACCATTCTTCCAAGACGCTATGAGCTCGGTAGCATCGTGCTTCTTCCACTCGGCCCTGTCGTCGCCGATGTAGCCGGCGAAGGCCTTCTCGCCCCACGGGCACCTGGACGGGTTGCAGATGGGCGACCAGGCGCTGACGCTCTTGTAGGCGCCCGGGTTCTTGAGGTACAGCGTCAGGGCGCCGTGGCCGCCCATGGAGTGGCCGGCGATGGAGACGCGGCCGGCGTCGAGCTCCGGGTAGTCGGCGAAGACGAGGCCGGGCAGCTCCCTGGTCAGGTACGTCTCCATGAGGTAGTTGGAGGACCACGGTTGCCTGGTGGCGTCGATGTAGAAGCTGGCGGCGCTGCCGAAGTCGTAGGCGTCGTGCTCGCCCGGGTGCTCGGTCCCGCGCGGGGAGGTGTCGGGGTAGAGGAGGGCGAGGCCGAGGCGGGAGGCGTGGGCGTGGAGGAAGCCCTTCTCCGTCACGTTGTCCGGCGTGCACGTCAGGCCGGAGAGGTAGATGAGCACCGGGGCCGGCTGGGACTTGGTGGCCTGCGGGGGGAGGAAGAGGGTCAGGTTCATGGGAGTCTTGGTGGTGGCCGATTGGTGGGTCAGCTTGAGGAAGCGGCCGCCAAAGGAGGTGATGGTTGAGTTGGTCGTGAAGGACATCTTGACAGATTTTTGTCTTCTCGTCTTATTCTTCTCTCTCTCTCTCTCTCTCTCTCTGTCTGTCTGTCTGTCTGTCTGTCTGTCTGTCTCACACTGTCAGACCACTGTCGGCGATGGAGATTGATGGAGATGTAATGGAGAGTTATATATATGATGGATCGTCTATCTACTCTATCGTAAGAAACAGGGTGCTGCTCGGACGGTTTTATCATGGCGGGGTTGCTCGAATGGAATTAGCAAGTCTCCTTCCCCACCATTCCGTAGCAACCCCGAGAAAAGTCCATTTCGTCATTGTTCATGTGAGGGGAAACACCGCGAACCGAAACCGGGAGGGGTGAAGAGCATTATTGAATTAAATAAAATAAAGAAAATACATGATATGAAGTAAAGAAGAAGAAGGAGAAGAGAAGGAGAAGGAGGGGAAAAGAGGGGGGAAAAAACCCTCCCCCTTTGCCCCCTCCCCCCACATTTGTTCATTGATTCATGATTGAGAAGAGAGAATAAAAACCCTGTTGTTTCGTTTTTGCTTGCGCCGTGATGAAGTCCGAGAGAGGAAAGAAAGAGGAGAAAGGAAGAAGAAGAAGGAAGAAAGAAGGGATAGATTTTCAGTTGGACATGTGTGTCGTTGTGTGCCGTTAGATTATATACATGTTTGGTTGCGTGTGTGCTTGTATGTGCGTGTTTGTATATGTGTGTGTGTGTGTGTGTGTGTGTGTGTGTGTGGTGTGTGTGTGGTGTGCGTCGTAGAAATTAAACATTGAAAGACTGATGGATGACGTTGTACTATGAGAGCGGCCCTCTCTCTCAGTCTGGCCTCGGTGATATGTGTCGTGTATATATGTATGTATATATGTGCGGGATAGAATGGGGATGGGGAGGGATAGATCGAGCCTATCTCTTGGCGACGCAGTCGAAGCTGCGGAAGAGGTGATCCCAGTTGATGACGCTCAGGTCGTTCTTGTTGGCGTAGCCGTAGTCGACGGCGCCAAAGGTGCAGCCTGTGGGGCTGGTGCAATTGCCGCCGCAGTTGTAGGTGCGAGGGTAGCACTGGAAGGCTGCGTCGTCGGGGGCGAAGGTCTTGACGTTGCCGGCGTAGGGCTCGGGGAGCTGGTGGCAGGTGCCGTTGAGGGTGTAGACCTGATAGTCGCAGGTTCCCGTGTGGTTGGCGCCGGTGCAGATGGTGACGCCTCCGAGGCCGCGCTTGGAGAAGATGGGACCGGCCGTGGCGGTAGAGACCACGGCGGAGATGATGGTGAAGATGGTGGAGAACTTCATCTTTTTTTTCTTCTTTCTCGGCCGGGAGGGGGGGAGAAGGTAAGAGGGTTCTTGGGAAGGTTTTTTTTCTTCTGCAAAAGAGGTTGATGATTTTGAACTGGAATGTGAAGAGTTCGAGATGGAATATATATAGGCGCAGTGTGGGGGTGGTTGGTGTTTTTTTTTTTCTTCTTTTTCTTGGTAGAAGAATAATGGAGGGGGTTGGAAAGAGGTTGGAAGAGGTTGGATATGATTGAAACCAAACAAAGATGCCCTGATAGGAAAAGGATTCTTAATAAAAAAACACGAAGGGAAAGGGGGTGGGGGGAAAAACGACTTTATAATAACTTTTTCATCTTTCTCTTCCTTTCTTTACCATCCTTCTCTCCTCTCTCGACATACGACACAGACCCCATTGTAAACGATGTCATTCATTTCCTCGGGTTCCCACCTCCCCCTCTCGATCAATCCCCCCCCCCCATAGCCACAACCCACAGACGCAGACACGGCCGACGACGGGAGAGCCGGGTCGTATGGTCTTCTTCCCTGCTGCGTGTCTCGATGTTATTTCTCAGGTGATCAGGGTATGGGATGCTGCCAGTACAGGTATCGCCAGGACAGACCAGGCGTCGCCAGTACAAGGTACTGCTACTTGCTCGTGCACGTACCTAGCCACGCTGCATGCATGTACTCGTACACCCCTCTCCCCCTCTCCCTCTCTCCCTCTCTCCCTCTCTCCCCCCCCCCCCCCCCCCCCCCCCCCCCCCCCCCCCCCCCCCCCCCCCCCCCCCTCTCTCTCTCGTACGACGGAGTATTATAATAGATTAAAATAATGCAAGAATCGGCCTAGTGTCCCGACAAGCTGATCTGCCCCATGGGCCACTTTGATGGACGGAAAATCTCCACAAGGTACTATTGCAACGTCGTCGTCCAATCATCCATGTCCAATGTATGTAGATCCCTCTTGCCTTGCTGTGCCCTTTTTTGCTCCTCTCTCTCTCTCTCTCTCTCTCTCTCTCCTTCTTCTCCTTCTCCTTCTTCTCCTTTCTTTATTTCCAGACCCCTTAAAGTGTCTCGTAGACGTCATGGGCTCCTGAATCATCCCCACCCGTCGTTACCTAAGCCTTGCCTTCTTCTTCCCGGTCACGGTTACCGACTATCAATACTCCATCCTTTACGAAAAAAAAACAAAACAAACCGAAAAACGCTTATACCCGTCGGATCGATCAAGAAAGGTTACTGCGCGGGACAGCAAGGATGGAAAGAGACATCATCATCCTCATCTGAAGAGCAGAAGAGAGCCGAGAAGAAGATTTCAGGGTAAAACACCACATGCATGCCACCTGCAGGATCCCTCGTATTCCCACCACAGCACGCACATATCACTACCTGCTCGTGCAGCACGACTGATCAATCTGTCCGTACAGCATTTCCGTACACATGTAATACCCTAAGTCGACCATCTACGACCAGGTACGGAGCGCAACGTACCCTTGCCCACCCCCCTCCCAGCCGCCCCGGAAACCCTTTTGTTTTTTCTTTCTTTCTTTTCTTTGACGAGGTCACGAGAGCTGGTGCATCTTGATCAGGTTTCTAATAATAATAACCGACGGATGATGAGATTGAGATGAGATTGAAATGTGCCAGAGTCCAGGAGTGCCGACGTGCACGAGCATCAGATGGCATGGCCGTGACTCTGCCGAGTATTGGTGATGAGAATGCCGAGGACTGCATTCCATGCATCGTCATGCATCGTCCTCGCCATGCTCTTCTCCGTACCTGCGCTGCGTTCAGCAGCCGTGGCGAAGGCGATCACCATCACCAGCCTCGAACCCTTGCATGGAGCGCACCGGCCTGCATCAGCTCTACGGCGGTACCGCTGTGATCTGTACAGTCTACAGCACGGCTCCGGCTGCTGCGCGGGACGGTGGAATTGGCGGTGTCCAGGTGCGCTGTGATCCGTAGTCGGGGCTCCCCGGGAGACCTGGAGTCCCCTTTGTGGCTACGCCCACGGGACAGCATCTCTCAGCCTCCGCCGCCAGACGGTCATGGTCAGTATCAGCCTATACGGATCCGGTACGAGTAGATGATGCAGTGGGTAATGCTGCTGCTGCTGCTGCTGCTGCTGCTGCTGCTGCTACTACTACGACTACTACTACTACTACTACTACTACAACTGCTACTACTACTACTGCTATTACTACTACTACTAACTACTAGTACATAACTACTAGTACTGCATAATACGACAGATTACAAGATACCACATACTACTGCACCTAGCACTGGATAGTCTCGACATCACATGCGTAATCCGACTACGCACAGACTGCCCTCTCCCAACTACGTCAGGTCCCAACTCTGTATTGATAGTATGTATCGCTTACTCGTATCGTACACCTGTTTTTATCCATGCTCTCTGTATTACCTGTAGTCTACGACGTAATCTCCCACTCCATATCTGACTCGTCATCATCTCGCATACACGGGGGACCCCCTTCCCCCCAACCTTCTCTCTCTCTCGCCTTCAACCCCCGGGTACTACGAGTCCTTATGCTACGTAGCATCCAGCTGTCTATCTGTATTGATTTCTCTTCTCACATTATGCTGCTTGTGCTAATAATAGCATTCCCTCGACATTTACTGTCAAAAATTTCCTGAGCATCGTCACCATTATTATTATTATTATTTTATTTAAAAAAAAAAAAAAAGAGATTTCAGGAAAACCACCGAAAAAAACCCCCCCACAAAGATACAGAGTATTGATAATTAAATGCACGGTGGGCGACTTCACCTCTCCTTGTCATGATGCTGATGCTCGGCATCATCAATACTCCTTATCCTGGGAGACGTATACGAGCATATCCCCCGCGTGTGTCTCTCCGATGGTCCTCTCTTCTGTCATGCTCTTCACCGGAACATCATCTGTACAGCTACGAGCGCTTGCTCTCCATCCTTCACCCCTCGCCTCCCGTCAACTTCGTCCGGGGATCAGGCTAACCCTTCTTCAGATCTCATCCCCAACCTCTCTCCCCCTCCAAAGATCAAGACAGACACGGATTACGGAGGGAAGAAAGGGGGGGGGGGGGGGGGGGGGGGGGGGGAGGGGGCTTGCCTTTTCGTCTCGCCAAAGCCACCGTTTCCATCCATGGGGGCCGTCCATCATCAATCACATCATGCATGCACTTGCAAGCTGCAATCCACATGTAAATACCGTCCGTACCTGTACGTGATACCATGACAGGTACGAGCAAGAGAGAGAGGTGTAGTAGACTCGGGAATACAGCAATGGTAGATCACACACACCGTATGTATTCCACATGCCGGCCAGATCAAATCACTCCCACCAACCAACCTCTGACCCTTGATCTGACCGTCCTCACCAACCAACCCAACCCCCGGGGATGGATGGACACACACACACACAATGGATCTCGTACACCCCATCACCACGTCACCCCCACTCCTTTCGGGAGCATGCTCCCCCTCGTATCCCATCTACTGATACCCATCGTCTGATCCGTGACATGTCCCGTGTAATTGCCGTGGCGCAGAAGGAACAACCACCTGCCTTCTTAGACTTCACCTTCTCCCCCTTCCCCCTCATGGATGGTAAAAAAAAAAAAAGGCATTTCTGTCCGCGCGGTTAGTGACACCCATCCCAACGGGTTTGACGCATGGCAGATCCTGATGTCTTAACCAAGCCCCCCACCTTTTCTTCTTTTGCTGCCCTGGCTGACAGTGTATGTTACGAACTTGGTGCATATTCATATATTATTGATTGGTTCAATTGGGATCTGTTGTCTAAAAAAAAAAAATCTTTCTCAACTTCAATCCTCTGCCATCGTGTGATGGATAAACCATCACCTTTTTTTTTCCTTTTTTTTCTTTTTTTTTCCTCCTCCGATATTTCTTCCCGAATAATGCCCTTCTTAACAACGCCACGCTGCAAAATTTCTCTCTTCAAAAAAATTCAAGATATAGCATACACACACACACACACACACACACAAACACACAGACCATGCAGATGGTCCCGTGGGAAGCGATCCCAGCAGCAGACTGAGGATATCCTTCCCTCGAGACGACGACAGGTCAGCAACCACGACAGGGCAGCAGATCCTAGAGTGAAGACACCGATGGGAAACGCTAGACGGAACTGGCCCAATTTACCCAAGCACTACTGCGAGACAGATGGTTGTGTAGACAGATGGAGAGACTTGAGACAGTCTGTACCCTTGCTTATCCACGCCTCTCGGCTCAGCCATGTCGCGCTCGTCTTATCCATATTTGGGGGAGGGGTCGTCCATCTGGGATGGTCGCCATCGTCGAGTGCCTTTTTATTGCAGCAGTTCCTCGCAGGTCCAGTCCTCGTAGCTAAAGCACACACCAGCTGTAAGCAGCAGATCATGGTGACGAGGGTAACATGATCTCCCTCTCGACTTACTATCCGTCAGGCATGTACCGCCTCACAATGAGGGGAATCTTCTTCTCCCGTAGCTCCTTGATAGCGATCTGCAGCGGGTCCGTCTCGCCCTCGAGGTCAACCAGCACGGGGGCATTCATGCTGTTTGTTTCCGGGGTCAGCTTGGCTGTCCGAGCTGCGTGCGCACGCGCCTACGGCTGGACGTACACGCACACGCGCACACGCACACGCACACACACGCACGCACGCACATACACGCACACGCACGCTCGCACGCACACACGACCGCGCGAGATGCGTGCCGTTGTGTTGCGTATATAGGCTTGTCCGGTGCTGGCTAGCTTACCTGATCTGCAACGCGCGCGTCCCCAGGATGCGCGCGCGCTCGTACTTTGTCATGTAGGGAGTCGTCATCCTCTCGGCGTCGGGTATCTTCTTGTCCTTGAGCGACTTGTCGGCACCCTTGAGCGCGTTGGCCGCGGCCGCAGGGTCGCCCGACACGACCACGTTGTCGTCGTCTCCGTTCTGCAGGCGGTCCTCGTCCTCCTGCTCGACATCTGGCTCGTAGAACTCGTTTGCGTCGTCGTCGTCGTACATGGGCTCATCGCTGGGGTGAAGCCTGTGCGTTAACAACCTGATGGCGGAGAGAGGCAGATGAGGGTATAGCGCAAGTGCGTGTCACACACACACACACACAACACAGCAGCAGAGCAGAGCATTTGACTTACCCGCCAGCACCGACATCATCGTCACCGAAGTCGGACATTTTGTATCAATGCAGTGGATGAGCTATTACACTATTGGCAGACGATTTGTGTTTGAAACGGGGGAGGTCGAACGTGTGTCGTTGCTTGAAGAGCGGGGGGGGACGGATCATAGGCTGGCACGCGAAGGGGGAAAAGGAAGAAAAAAAACTACAGTAGGAGGTTCTTTCCCCGGTGAAGCAGGACTGACCGGATACTGATGGTTATTGGCCACTCACCGAGACCAGGTACCTTTCTCCCCTACTCACCGAGCTTCTACGGCTAATGCTTAATACTTAGTAAGAAAATGAAAGCCAAAGGTGTGAAAAATCACAATAATAAAAAATTAAAATCCAACAACTCGTCACCCACCCAAAAATCGCTTTCTCACCGCTTAAAAGTTGTAGACCGGAATTCTGCCACACACACACACACACACGCACACACGCACACATACCTAATAATGGTCCCCGACGACAGATTCACCACACCGGCCCCGTCGTCACGGTCATGTCAAAACGCACAGCAATCGAGGAGGCACAATGTGCGACTCCCCTGAAAAGAATCCATCTCGAGCAAGACGGTGGCATCGATGCCACTGCAGCTCTCAAGAAGATGCACCTTCGAGACAGTTCTTGCCATCGTCCCATCACTCCCCCTCCAGCGGCGGAAGACGAAGCAGCCACTCCCACGACGTCACCTAGCAATGACGAGGAGGAAGGAGGATCGCCGGCAGAAGCAGCAGCCTACTCGTCACCCGTGACGACGACGACGACGACGACGACGACGACAACCCCCAGCCACGCCAGGTTCCCATCGGACCTCAAGACCTTGTGCTGCACGTGGCCTGGCTGCCCCAAGACGTTCAACCGCCCGGCCCGGCTGCGCGACCACCTCAACTCGCACACCAACAGCCGGCCGTTCCGATGCCTCTACGACGGCTGCGACAAGGACTACACGGTCGACAAGCACCTGAAGCAGCACGTCAAGGCCGTCCACACCCGCGAGCGCAAGCACGTCTGCCCGCGCGACGGCTGCGGCAAGAGCTTCGTCACCGGTACGCGGCTGAAGCGCCACCAGGCCGTTCACGAGGGCGCTGACCGCTTCCGCTGCCCGGAGTGCGGCCAGAGCTTCCGCAAGAGGGACACCCTGGCCAAGCACGTCAGGCGCGACCACCGGGGCCTCCCTACCCACGCCTGCCCCGAGACTGGCTGCGATGCCGCCTTCGACACCCGCGCCTCCCTCCGCCGCCACGCCGATCGTCAGCACGGGGAGCCCCGCTTCTGGTGCGCAGAGTGTGCCTCCACAGCTTCCGCACCCCTGGGCTTCACCACCCAAGCTCTCCTGCAGGCTCACATCAAGCGCGACCACCAGGACTGCATCTTCTGCGACTTCAAGTCCACGTCCCAGGCCGAGCTGGAGCGCCACGTAGAGCTCCACCACTCGGGCCGCTCCGTCCAGGACCGCCGCTCCGTCCGCTGCCCCCACCCCGGCTGCCCCAAGACCTTCACCCGCCGCTCCAACTGCAACAACCACGTCCGCACCGCCCACCAGGGCCTCCGCTACGTGTGCGGCCAGGTCGGCCTGCCGCCGTCCCTCGACGGCCAGCACGGCACCTACCACCCCTGCGGTCAGGGCTTCGCCTCCAAGGCCCGTCTGGAGGACCACGTCCGCCACGTACACCTCGGCCAGGAACGCGTCCGCATGTCCGCCGTTGCCCCCGACCCCGACCTCGTCCTCGGCTCCGAGCCGGGATTCTCCGTCGCCGCCGTCGGCCGTGGTGACGGCGATGACGCCTCCGCCATGATCGACGACATCCTCGGCATGACCGACGCTCCCACGCCCATGTTCGATGCCGGCAATGACTTTACACCGTCGCAGCTGTCGACGGGGGCAGCAGATGGAGAGGAAGAAGAAGCAGGCACCGGTCGGCCTGATGATGACGAGTACGACGAAAACATATTCGCCGCCGACCTGGACTATGATGACGTCGATAATGACTGGGCCGATGACGAGGCCAACATTCTCCTCCTGGCTCGTCACGATCTCACCACCACTATCACTCCTTCTGAAGATGCCATAGACCCTTCTCTTGGCCATTTCTAGCTTTACCCCCTCCCCCCCCCCCTCCCCCTTTCTTTCCTCTTTTATTCTTTGTTCTTTTCTGTTCCAGTTCGGCAAGGCATATTAAAAAAAAGTGGAGATCGGGAATCAACACGGTGGCGTTATGAGCAACATGAATTTTTTTTTTAAAAAAACAACTTGTCTGTCTGTTTCACAACGGAAGAGACACACGTTACACAAATCGAGTCTAGATGAGATATTTGAAATTTGGAAAATGAAACAAATGGACCGATCATGGCCTTCCTGATCCCTTGATTGCTCATTCTAGCTTCGTCGTGATATAAGAATCTAAATGTGTTGTTTATTCCCCCTTACATGCGTGAAATCCAATGCAGACTCTTGAACCATGAACAAAAACAAAAGAGAAGAAAGAGAAGGGTAACAAGAGTAAGTATAATTAGAAGACATGAGAAGAAATGAAAAAAAGAGAAGAGCTTGGAAGAAGAAGATTTTTTTTTTAAAAAAAAAAAAAGATAAGATGGATATTAATGGCTGCTAAACAAGGCATTACTGACACCCAAAAGCACCATTCCGAGAAACCCAAAAAAGCTGCACAGGTTCCTGTCGTGGTTGAGGCTCAGACTCTCGATAAACAGCTGCAGGGCCACGCTGACCATGATGCCCGCCGTCACGGCGAAGAGGCAGGCGTACACCACGGGGTCCGGCTCGGCGTGCCGGGTTGCGAAGCGGAACCACAGGGCGGCCAGGCCGGCGCCAAACGGCTGGGACAGGCCGCCCAGCAGGGTGGACCAGAGCATGGCGCGCCACCGGGACCTCAGGGCCATGTACAGCGGCAGAGCCATGGCGAAGCCCTCGGAGATGTTGTGGATGAAGAGGGCCATGAAGACGTTGAAGCCCAGCGAAGGGTTGGCGTGGTTGGTCGCGTACGTGATGAAGCCCTCGGGGAGCTTGTGCAGGGCGATGGCCATGGACGTCTGCAGACCGATGGAGAGGAAGGCGTTTGTGGGGACGTGGTGGTGGTGCTGGGATTCAGGGTCCTGGTCGTCGTGGCTGTGGTGGTGGTCGTCGTCGCGGCCGTCGTCACCTCTGAGATACGATGAGCTGCTGAAGGAGCTGTCGTCCTCATCGGCGTAGCGGCTCTGCGCACCCGTCCCTTCCAAGGGATCCCGTGAGGTTGCTCGGCTGGTGCAGAAGACGGAGTTGTTGTCGCCTGTGCCAGCGCCGGCGCCAGCGCCAGCGCCAGCATCGCACTGCTGCTCCAGCCCCGATCGGAGAACGGTCGTCTGCTCGTGTCGCGGCCCGTGGAGGTGCTTGTAACATTCCTGGCCGCACGGATCTGTGAAGCCGTAACACGACCCCTGGGCGTCGCAGTTGCTCTTGGTGTCCTTGACAAACGACATGACACGGCTCTGCATCAGCAACATAGACGGCCGCCTATCAGCGTCGGAGAGCAGCTCGGCCGTGGGCAGCACGCCGGTACTCGTCGAGGGCGTCGGCGGCATGTGCATGTGCGAGGTTCCCGGGCGGCTGTTGTTGCGGGTCGTCGCGGACCCGTTGCCCAGCAGGGGTGTCGACTCGACGGACTGATGGATGCTGCCGTTGTTGGAGGGGTGCCCTCTCCTGTGGCGGGGACGACTAGGTCGGGAGAGAGTCCTGCTCCGCTCGCTCGACGGCACCGTATCCTTCACCGTCGGTTCGCCGTGGCCGTGGTTGTGGCTCTGGGCGGCATGGCTGTGGGTGCAGTCGACGACGTGAGAGGGTATATACCTGTGCAAGAGGCGGGATATGGTCTGTATACCGAAGAAGCCGGCGATGAAGCCCACCATCATGATCAGCCCGGCAGGTTGGTCGGACCAGCCGTCACGCTTGAGGTAGCTCTTTGACTCGGGGAGCATGCTGTAGAGTGAGGTGAAGAGCTGTTTCATATCAGTCTCCTGGAGACCAACAAAGGAGGGACAAGGAATAAGATGAGGGCAAGAGTGAGAGAGGCTGGACAGTAACATACCATGACGCCGAAGCTCAAGCTGAGAGAGCATGCTTGGAAGACGGTGCTCTCTTCGACACGAAAGGACCGCCTGCCGGGGAAGAGGCGAACAATGGCATCGACACAGATGACGCTGGATCCAAAGACGCATGCTACCAGGAGGGAATAGTAATAAGTCAGCAACGGAGGGTGGAGGGGGGAGGGGGGGGGTTAAGTGAACAAGACACAATGTATCTGACATACCCAGGCCACTGATAAGAGTCAAGATCCACCCGCGGGCATCATTGTCCAGCTCGTACGTCGAGGGCGCCATCGACACGCTCTCGAGGTATGACGTCGATATGCCAGGATTGTTGGATGTGTTTTGTTTGGCGTGTGTGGGCGCTGTTTTACTTATCAGCAGACTGATAGTGAGTAGCAGGGTTGACGGGAAGTCCGGGAGACAGGAGAGGTAGGGTATTATATCATCCAAGGCCTGACGAGGGAGATTTCCATGGCCGTAGACGCGGAGAGAGCTGATGTCTATTGAATGGGAGAGTGAGAGAAAAAGATGGATAGCTATCTGGGGGTCACAGCAGAGGCGGCGAACGGTGGTGACCCTTTTTTTGGCGGCTGCGGAGAAGGAGGAAGGCAAAGAGCCCATCAAGGTTCCCGCCACTGAGACAGAATGTCTCCATTCCGCTCCGTACTATGGCGTACGGTGCGGCGCGTGCTACCAAAGGTCGGTGATACTACTAGTATTAGTTAGTGATCGTAGGGATACTTGTTGAGTCTTATAATACGATCAGGAAGAGAACTTCTTCACCCGCCTTCCTCATTATATATTCACTGGCGGTGAGTAATCGATGTCCTCATACGCTGCCACTCGCTGACACTTGCTAGCATCACCATCACCACCACTACGACCAGGTATTACTAATCTGTACAGCTGTAACGGTTACTACCTACTAATACTACCAAGGTAGTGATGGTAAGTATCATCAGTATCACAAGGACGGACTGCCTGCTATAGAAAATATGTAGGCTGCCTTCTACCCTCCCTCGGGGGTAACATGACCATGCTCGGTCACCGTCCCATGTGCTGGTCTGACCTGGCGTCGTCCATCCGTATCAGTCGTCAGGGTTCCTTACAAGAGCCGGCTTATTGCTACTCTTGAATCTTGATTATTAAATGCTGGTAGCGAGTTGGCTAGATCAGGTGCAGGTGGATTGGATGGGACCCTCCATACTAGGCTCCAGTACGGAGCAATACAGCGGTCACTGTAGGCTGTAGCAGCGGGCCTCGCACCACTGTACCGAGTGCAGATACAGAGCAAAAGTTGCGCGGGTGTCGCAGCCTGGAAGCCAGAAAAATCAGTGCCCCAGGCACCCATTTCCGCCCCCCCCCCAAAATAGAAGTATCTCTCGTGTACAGATACCGTCGACAGGCCAGAGTCATGGTGTCATGATGACAATATCTTCCAAAAAGTCCACCGTACCTTATCATACTATTATTCCCCAGAATTATACCTGGTATTGACAATAGCTGAAGCGTTTTCGTCGAGATCAGACAAGGGGATGCCCGGGTTGATGGGCTGTAAGGTGAGTCGGTATCATCGACTCTCGTGGAGTAAAAGCAAAGAAGAAAGATGGCGGCAGCCTCGTGACGTCCGCTCTTTGTTTGGCCTGCTAGGAGTAGTACCACACCCTTATTTGCAGCGGGACGAGACGAAGAACCGTGGCTCGAAATCATGCCTTCACTTTCTCTCCTTGGTCGGCAGCAACATCCAGCTCCCTACAATGCCCAGGGTAGAACAAGACAAGGTCAGAGGGCAGATGATGTTGATAGAGAAAATGGGGAAGCTACTAATATCGATCAATACCTGACAGCACCACCCCCCCTGGTACCTGCTGCCCGGTGCTCCACCAACGTGACCCTTCCAAAACCACCAGAGTACAGATTAGTAGAAGAAGAAAAAGCTATCACAGACCACCACCATCCAGCCACATGAAGGACAGCCAGGACTCGTGAGCTCGGCACCGGAACTCTGACCCTCCTCCCACATCTCCCTTCCACTCTCTACTCCCTTGCACTCTCTTTACCAAAAAAAAAAAAACAAAAAAAAAAAACAAAAGGGACCCCCTACCCCTCCAAGATGTCCAAATCAATCATCATGATAGCCGCCCTGGGAGCAGGAGGCGGCGCAGCTCTCACGGCAGCCGCGTATTCCCTCCGAGGAGACTCCAAGACCAAGACCAGCATTCCCGCCTCCGCGACGACCCCAGATCCAACCATGACCGCATCCTCACCCTCGGCCGTCCTGGCCAAGACGAACAACAGCAGCAGCAGCAGCAACCCGGTCGACCCCTCAGGCCTCTTCCAGTACGGCTTTCCAGGACCGGTGGCCGACCTGGCCACCCGCAGCGCCCTGGTGTCGTCGTACGACCGGCGCACGCGAAACCCGCACTGGGTGGCCGAGCACATGACGGCCGAGTCCCTCTCGCGGCGGGAGGGCGACCGCAAGGGCAGCGTCTTCGTCGAGGACGAGTCCGTGCCCGCCAGCTACCGCGCCCTGCTGAAGGACTACTTCCGCAGCGGCTACGACCGCGGTCACCAGGTGCCCGCCGCCGACTGCAAGTGGTCCCAGTCGGCCATGGACGAGACCTTCTACCTGACCAACATATGCCCCCAGGTCGGCGAGGGCTTCAACCGCGACTACTGGGCCCACTTTGAGGACTTCTGCCGCCGCCTCACGGACCGGTACGCCTCGGTGCGCGTCGTCACCGGCCCGCTCTACCTGCCCCGTCGCGACCCCGCGGACAACAAGTGGTACGTCAAGTACGAGGTCATCGGCTCGCCCCCCTCGGTCGCCGTCCCGACCCACTTCTACAAGGTCATCTTCGCCGAGGGTGCCAGGCCCGGCGACCCCGTCGCCCTCGGGGCCTTCGTCCTCCCCAATGCCCCCATCGATAATGCCAAGCCCATCACCGACTTCGAGGTGCCCCTCGAGGCTGTCGAGCGCGCTTCCGGCCTCGAGTTCGCCTCAAAGCTGCCCCCCCAGAGGAGGAAGCGCCTCTGCGCTGACACTACCTGCTCTCTCATCATTCGCGACTACGCTGATAGGCAGAAGGCCTTTGCCAAGGGCGGGAATGATAAACGTGTCATCGCCCCATCCCCCAAGGCATAGATAGTCCCTGTTCGTTTCTCCCCTTCTCATCAGGTCATTCTCCTAACTTATTTCTTCTTCTTTTCTTCTTCGATTCTGTACATCCCTTTCTCCCTGTTCTTATAACATCTGTCTTTGATCTCATAACACCGCAACTACCTCATAGAGTCCACAACTTCCCTGTTTCGTTGGATGGCCTTTCTTCTTTTTTACAAATCTTCAGCATCCTTTTGCTTTTCTATACATTGCTCTTCATACATGTCATAGATAGAACACCCCTTCTTTCTCCTCTCTCTCTCTCTCTCCCCTCCAGGTTTTCCGTCTGGTCATCCCTCTTAGGTGTGGCATTCATAGTACAGAATTGAAGTCATAGAACATGATGCATGGCGAGAGCGTCGCTGTATAATTTCAATTTAGAAAAGAGAAAATCTCTACGAGGTTGACGTTGTCATGCACCCCTTTAAGAATGTCGTGTTACGATGGATTTTTCCGATGGAGGACTCGAAAATATACATTCTCTTCTCCCAGCACTATGATACTATGATACACCGACTCATCTAATTTTCCGGGTATAATTATCAAGAATTACCAACACAACCTCTCTGTAATAGCCAATGCCCAATGGGTTTTTTTTTTTTTAAAAAAAAAAACCCCTAGTGATGATGATACAAAACGCCCAGTAACCAACGCCCCGAGAGTGAAAATGTCGAACAGCCACTACCGCTACGCTATCTGGAGCGCGTATACCGTCCCAGACGCTGCTCAGAACGGAGACTGTCCTCCTGACTAGGTAGCGGAGCTCTCCGTCTGGCAGATTCGGCCGCGGCAGCAGCAGCCGCCATGGCGGCAGCCGAGCCCGCGTCCAGAGCAGAGGGCGGGGGTGGGGGCGGGATGCCAGAGGGGCCACCGCCGCCAAAGTCTCCGGGGGGGGGTACGAAGCCCGGCGGCGGGAGGGGAACGCCGGCGTTCCTCATCATCTCGAACAGCGTGGCCGGGTCGGGAGGGTTGTTCGGGTCGATGCCCGGGAGGGGTGGCAGGGGTGGTGGGGCGCCGCCGTTGAGACCGGGGAGCATGGGTGGAGGGGGGGGCACCGATCCGGAAGCGCCGCCGACGCCGGGGATGCCGCGGGGTGGAGGAGGCGGGAGCGCACCGCCGACGGCGTGGCTTAGACCTGGGACGGATAGGCCCGGGGGTAAGCCTAGACCCGGAGGACCGCCGGCGTGGTTGGCATTGGCGGCTGCGGGGCGGGATGCCAGCGTGGTGGCGTCCTGGTCGACGAGGGCGTCGGCTTCGTCCTCCATCTCCTGCTCCTCCTCCTCCTGGCGCTGACGTCGGTTCCCGCGCCTGTCCCACGTGCCCTGGGCCTCGGCGGCGGCCTCGCCGATGTGGTAGCGGTCCTGGAAGACGTCGGTGTCGCCGGGGCGGGCGCGGGTCCAGAAGCGGGTGATGCGGTCGTTGGACCCCGAGGCCATGATGTGGCCGAGCGGGTGCCAGTCCAGGGTCCAGACGGCGTAGTCGTGGGCGTAGGGGACGCGGTGGGTGGGCCAGATGGACTGGGCCGGGGCCGAGCGCGGATCCGGCGTGTCCCAGGGCGAGAGGGTGAGGGGGTGGCCGGGAGGGGGGTTGGGTGTGTCGAGGAGGTAGTGGAAGATGGCGCCGTCCATGCCGCCCGTCGTCAGCAGGTTGGGGTGGACGGGGTGCCAGGCCAGGGTGGAGATGTCCTTGTCGTTGCCCTTGAGGAGGCAGATGTCGCGCATGGTGCGCAGGTCGAAGACGCGGGCCGTCTGGTCGCGGGCCGAGGTGGCGAGGCAGTTGCCGCGCAGGCGCTCGAAGAGGACCTTTGTGACGGTGCTCTTGTGGCCGTGCAGCGTCGTCAGGCAGCTGCGCTGGCGCGGGTCCCACAGCTTGACCAGGTGGTCCTTTGATCCGGACACGATGAGCCCCTTGCGGCTGTGCCAGTCCACGCTCTTGGCATCCCAGCCGTGGCCCTCGAGCTTGGACTCCATGGTGCCGCCGGCGAAGTCGAAGATCTTGAGCGTCGAGTCGTCCGACGCCGTGACGAACTTGTTGTCGCTGGGGCTGAAGGCCATGTCGCGGATGGGGTCCGAATGGGCGTTGATGTTCTCGACATTGTTGAAGTTGGGCAGCCAGTACTTGACGATGCCGTCCTGGTCGGCCGATATCAGCCACTCGCCGCTATGCGAGTACTCCATCGCGCGGATGGCCGAGTCGTGGGCCTGCATGATGGTCTCGAAGTTGAAGCCCGTGCCGTTCCACAGCGTGAACTCGCCGCTCGTCGACGCCGTCAACAGTCGCCGACCCTGGGGCGTCCACCGCACCACGTTGACCGGGTGCTTGATCTTGTTGAGTGAAGAGTGCAGGTGCTTGAGTGGGATAGAGTCGGCAGCCTGTGTCGGCCTACCGACGGGAGGCACCATCTGAACGCTGGTATGTCAGCACTGACCTACGTAGTAGGAGGTAATCCTCTTCTTTCTCTTCTCTCTCTCTCTCTCTCTTTTTTTTTTTTTTTTTTTTGACGAGATCCAACACGAGAGACGGTCACTCACATCGATGATGTAGCTGCCGCTTGGTCGCTCAGCCTCACCCGTGTATGACCCCTTGTAGTTTGGGACACGATGACGGGTCCAATGCAGCACGGTCGAGCTGTAATCGGTCACGGGGCCTTTTGTTTTTTTGTGTTTTTTGTTTTCACACACACGCAAGTCAGAAGATGAGCATAACCGGTATGAAGACGAGCAAATCGTGCCGCGGTGCTACCAGGAGGCTATACTCACGGCGGCCTCGCGCCCTGTAGGCACCATCCTGCCCTCCCTGGCCGCCATGGGGCTCACCCCGAGGCTCAAAGGCCATGGCGATTTAGCTTGAGCTGGAGGGCTGCAGAGCTGGAGAGCTCCGTAGACGATAGGCTGGAGCGGGAGCCGGAGACGGGAGAACGATTGAGAATTGAGAATGCACCAGCGGAAACGCCGGAAAAAGTGACGCGTTGGATTGTATAAATATGGCCGATACAGGTCGGGTTGGTCCCTGTCTCGAGGAGGTGAAAGAATATGGTTCAATATATTGGTTTGAATGTCGCAGACAATTGATGAGATGAGCTTAGATTCACCTAAAGATTGATGGCTCTACGTAGTATGCGGCTATTTAACCGATATTCTCCCGATGATCCAAGATGGACTTTGAGGCACGTGAGACGATGGTATGCCAGGCGGATCGGCTGGGAAAACATCGGGTAATCGCGTCTGATCGAGTAGCTAATAATACTAATTATCAGTATTGTTCTACGTCAATGGAATGAAAGTAAAAGGAGATGATAGCGTACGTAGTGACTTCATAACATGTGTTGCTGCTGTTGATAATCTGCAGATTTACCATAATGAGGGAAACTGGATTAGAGAGGGTACTATAGTACAGCTAAAGTAGATTAGGTAAGGTGGACTCGACCCCTTGTTATGGCCGAGTCCAAGGTGAGATGAATAATCGAGACTTTAACAGCCTACAACACACAACACACAACACATCCCACCTTTGAGTGGTTTGACTGTGTCGTGGTGTGGTTGCACGTTTGGACATTGAACACACGATTGTCTCATCTGCCTCTGTTTACGGCCCGCTTGTGGCCTGGTTCTGATCCCACTCGTAGTCGCTTGACATCTGCTTTGACACAGTTCTTGTCAGGATCCGATGAGAACATCTGCTCTTGACCGATAACCCGGGGGAAAGAAGCATCATGGCTAATGGTTTATCCTCTACTACTCCGTAGACTTGACCTTGTTCTAAAAAACGAGCCTGCATCACCTAATCTGCTCTAGCTGTAGTCCGTACAGATTACTATAACACGGTCCGAGCCTGAATCTCGTCACCTTCACATATACGATACACACCACCACCACCCGGTGCTCAACACATACATCCATGACCCGCTAAGCGAACACACACGCGCGCCTCGTGAGGAAGTTGTCTTGGGAGCCGGCCGAACTGGTCTTAGAGCTCGAGTCTGTGCCGAATGGCACCGTCAAAGACTATGTACATGCATCATCTCGGCCGTCGGCGTAGACGCCCTCTACGCGATCGTTGTCCATTCTCGTAATATTTTACCCACCCACCCGTACGAGCAACGGATTCATTGGCGCTTCCCGTGCACCGGTGCCTCAAGCGAGCCCAAAGCCGCATATGCGGTGCACGCATGCACTGCAACACCCTTCTACGTGGCAGGAATCCTGAAGGCTGCATCATCTCCGTCCCAACATTCTTCGGCCAAGCCTTGTTTTGATCTGTGCCGTCGAGCCGTCAACCCATCAGTTGTCGATGAGGACAGAGGGAGGGAAGCAGGACGAGATGGCATGACGGATGAGCAGCTATTACTGCAGTCAGAAGGTTGACATATCGGGTAATAAGTAAGAGATGTCAGTCATGGCCCATGCTCTCTCCTCAGGCGTCGCATCGCCAGGCTAAGACCGACTCTCGCAAATGCTTTCAGAGACAAAAATTTCGGGTCCGAAAGATGTGGACAGGCGTGGGCTATAAGAGAAGAGGTGCTTCCCAGTCGATCCTCCTTTCCTCCTCCTTTTTCTCTCCCTCTCTCTCCCCTCTCCCCCTCTCCCCCCCTCCCCTCTCCCCTGTGATCCTACGTGTTATCAACGTTGCCGTCTCATCAGGCCCCAAACACCGGGGCTCCGAGCTTACCTGTATAAGGGACAAGCAAGGTATCGATTGATGCTATCGCTGAGCAGTTCCGAGAGTGGCGATGTCCGGGATGAACCCCTCCCTGGAAATATCTGCATATTACTTCTTTTTTTCTTCCCTCTCTCTCTCTCTCTCTCTTTTCCTCTTGGCAATATTACCTCCGCCAGAGACTTTGGCATGCAAATGGAATTAATCGGCATTAAACCATTCTTACCCCGCTAGCTGTGCATTTTCTTGATTCTTTCCATGTATAGGAAAGGAACCTACCTGCTGCTATCCTCCTCTTCACTCTTCTGTGTCTCGTAAATAAAAAGCCCAGCCACCCAACAGACACCAAAGCTGGGAGAGAGGGAGAGCTACGTAATAAACTCTCAAACCTCACTCTCCTCACTTCCATCATCCCTCCCCTCATTTTTTTGCCTCCCTTCTTTCTCTCTCTCTCAAAACATACATACACACGCGCGCGCGCGCATATCACATCTCCTTTCTTTCTCACGTATATATTTATCCAAGACGTCCTCCCCTCCTCCCCCCCTCCCGCCCAAGGCATCTGGGTCGGTGAGCTCAATGTCCCAGAAGAAAATGAAGGCTGCTACTACGTCTACAGGTGTACAGACATCCAATGGCGCCACCGTGACGCATCGCAGTACCTCTTCCTCCAACGGTGACGACAGCACTACGCCCAACCCTACTCCTACACCGGCCAGACCTCCACGATCAAAATATCGTCATGTCGCCGCCGTCCACTCCATCACCAGGCCCTCATGCCTCAGTCATGATTCCAATGCCACGCCTAGCTTCCTGGGATTTCGCAACCTCATGGTTATCGTCCTTGGTCTGTCTCTCACCCTCGCACGCTCTCTCTTGTCTGATATCGACCCCGGCTGACTCCCGATGCGCTCACCCGTACAGTCGTGGGAAACTTGCGCCTCATGATTGAGAACATGCAAAAGGTTCGGATCTCCCACCCCTCCTCGTCAGTACGGACCGAACCGAAGCTAAGAGGTCCCTGTAGTACGGAGTCCTCATCTGCATCCGATGCCACGCCTACCGCAACCAAGACATCATCATGGGCCTCATGCTCTACTTCATCATCCCGTGCCACCTGTTCGCAGCCTACCTTATAGAGCTCTTGGCCGCTCAGCAGGCCCGGGGGTCGCGCAAACGCATCAAGGAGGGCCGGACGGGGCCCTCGGACGACGACCGCAAGCGCTTCCACACCGCCTGGACAGTGGTGGCCTGGGCGCACGGCATCAACATCACGTTGGCGCTGGCCCTCACGACGGTCATCGTCTACTTCCGCATCTTCCACCCGCTCATAGGCACGCTGACGGAGCTCCACGCCATCATCGTGTGGCTCAAGGCGGCCTCGTACGCCTTCACCAACCGCGACCTGCGGCACGCCTACCTGCACCCGGTCAAGGGCGAGGCCGTGCCCGACCTGTACGCCCGCTGCCCCTACCCGGCCAACATCACCATGGGCAACCTCGTCTACTTCTGGTGGGCCCCGACCCTCGTCTACCAGCCCGTCTACCCCCGCACCGACCGGATCCGCTGGCTCTTCGTCGCCAAGAGGCTGGGCGAGGTCTTCTGCCTCAGCGTCTTCATCTGGTTCGCCACCGCCCAGTACGCCACCCCGGTCCTGGTCAACTCCATCGACAAGATCGCCTCGCTCGACTTCCCCTCCATCCTCGAGCGCCTCCTGAAGCTGTCCACCATCTCCCTCGTCATCTGGCTCGCCGGCTTCTTCGCCCTCTTCCAGTCCTTCCTCAACGCCCTCGCCGAGGTCCTCCGCTTCGGCGACCGCGCCTTCTACGACGACTGGTGGAACTCGGAGAGCCTCGGCGCCTACTGGCGTCTGTGGAACAAGCCCGTCTACACTTACTTCAAGCGTCACGTCTACATGCCCATGGTCGGGAGGGGTTGGAGCCCCTCCACGGCTAGCTTCTCCGTCTTTCTCCTCTCTGCTTTTCTGCATGAGATTCTCGTCGGCGTGCCCACTCACAATATAATCGGTAAGTCCCCCCTTCCTTTCCTTCTCCTCTTCCTCTCTCTCCTCTTTCCCTACACACTCTTCATAGAAGAGAGATGAGGGTTCTGCCTTGCCAGAACTGGAATGTGAGAGATGAGGAATGAGAAGGTCTGGGGCGCAGAGACTGTCTGACAGCGGACAACACAGGCGTCGCCTTCCTGGGCATGCTTCTCCAGCTCCCACTCATTGCCATGACGGCTCCCCTCGAGAAGATGAAGAGCGGTACTGGCGGCAGGTTGGTTGGAAACATCATCTTCTGGGTGTCCTTTACGATATTTGGCCAGCCCTTTGCCGCGCTCATGTACTATTACGCATGGCAGGCCAAATACGGAAGTGTGAGCAGATCCACGGCCACATGATGCCCTGATCACGATTCTCACATTCACACACGCACACACACACACACACACACATATATATATATATGTATATATGTATATACATATATACATAATCATCTGACGACGTGTGGTTTATCCATTTTCTGCTTCAATCCGGCGCAATATATACTATACGAGATATACGGGGGACTTGTAATACGTAATAATATCGAGATTCATATACCTCGAAGCTCCTGTCTTGTCAAGTTTCAGAGTCATACACGCACAGCACGCACACATAAACACACACAAACTCTCCCGCCCCTAAGCACCATCCGCCCTCATACATCCGAGCCCACATAATCCCACCATGCTCCCACGTCAACCCACAAACGGAATCATGGTGCCCACCCTGTCCCGATAAGCGATATAGTCCCTGCCGAAGAACTCGACGAGCCTCCTCTCCTCGGTGCGGACCCTGTCGTTGAAGAAGAGCCAGAGTACGGCGGCATAGGCGGCGAAGCACACGGCGTTTCCCAGCATGAGCTGCGTGCCTAGCCCCCAGTAGAAGAACCCAAAGTACGAGGGGTGCCTCAGGTATCCGTACACGCCGTCCGTGACCAGGCGGTGCGAGTGCGACTTCCTCGTCTGGACCTGGTGGTTGAAGCTGGCGCCGGCCTGCAGCATGGCGGCGGACCGGACGGCCTGCCCGCCAACCACCATGACCAGTCCCAGCCCCACGAGGGTCGGGGATGCCCCGCCCCAGAACGTGGACCGGAAACCGGGGAAGGCGAGGTCGACGACGACGCACTCGGCCAGGGCGGATGCGTGGGCGACGGCGTAGGCCGGCCAGTTGGCCGTCAGGAGGAAGCTGTCTATGCTGGCCACCAGGGTGTTGCGGTGAGCCGTCGTCCAGAACTCGAGGAAGTGGAAGGTTGACAGCGCGGCCAGGAAGAAGGGTGCTCGCCACGGGCGGACCACGACTGCGTCGCCGTCATCGTCGGAAGAAGAAGGTGATGACGACGAGGCTGGAGACGGGGGGAGGAAGAAGAGCGCTGCGATGCAGAGTACCACGCTGGCCGAAAATACGGACCCGAGACAGAATGCTCGCAAGGCGATGCCCGAGAGTGACTTGGGCCCGTTGGCGAAATATGGCCGGAGGATCTTGAGCGTCTCCTCGCTTGGAGGAGGAGGGGCGGACAGTGAGGGGGTGGAGTCGAGGGAAGAGGTCGAAGCTGCGTCCTCTTCCATCTTTGCTTGTCTTTTATTCTTCTTCTTCTTCTTCTTCTTCTTCTTCTTCTTCTTCTTCTCCTTCCTCTCCTCTCCTTTCTTGAAAAATTTCCTCAAGTGTCCTTCCTTTCTGATGATGATGTGTTGTCCTTGCTTTGTACGTTTCTGTCTTGGGGGGTTGTTGGCTTTAGGGGTGGTGATGATGTTTGAGCACACAAGAACAGGGAAGAAGGAAACAGATGTTTCAACGGAACTGAGTCGACCTATGTATCATGCGGTTCAGAGAGAAGGAAGCAAAGTGTCCCGCGCCCCTCTTGGAAAGGAAAGGGGAAAGGAAAAGAAGAAGAGTAAGACAATAGTGTCGAGCTTTACGACGACATGATTGTTCCAAGAGCTAGGGGAGGAGGAGCTGGCACTGGGCCGTTAGGCGTTGTAGGTCCCTGTTTTTGATTTTCATTTTTATTTCCTCTGCTGACCACTTGGCGCTAATAGCCGACGCCATTTTGAGCTCTACAATGTACGTACGAGCACAATGGGCCAACAAGCTGAAAGGGACAAGCATTTTTGAGAAACAATTAAAAATACGAGATATCTCATCATGTGGCGGTGGTCTTTGTTTATTGGCTGGAAGAGTTATTCCAATTTTTAAATACTTGCTGCCTCTTGGACCTTTTGTTGTTTTTTCAAACTAGACAGGACCGTGCAGTTATGCCACTCATGCAACCAGGTCTGTTCCGTATCGGCACCTTCAACTCGGACTCAGGGAGAGCGGCAATGATAGAGAGGTACTGTTTCCAGCCTCCCGCTTCCCCAACCGGCATTGAATATCGCTCGCCCAAGCTGCTGGATTTTCGCTTTGTACATGCATATCTGCTGCCCCTGTGCAGGTGGCAGGCCAGATGGTATCGTCTTCTCTTTCTTTCCCTTTCGCACTCCTCAGAGACCCCCCTGCATGGAGAATGAGGATATGACGAGAATGGAAAGGGAGACAAGACTCCATATGAACGGTATCCACGTATTCATCTCGTAGTAGCCAGCAGTGTACACGGCGCCGATCCTGTCATCAGAGTCAGTAAAGGGGGGCACAACGAGAGATGTGGATTTTTTTTCTTCTTTTTTCTTTTTCTTTTCTTTTTTTTTTTGCAGGAAGAGAGAGGGAGAGGGAGAGAGGGAGAGAGAGAAGAGTTAGACAGAGAAGAGGGGGAAGGAAAAGAGGAAGGAGAAGAAATCATACACGACTCCAATGATGCTTCCAGCCAAGAGGGCCTCCAGCCCAGCTATCCCGATGTACACGACGGGCACAGCCCACAGGTACTTCCACGACGCCATCCTCCAACCGTGGGTGTACATGGTGATGAAGACGGCGGCCAGGTGGAAGACGGCGTAGACGATAAAGTGCCAGGCCAGCGTAAAGACCCAGATGTCACTGATGTAGTAGAGGCTGTACACGCGCTCCGGGGTCGTGTCGTGGATGTTGTCGACATTGAGCGAGGGGAATCGGGGCGTTCGGTAGCCCGACGGAGGGGCATTCGGGTTCGCCATCTACCTCTCTTTCCTCTTCTCGTCAGTAAGGAATCGGAAAAGAAGATGGATCGAGCAATGAGATTGAACACTTACCGCGTCCTCGCAGGAGAGGCGCTGGACCTTGCTGCGCTCTCTCTCTCCTGATGATGGTGGTGGGCAGTTGGAAGGGTTGCCTGTGTGGGTCCCGCCCAATTCGAAGTCAGTCAATACGTCACACACTTACCCGAGCCTCGGCACCGATTGTATATGCATGTACAGATTACTCGTACTCATGCCCAAATGCCATCTCCCATCATTCTCTCTCTCTCTCTCCATCTCATACAGACACGCACGCACGCACGCACGCACACGGAGAAAGGGAACGAGAGAAAGGAAAACTCCCAAGATGCCTGCCGACAGGCTCCTCAATACAGTGCTACAGTACTACCAAGACACGCACGACGCGACACGTACCGAGCAGATCATCGGCACGACGACCCACCTCCTCTCGCACCTGACCAACCCTCTGAACCTGGGTGTTCTCACGTCTCAGCTCCTGACGGCCCGGGCCATCTGGCTGCGGCACGACGGGCTCCGCACCGCCATCCGCATCGTCAGCATCTACAACACGGCCGCCACTCGCGTGCGCAGTGACGAGGCCGCCCGGATAGCGGGCGACACCGTGTCGACGCGGCCGGGGGACGTGGGAGCCAGCGGCGGGCTGCGGTGCGACGACTGGGTGCGAGCCGTGGTCCAGGGCGCCGACGACAGGTCACGGAGATGGCAGCACCTGCTCGTCCTGACGGGCGTGCTGATGGGCATGGAGGGCGAGGGAGGTTCCGGTGACAACGACGGCAACAGCAACAGTAGCAGGAGGCGATGGCTGTCGAGGTCCCTGAGGAGCACGCTGGAGAGGGCCGTCGTCACGGCCGCCAACCTCGCCCTCGAGCAGCACGCCGCCGACGGTCCCCTGGCGGGAGCGTCCATCGTCCTCTCGCTCAACTTCGCCTTCCCTCTCCTGTCCGAGCACCACCGGTCTCGGGTAGACTGCGACGCCCTGCTGCCGCTTGCGGTCGCGTGCCTCACCGGCCCGTCCGAGGGCTTCCGCGACGGCCAGTTCCTCGCGGCCGTGGGGTCCGACGTCTCCGTCGTGCGCCGCGACCCCGGCGCCGCGATGCTCGACTGGTCGGCCGCGTCGCCGTCGTTCCGCGCCCTCCAGAACATGGAGTCGCGGCCCCTGATGGCCAACCTGGGCCCGCTGTCCAAGCTGGTGGGCTTCGCGGCGCAGAACGCGTCCGATGCGCGCGCCGTCATCCGCGCCCACGCCTCGCTGCTCAACTTCACGCGGAACGTGGTGGGCGCGTGGCAGCGCACGCCCCTGAGCGACGTCGACCCGGCCCTCGAGGCCGCCCGGCTGACCCCGGACACGCGGCAGACGACGTGGCCCGCCCTGCTGCACACCCTCCGGAGGCTCCTCTTCGCCGTCGTGGCCGTGCTGCAGGCCGTCGTCACCCGCAGCCTCCTCGACGCCGACATGTGCGCCGACGCCGTGGCCGCCCGGACCGCCGCGGCCTCCCTGCACATCTTGCGCAACCTGCACTTCATCGCGTCGCGCGACGGCAACGCCTCCTTCGAGGCCTACGCCTTCGTCTACATGGCCTCGGTCGACACCATCTCACGCTTCCCCGCCGCCGCCGAGTCCCTCCTCCACCAGACCTGCCCCTCCGACACACCCTCCCTGCGCGCTCGCCACGTCCAGCAGACCCTCGACCTCTTCCACCTCAACCTGGCCGAGCACCTGCCCCTCACCCTGCCGACGGCCGCGTGCGACGAGCTGGCCATCAAGCCTGCCCTATCGTTCCTGTCCTCCTCCTCCTCCTCCCCCTCACAGGAATGCAACCCCCCGACCCCCTTCGCAACCGAACTATTCGAGTCCGCACACAGCACCGTCCTCTCGGTCCTCTCGTGCCCCCAGCACAGCCGCCTGACCATCCGCATGGCCCCCTTTTACATCGTCCGCCTCTTCCAGTCCTTCCCCGCGTCCATATCACCTCGTCAGTTCCGCCTCGCCTTCAAGACAGTCATGCAGATGGTCTCCCCCCCCTTCCCCATCGCCGCCATGGAACCCCACATGTCCGAGACCATCCTGGAGATGCTCATGGCCCAGATGGCACACGCCTCCACCGCCCCCCTACCTCCATCTCCATCACCATCTCCTTCCTCTTCCTCTTCCTCTTCCCCTGCCGTGAAGGAACCCGTCCTGTCGGAACAGTCCGCCCTGGCCCTCGCCCTGGTCGACTCCATCCCCTTCCTACCCCTCCCGCTGGTAGAAGAATGGCTCGCCGTCGCCGCCCACACCATCTACGACATCGCCGATGCCGGCCTGCGCGAGACCGTGCGCGCCCGCTTCTGCGACATGCTGGTCAGCGGCGAGCTCGATGTCGACAGGTCGGCCGTCGGTGTCGCCTGGTGGGGCACAAAGGGTGGTCGCGAACTGGTCGTCCACGGACGCGGTGCTGCCGGGGTGAGGCAGACCATGCCGCCTGTCATGAGTGGTGCTCTTGGGCCTCTCGACGAGGCCAAACTCTAGGTTTACACTACACCGCATACATCCTCTTCATCTCTATATAATCGTAAAGGCATGTGAATAATGACATTGTATAAAATAGTTGGCACCTTGCCTTGGACTGCGCTAGAATGCTTGAGTATGCGAATTACTGTAGCCTACATTGTCACTTTACCGTCTTTCACCCTCATGGTGACGGGGCATGTATGAGCAACTGCCTATGCTGTATTTCAGGACGAAACTATCTTTCCAGAAGGAGCAGAGAGGAGAAGAAGACGCTCTCATCATTCACTGTCCGTGCGCGTCTAGCGTAGCATCGTCGTCTGCCATGGCATCCCAGCACCCAGCCCACCACTTACCCAGCAGGACCAGGTAGCTTCGGCGGTTGTCAGGTCGCGCAAGGGGGCAGGCAGGCTCCTACACAATCTGCTTGTCTACCCTGACGAGTATGAAACCGTCCGTGGGCTGGCCGTGCATATTCAGCAGGCGGACGAAGCGATAGCCTTCTCCCAGACGGTCGAGCCGCACGCACGCCCACGCGGCCAGGTCGTCGCGGCCAATCTCGTCGTCGCGCACCGTGAAGCGCACAAATGTGAGATCCTCGATCAGGCCCGACGTCTGCTTAAACTCTAGCGTCTCTACGCCCAGGTCGACGTCACTGCCCTTGTGCGTGCGCGTCCGAATCTTGATGTCGTCCTCGCGCTCGTGGCCTTCGCAGTCGATACGCCCGCCGCGGTAGCTCTCGGTGCCGTCCACGTGCAGCTCGACTTTGATGTACGGGTTGAACCCCTTGGTTGACTTGTCGCCCGGCGGGAGCGGGATCGACTGGGCGGCGAGGAAGGTGATGCCAAGCTTGAGCGTCTTGCAGCTGACCTCGTCGGTGGTTGCCGCGGGGTGGTCTGGGAGATCGGGGTGGAAGCCTTTGCATGCCAATGTCAGTATGTATAGCTCCCGGCGGCGATCGGAATGCAGCGGCATGCCATACCCTTTGGCTTGAGGACGTATCCGCCAGTGCCGGAAAACATGCCCTCGTTGAGCATGATGCTCTCGTCAGTCTGCTGCCAGTTAAGAGCGACTATCTGAGTGCCCGCACCCCAGAAGGGAGCAGGGTTGAGGTTGGATGAGCCGATGCGCAGACCTGAAGGGTACGCCCTCATGAGGTACCGTTTGTTGTGCTCCCAGAGCTGCGCGGTATTCTTAGTGTGGTGTTCCGACCATTTCTTCTCGTTCAGGGAGTATATGTGCGTCGGCAACGAGTTTTCGGCTTGGTCAAACGACTTGAACGATACGCCCCTGCAGTAGAAGCCCATACGGCTGAGGTCCTGAATAATCTTTGAAGCCTTCTTCTTTTTCTTGGGCTTCCCCGAGCCGTCAAGGGGTTCCTGGGCAGCTTCTTCTTCATCTGAACTCACGGGCTCGTCCGGGGAGGATCCCGGCGGTGCGTACTTGACCTTGACCAGAATCTTTTTCTTGAGCTGCTCTAGCCTAGGAAGCTCTGCGGGCTCAGCCTCCGGTATAGGGATCAGGTAGTCGGCCCAGACCTCATTCATGATCTGAACCATGCAAGCCTGCTGTTGCGGGTTGCAGTGTACCTCGAGGCTGACAATGACAGGCAGGTCCGTAACCACGAATGCGCTCTGGGCAATGGCAACGCAGACCTCTCGGAAGGTGATCTCCTTGGTGAGAGTATATCCATGGAGGACACGCGGCTCGATCGCGGCCACCTCAGGCTGAGGTCCATCTTCCTCCACGGCAGTCTCTGCCGGAGCCTTCTTTGCAACGGTGGAGTCGGACGACGATTCCAAAGTCTTGGTCGTCTCCGCCTCGTCAAGCCTCTTGCCAATGCTCGTCTTGTCGAGCCGTGAGGCTAGGGAGCTGGGAAGCCTGCTCCTGATGCTGCCCAGCTTGCTCAGGCGACTCGTCTTCCTCTTTTGAAGCGATTGCGGTGCCGGAGGCTGCTGCTGCTCTTGGGGGGTACCGGACTTGGTCGTTGCAGCCCCCTCTTCCGAGGAGAGGCTACTGGTTTCCGAGTCACTGTCATCGCCATCCCAGACGTCGATCTCGACGCACCGACATCCCCTGAGAAGCACATTGGTGTAGCTGTCGGTAGTGCTGTCGCTCGACAGCTGGTTGCCCGAAAGATAGGTGTTGTGGCTGGAGCTGATGAAGTAGCTGGAGAGGGGCCACGAGAGGTCAGTTGGCTCAGGCTCCTTGGTAAAGGAGCCGTGTGGCGACGTCATGTAGTGCAGAAAGGTGTCGAAGTCGACCTCGTCATCGTCGAGGAGGCCTCCAGCAATAGGCGTCTGGGCGGTGTCGGCATCAGGCTTCTTGTCATAATGCTGAGTGTTGTGGAGAAAGGACTGGACCTCATCATTTCCCCATTTCCCATCGGCCCTGGAGTGTGACTGATAGATGCGTCGTAGGTGAGATATCATGTGGTCGCCGAGCGTCTCGACAACCTTGGTCGATTCGCCGGCGCCGCCTCCACCAGCCTGGTGGGTGAGGTTTGTGTCCGTCATTGCGGCCGCGCCAGCCTTCCGAAGGGAGAGGAAGAGTAGGACAGAATGGGTGATGACAATGCGAGGTTGACAGGACCGTAGTGTAGATTAAAACATAAACAGGGTGGTGTACGAGTCGAGTAGAGTAAGGGAGGGAGAAAGGAGAGTAAGGCGCCAAGAGGAGAAGTCGTCAGAGCTCCCCTGCTAAAAATTAAATAAATAAGGTAGGAAGGAGCGAGCTTTGTCGCTATTATGCACCTGCCCCGTTTTCTGCCAATGCTGTTTCACCGCAGAGATAGAAGAGAAGAGACAGAGAAGAGACAGAGAAGAAGTGTCCTCAAGAAATTCACAGTATTATGACGTGCATCTAGGTCTGTTGAGCCTAGACTCACGGCCTGAGGTCTTACCTGGGATTCTATTAGGTTAGCTACCGTTACTCTTGACTAGTCGAGCTTGCCATGGTATGTATATACAACGTATCGTCTCTCGCTTCTGTCACTGACATAGTACAATCTATTTACAGTGCGCATATTCGTGTTATACACCCCCGCTCCCACTCCACGGCTCCTCCTCGATTGCTGCTGCGACCTTCAGCTACCCCACCATCGTCACTCCTTGAGTGGCTGCGTGGCCAGTTACGCCCGTACACATGACTAGGGAATGGGAGCCTCGTTTCCCCCCTTCCTTTCCTCTTCAGCCCTCGTTCTCGGCCCAGCTATAGCCTTTTCAACCGTTGGAGGCCGCACGCCGGTGAAATGATCAGCGTCGGCGAGAGCCACTGAATAGAGTTGTTCGCCATCGACAGCCACGCAGCGGCGGCACGCGGCACGATTACATATTACCGCCTCCTCGTGCTCAGAAACTCGTCAAGATCCACGTGCACTCTCATGCCTTTGGATGTCATGGTATCATACACCGCTCGCAGCTCATCAGACGTCATCTCTCCGGCCAACGTCCCAAACGCCTCCATCATGACCACCTTGGACCATGGGCAGTGCTTCAGTGCTCGGTAGAACACGTCTTTGGCCCTGTGCCGCAGTTCCTTGTGCGCGTGGCAGAATCGAATGTATGATGTCCAGACCTGTACGCTGAACCTGGATGTATCGCTCATCGTCACGGCCCGGTCCAGCGCTGCCCTGGTCGTATTGACGTTCCCCCGGCTCAGCTCGTGCTCGACTGAAAAGAGTCGGCTGCTCACGCAATCACGCGCAGGCACAAGGATCTTCTCGTACAGGAGAGCACGTGTCTCATCAACGACACGGAGACTCGAGTCCGACCATTCTAGGAGCGAGAGGAACATGGTGTTTTGGGGGAACCACGTGAGAAACTTGGTGAGTTGCTCTCTGGTATACGCTCTCCGTGATGGCCTGTAGACAATCCGGTCAGTGTCTTCTCGTGTCCCGTACTTTACAAACCTTTGTGAGACTTACCCTCGTGTCGCGTTGAAGTACAGCAGTCGCGCTGCAAATTGGAGCAACCCCTCGTGAGCCAAGGTGCCCTCGGCATTGTGAAACTTCAACTCATGACATGATCTATCAATGCTGTCCATGGCAGCAGCTATGTTGCCCTGTGTCCCAGAACTTGGCTCTGTGCAGCCTTCCGTTGTCAAGTAGGCAAGCAGGGCCAGACACTCAGCATGAGTTTGAAGTCCACCCTCCTTCGACGGTGCTGCCTCCCCCGCGGGGGACGCGAAGAAAAGCCGTGCTTTCAATATCTGAGACCCTGTAGCCTGGTACTCATCATCGGGAATTCTGCGTAAAGGCTCGTCCACAGACGAGCACAGGCGCTTTACAGCCAAATGTCTGTGTCCACTTTCGAGTTCTATCCATGCCCAGGACCGCCAAAGCAGGAGACTGGAGCCGGGATTCTCACCCTTAAAAGCACAACGTCAGCCCTCTGCACACAGACACGCACTCATACGTCCTCAGTTGAAGCTGACGCAACGTACCTTGTCAATATCGCCCGCCGAGCTGAGGACCTTAGCGGCGACATCCCTGTTGCCCTGGGCATATTCGGCCATGGCATAAGCGTTATACAGTCCCAGATTGGTGGGGTATTGTTTCAGAAGCATCCTGGCCACCTTCTTGACGCTGGATGACGTATCGAGTGAACTCAGAGCCAGGTGATAGGCCGCGAGATCTTGTATGCCCGCGTCGAGGGCCAGCCGTCGGGTAACATTACATGCCCAGCCCAACTCGACCGTCTGCGACAGCGCTGAAGCAGAGCCCAGGTACCCGAACCAGTCTTGGGTTTGGAACAGATTGTCGGAAACGCTTGCGGCGTGAAAGCTGACAGAGGAGAATGCCGGTCTTTGTCGGCTGTCGTCATCAGCAGTCTCTTCCACGGGCTGCTTCTCCCATGAGCCTTGCGTATCAAGTGCGCCCCTGGCCCCTGTCAAGAACGGATCCAGCCACGCTGTCTCGGTCCACTCATCCGACCGGCAATATGGGGGCAATCCGCAGAATAGTAGAAAGGCATCCAGAAGCTGGCTCCTGACATGCGGCAGTACAGTATCAGGGATGATGAAAAGAAGAGGCTCGATGTCAGCAAACATGACAACCCTGAACGGGTCGTCCTCTGTCCCCTCGTCCATGGTTCGTGCTGGCAGTCGAGCTGTTGTCGCCCTGCGCTGCTCAATGGCTGCCCAGGCCTTGTATGCATCCTTCACTGGCGCTGCTGTTTCCGATTCGTACCGTACTGGATCAGGGGCATCTCCACCAGAGCCAGACTCGGCAAACTGTCTCCATCCCAGGGCATCTCCCTCGCCTATCCTAGGCACCTCGCTCTCCCAAAATTCCTGGAAGGCAACCAAGGAATCATGGCTCCCATCCATACCGTTAGGTCTGAAAAATGTGAGTTCCAAAAGCGCCTGCCAGGCTGCCACCGCTAGTTCCTTGTAGCCGGCATCGTGGATAAATCGCGTCGCTCTCAGAAATACATAGATGGCCTCTGAGAAGTCGTTCTGCCGGTGTCCGGACGATGATCGGGCGATGGCTGCGCGAAGTCGAGTAACGAGAATCTGCCTGACTTGGTCGTACTCGAACGAGGCTATGTCCGACGTGCAAAAGTCTAGATGGATCTTCCAGAGGATAAAGTTGTGTTCCTCGTCCCGTTCCACCTCGGACCACTTCTTGGCGGCGGTCTTGGAGTTCCACACCTTGACGCCTTCACGCATCAGATAGTTGAGCACGCGGCTTCTATCCCTGGGGTTCGAGGTGTGTGGTAGGGCAGACTCGAGTATCGACACCTTGATCTCAGAATAGCTGTGCGCCTCGTTCTCAAAAATTGTGTAGTCAAGGCTCTGGCCCGCCCGTAGCAGCACGTCCTGGTGTTCCACGAGCTCAATCCAAGCGTCTATATCCTCTGGATTGTCCTTGACGCGGCGGCTCAGCTGAACGGAGCGCCACTTGAGGGGATTGCTCTGCTCCAGGGGGACCACGTCCTCGTCTCCCGACCCGGAATCATCGCCGGCCTCACTGTCAGCGAGGGTACGCGCCTTTGCTTTGCCCTCGATGGAGCGGTAGTTGGGCTGTGTCTCATCAGGAGAGTCCTCCTCGCTCCGATGCCTTTCGCCAGATCTTGAACTGGAAAGGGACAGAAATCCCTCTTCCTCTCTTTCTTCTTCTTCGCCCGTCGCCGACGTGTCCTTGCGTCGACGCGGGCGTAGATCGATGGCCTGCTGTCTGAGCCGCAGCCTCTTGTCCCGCAGCCCATCCTTGTCCTTGAAAAAGCCCGATCCTTCGCCTGGCATGCGCAAGCTGAACTGGTCCCGCGGTCCGTCACGGTGAATAATCAGGCGGCCGGGCGTCCCCAGAACCTGGCCTCCACCGTAGCGGCGATAAGGGGGGATCTTGGAGCGTTCGATGCCACCATACCTGGCGATGAGCGGGTCTCCCTTCTTGTCGATGAAGAAGACGTCGGATGTCTTCTTTGGGCCCCCGTCCCTGCCGACGCCATCGCGGCAGGAGCGAGAGTCAAGACTGCGAGATTCCGTTTTGCGCCTGGGACTACGGGAACGGGACCTCGTCCTGTGCTCGCTCCGGTGGTGGTGGTGGTCTCGGTGGCGCTTCGAGTGATGGCGATGGCTGTCGTCGTGCTCCCTCTCCGAACGACGGCGTTTACGCCTCTCTTCACCATGGTCCCCATTTTTTCCCTCGTTGGAACTATCCTCCTTGGAGTCTCGGCCTTTGAAAGACGCGAAGTTGGGGACTGATGGGACGCCAACGTCCGACGCCTTGCCGTCTGCCGAGTGCTCCTTGGATCTGAATGAGGAGAATTTGGGGACGATCGGGTCGACACCCTCCTTCCCTGACATGGCTACCGTGCGACACAAGAGTGTTTCTTGGGCATAATTACACTTGATGTTGGCTGATATGGCTGGGTTGATGCCAAGCCTACTGATGCATCAGCTACTTTCTTTGTTACCGTCGTAGAAGAGCTTAGATGAGCTCCGACGGTACAGTGCGAATGTGACGCATGTGGTTGCCGTTGAACGTCTCTGCTGGGCCATATATGACAGCTGTAGTACAGTGTTTTTCACAGTCTTCAAGACTGTATAGTATCTTTGCCCGCCATGCTGGCCTCGAATACTTGAGATTATCGCCGTTTTTCTTCATTTCATTATGCAGAGTTGATGTCAAGGAAATTTCGATTGTCATTTCTCTCTAAGGCAATCCTTGTCTAAAACTTTCCATTCGCATGAGCGTAGTAAGACCTCAAGAGAGAGCCTGGCCACTTCAAATGTCAACATGCTGCCTGCTTGGGCTACGGCGCTTGCACCACTTACCACGCAACTAATCGACAATAGACGACAAGAGCACGAGCAAGAGCGTCCTATCGCTGCCACTTCCCTTGTAGAAACGTCGATACCGCCATCGTGGTAGTATCAGGGATAGTCAATTCGATTACTGCTCAACGTCAAAACTTGATTCACACACAGTACAATCACGAAAGAAACACACGTACCAGGTGTGTCAACACTGTAAGCACAGGGCACGGCTTAGCGCTTATGCTTAGCATGCTTACGCAGTAACCCACGTCAACAGCCCCCATCGCCATCGACAAACTGCACATCCGTGCTCTTCCATCATCGCCAAGCAGCACCTCATGGAAGGGAAAACAGTGGCCGGGATCGTCCTCGCTTCCCTGACTATCCTCTACGCCGTCCACTCGATGGGTCTCTTTGCGAGGAACAAGATGCCCGTTGAGGGCAAGGTAAGAAGAGAAGAATAAGAAAAGAGCTTCTCCCACCATATATATATCCAAGCTCCTCGAAGCTGACCGCCACAGACTGTTCTCATCACCGGCGCTTCCGAGGGCATGGGCCTAGCTGTGGCCAAGCAGCTCTCATCCAAGGGGGCCAATGTGGTCCTCGTGTCTCGGAGCGTAGACAAGCTCAAGGCCGCGCTTTTGGAAGTCAAGGTCCGCCTGCTCTCTCCCCACCGCCCCTCCTCCAGATGGCCTGACTGACTTGACGACCGTGATCCAGGCTGCCGCGCGCGACTCCGGCACGCAGCGATTCCACTACATCTCGGCCGATGTATCCGCCCCGTCGTACGCGGGACCCGTGCTGACCGAGACGAAGAGGTTGAATGGCGGACAACCCCCGGACATTGTATGGTGCATAGCGGGGTTGGCGACGCCCGAGCTCTTCAACGACATGGACATGGTATCCATGCGCCGGCAGATGGACGTCAACTACTTTGGCACGGCGGAGATGTGCCAGGCCGCGCTGCGCGAGTGGCAGGCACCCGAGGCGCCCGTCGAGGCCACGCCGCGCCACCTGATCCTCACGTCAAGTGCCATCGTCTTCTTCCCCGTGCCCGGGTACCTGCCATACTTACCGTCCAAGTTTGCCATCCGCGGTCTGGCCGAGGGTCTGAGCCGCGAGGCCCTGCTGTATCCGCAAAGGGTGGAAGTGCATCTCGTCTGCCCGGGGACCATCTTGTCGCCTGGGTTCGAGAGGGAGGAGAAGATCAAACCCGAGATCACCAAGCAGCTCGAGGCGTCGGACCCGAGGCAGACACCCGACGAAGTGGCCAGGAGCTCCATCCGCGGGCTGGAGAACGGAAACTTCTTCGTCACCGTCAACCTCTTCAACTGGCTCATGCAAGTCGGCACCCTGGGCAGCGCAAACCGCAACGGCACTGGAATCCTCGACTCCATCGTCGCCTGTCTCATGTCGTTCATCATCTGGCCTATTGTGCACTTTGCCCTGCACGGTGATATCAAGAAGTTTGGCAAGGCCAATGGCCATCCGTCAACATACAAGAAGGATTAAGAGAAAGAAGGTATAAATGTATATAATGATATCCCGTGTGTTATTCTTACATGTACACACATGTTTCTTGATGAATGGCAAACGCTTCAGACGCCGTGAACTTTTTCTCTTCTCCCCGTGATCTACCACAGTTCTATACACCGCTCCACTTGCCAAACCTGTTATACCGTTTGAACATTTCCCGCAGGATAGCTCGCCCGCTACCGTCCATTGCATCATTGAGAATCTTCCTGCCGTCGGGCGTGGTAATGTCAAAGATGGCATTCATGGCAGGTTCGAGCGCTTCGCGCACGCCTCGCGACACATCCGTCTCGAGCTGCAGCTTGACGTACTGCATCATGATCAGGTACATGTGGCGACCAGCAGACCGCTTGGCCGCGTCGGTGGCCGAATCGAGCGTGCTGTGCTGGACGGAGCGCGAGACGGCGCCCGCCGTCGGCTCGCATACGAGCGTGACGAGGCGTCCGTAGGCGCTGGCTTTGGACTCCTGACCAAGCCCGTCGTCTCCGGTCCGACTCTCGGTCTGCTCCTGGATAAGGTTGCGCAGGAGGGGCTGCATCGTCGCCAGGAGGATGTGGTAGTGGCCTTCTAGGCGAACCCTGTGCTTTTTGACGATGACCTCCACAAGCTTGCACAGCCAGATGAAAGGGGCTCCTGTTCCTTCCTCCGAGTCCGAGCTCGTGCCCGAGCTCTTCCGGCTGCACATGACCGCTATCGAGTCAAGGAGACTCTCAATATTCCACTGGCTGACGGCCTGGGCCTTCTTCTCCAGTAGGGTATACAGGATACGGCAGATGTGGACCGAGTTCGCGGTCGGAATCGCCGGCGAGACGAGGGCGTATGTCATCTCATTGTACGCTGCTGACAGGGTGAATTCTCCTTCGGTGCCGAAGGCAGCTGTTGAGTCTGCAAGGAACAAGACGATATGTAAGACAGGGTGAACCATTTTCTGATTTTCGGGGGGTTTTTTTTTTTCGTAAGTGGAAAGGGTCAGGCAGAACTTACGGATCAAGTGGTCAATGATGTACCCGATAGCCATCAATTGACCATCAGTACCACATCCGCCGTTGTATTCGTTGATCAAGACCTCGAGGTACTGCGTCAACACGGAGCCGTCGGAGGAGCTCACGACGGCATCGATATACTCCTTCAGGTGACGCTCGCGCGATTTGCCCCCCAGGTCTTTCAGGCTGGGGAATGAAGCCTGCCTGGGGCTGTCGAGCTTCTGCGACATGTGTCCCTGGAGGAACGTCTGAAGCTTCCACCCACGGAGGTGGCCGCTGCGCATGGCCTCCAGGCTGCGCTTCTCCAGCCTCCGTATCCCGGATGATCCGAGCTCCCTCAGGCCCGGCAGCTCTAGCGGCAGGTCGGAGGCGTCGACAGCCGCCGACAGCCTGAGGTTGGCCTCGGCGGTAGGCTTCGACATGAGTTTCTTATCGCCGGTCCAGTCCTTGACGACGGCAGCGATGAGGGCCTCCAGGGCCGTACGCGCATCAAGACACAGAGATTTCAGGAGCTTGTGCGACTGCGCGTTGGGCGACTTGGTGACCTCGGTGACCACCTCCTTCAGAAGCGTCAGATACAGTGGTGTGACTGTCCGGGAGTCGACATCCTTGGCCTTGTAGCGCGATGCAAATTTCGAGGCCTCTTCAAAGTAGGCCGCGCTCCGTTCCTCCATGTGAATGACCATTTGCCTGATCGTGGCAGACGCCAGGGTCGAGTAGCGGCCGATGAGTTCTTCCAGGATGTCTTCGTCACTGGACAGGGTGGCGGGAGAAGTCGATATCGCATCCGCGATTCCAGCGAGCTGACCAAAGTTGAGTCCAGTGAAGAAGGTAGGCCGTGTCATCAGCTTGGCCGCGATGCTGAGAACTAGCCTCCATCCCTCCAACGACATGTCTTGTGATTTTTCGAGGGTGAAGCCGCCTAGGAGCGTGTCCATAATACGTTCTCGCTGGGGACGAGTGACGGCATCGAGGGGGAGTCGTGAGAGCAGTCGAATCCACAATTGGCCGAGCTCTCCTGGCCATTGTTTTTCACTCTTCTTCGAGGCAACCAATGCATCGATAGCACGGGTAATAACGTCCTCGGCCAGCTTTGCCTTGTTGATGCAGTGCTCATTGTCTAGCAGGCTGGTCCAAAGAAGTTCGAGTCGCTGGGGCTTTGCCTTAGCGTCCGACACCGCATCCTGCACCGTCGGTAGGATCTGCGCCTTCTTCTCGAAGTAGAGGCGATTCAACCGGGTCGATCCGCGCATGTACCATACCAGGTACTGCTGGAAGGCGGCATCCTTGTCGAATGATGGTTCGGACCTGGACTCCAGGTAAGACGACAGTCTGTCGTCGGGTATTCCTGACGAGATAATCTCCTGGGCAAGGCGGACAGTGAACTTCTCAACAATGTCTGAAGCTTCAGACACCTGCTCTCCGTCGGGGCTCGATGAGACCCAGATGCGAGTGCAGCACTTGAATGCCTCGTACGTTTCGGCCGAATTGACGGGCGTCTTCTTGAGTATCTTTGCCAACGTTCCTCTGACCGCGCCCCAGATATCGGACCTCTTGGTGGCCGGTGCCCAGGAGAATGTCCTTGCCACCACTCTCCACTTCAACGCAGTAATATCAGAGGTCGATTTGCTTATCTTTAGAATGATATCAGACAGCTTCGAGTAGGCGGCATCCTTGTACTCGTTTCCGTTCAGTCCGCAGCTGATGCCATTCAGCCACAAGCAAAGCGTCTTGGGGTCGGCCTCCTGTGCCTCTGCCCACCCCAGAATTTCTGTCAATTGCCTTGTCGAGAGATGTTGCTCAATGGATAGCTCAGAAAGGTTCGAGGGGCTGGTCTCTTGTCCCACAAGCATCCAGCGCGAAGCCAATTTCGACCTGCCCCCCGTCAGCTCCGAAAGCTGCCGGAACCACAGGCGCAAGAACGCGGGGAAGTCTCGGGCAGTGCGGAAGCCTCGCATGATGGCTGAGATAACATCTGAAAGCGCTTCCCGGGCCTGGTTGGAGTCTTGGACATGCAGACTGCGACGGCAGACTTCCTTCAGGAGGCCTGCACCATCATCGTCCCCCTGAAAAACATCCGGATCGCATTGGGCGAGATTCGCAACCAGGTCCCAATCCGTCTCGCCATCGTGTAGTGCGTAGCGCTTGCAGACAGAGCGGAGGTGCCCAGTGTCGACAGGCATGGCCAGTTCTCGGCACTTGCGTAGGATAGTCTTCATGATAGCGCTGCGGTCTTCGCGCTCCCCTAGCGACGAGTCAATGGTCTCAAACACCTTCTTCATCCATTCGGCGTTGCCTTTGCGCACGCCCCGAAGGACCAGGGCCTCCGTAGCGCTGGAGGCCAGCGCGTAGATGGCGGGAGCAGCCACGGCGAGGTGCTTCTCGGATCCGTCCAGAGCTGTGACTATAGCCTTGTCGTTCTGGTGGTTGAGGAAGATTGATCGTGACGGGAGGATGAGAATGCGGTGCAGGAAATTCGTCAGATCCGTACGCCACCGACTCGTGAGTGACCTTTGAGCCGAAGTCTGGTCTCCTTTGGTGGATTCTTCGACATCACCCAGTACCACTGCCGCTGGATCAAGGAGGTTCTGCGCAACCTCGTACACGTCATCGTTTCCCTGGAGATGAAGGTCCCACGTAAGAGCGATTATCTCAATCCAGTCTTCGCAACCGTCTAATTCTTCCGTGTTCTCGACCGTCAGCACGGTGTGGCACATCCTAAGCAAGGGGGCCACGATCGCCGTCGCCTCACCGGCGGGGCCGCCGAAGAGAGATTTGAGGTGCTCGGCGCCGATCCTGTCGCGGGCAGAGACGTTGGTCATACCCTCCGTCCGTCTCATCAGACACGACAAGGCCTCGAACACGGCCTTGATCCCTTCAGCACACCCGTCGGCAGATCTTAGGTCCTCTAGAGAGAAGCTGATATGTGCCCGCTTCCGTTTCGATGACGCTCGTGCTTGTCGTGACTCGGATACCGGGGCGGAGACGTCTTTCAGGGATTGCTGAAGTACGGCGATAAACCTTCGATCGGCGAGGGACTTGGCCAGGGAGAAGAGCGGTATCCTCTGGAAGACGCAGGCCATGAGCCTCCAGGTCAGCGGGTATCGTCGCAGCGTCTCCGCAGCCGGGGTAGACCCGTTCATGGACTTGAGGAGCCATCGCAGGCTACTCTCCTCAGCCGCATGGAACTGACTATCGGACGAGGCAGTCAGGAAGGTCCAGAGTCGGTCGAGATTTGCGCCATCCTGGCCCGGTCCGTTCTGGTCGAGACCTCGAACAGTCTTGATAAGATCGTCGTTGGCCTGGAGGAAAGAAGCTGGTTAGCCATTGCCATACGGGGAGGGGGGGTTCTAAGATATCTTTGCAGATACACACCATATCCTCCCTTTTACTGAGGTCTGGACAATGAGGCCATCAATAAAGCAAGGGGAAAAACACAAAGTGTTTGCTTATTTTTTTCTGCGCTGATCGCATGCTGACAGAAACTCCCCGCGAAACGCCACCAAGAGAGCTGCCAAAATTTCAGGATTCTGCCAGAAACGCCAATCCGGATTTGGAACAGCCGCTCTCCACCGCTTTCGGGCCCGGCTTCCATTTCGCCGAGTCATTCTCGCGCATCTCGACATCATCCGACCGCTTGCCCTTACAAGCTCCCCGTAGCTCCCCCATTTACCAGTCGCTCCCAAGAAAGTGAGTCTACGGAAGCGATCCCCGAGTACTCAGCGCCGTACAGTCTCTGACCTCTGATATCTTCGCAACAGAATACGTTCACAATGGCCGATTCCGCCGTCACCCGCCAGCAGCAGCCCAGCGCCATTTCCAGGCCTGTGAGCGAGTCGCTCCTCAACGAGAAGGTAAAAAAAAACTCCCCCTCCCCCCCTCCCCCCGACGGCTGCACGCTTTCTAGATATCATATGCTAATCATCTGTATCTGTATGCAGTGGGACCACTGCCTCTCCAACCTAATTGTCCGTTCGTCTCTCGGCCTCGGATTCGGCGTCGTCTTCTCCGTCCTCCTCTTCAAGCGCCGCGCCTGGCCCGTCTTCCTCGGTACCGGCTTCGGTGCCGGTCGCGCCTACGAGGAGTGCAACTCGGACCTGAAGCAGGCTGCCCGCGTCTTCAACAAGGCATGATCTCCCTTTTTCTTCGTCGACACAAAACAAGAAAAAAAACTACGAGCATAGCAGAAGGCCTGAGTCCGCGTTGAGGCCCTGGCTGGTTCGTGTGCGCGTGTGCGCATCAAGCGGCATGCGTCAAGGAGGAGGGGTTTCAAGGAGGGGGGGGGAGAAAGTTTGCGGTCAGCTGGACACACAATGAGCAGTACGTGTCGCTCTCGATGCTCATGTTCATCGGGCCGCAGCTGTACGAACTCGATACGGATACAGATAGACCTGTGTACAACATCCCGCCGGTTCCATTCCGTCTTAATGGTCTTGGTCAAATAACAATTGTATTTCTCTTCTGTCTCCAAACACCAAAACAGGCCGCATGAATAATCAACCATGCAGAGCTTCTCCGCGTGGAAGGGGGGTTGTGATGGTAATACCAGCAAGTACCAGTACTACGCTCTCCCGGCTGGTACGGCCATAGCCTACAGAAAGAGGTAACTTTTCGGTCATGTCCAATATTGGAGGCATGCAACAAAGAGCCGCGGGACGCCCGAGAGCCCCTCCCCTCGACAATGACGGACAGCAGGCTTCATCGATTACGGCGCAGCACATTGGACTTCACGGCTACAGAAGAGATGACTACTCTGCTGCAATTGTCGGAAACTCCACTAGTTATCGCTGAGACGAAAGGGTCATCGTCCCTTCGACGTATTAAGAAAGTGGTAGAGAGATCCGTTGTTCTGGCACGCAAATATGACCGCCAGCAAGTTGGCGAATCGCTAACGGTTGATTAATCGTGCTTGTATGAATGTGTGAAGAAGAAAAGAGGGAAAAAAGAATCCAACCCGAACGGTGGTCGGGGCAATGAAAGAGAAGACGGATCCACAGCCTGCCATATAATCACGTGATATATGGCCAGGGGTTATCCACCTTGACCCAAATTTATTTTTTTTTTTTTCTTTCCTTGCTCCAAGACTCTTCTTCATCTTCTCGTGCACACAAACCACCTCTCTACATCCGAGTCGATTTATCGTGTTGCATCACGCTGTTTCCCGGCCCCAAGAGCTTCCGCTCAGCAGTACGATGACTTTCAATGCTTGCCGTCTATCCGGATACGTTTCCTCCCGTGGGTAGTAACCGTCGATCAAACTCTGCAGCACTAGAACAACGGTAGGTCTATTGGTGTGAATCAACCCTGGGCAGAGCCTTTGCCCCGGTTGCTACTCGTAGTCATGCAGACATTGCGTTCCTTCTGAGAACGCAAGAACCCCACGAATTGCCTACACCTCGCTGCTTTCAATGCGCAAGCGTGTCAACTCTTTATATCGTTCGAGTGGGAGAACAACCCGAGGGTCTAGACAACCCGTCCGCTCCACCCTGATTCCGCTGGTCAAGTGCGCGTATCAGGACTAAAATCGGACAGACATTCATCATCCACATGTCCCTTTCTTCTCCCTCTCTTTCTGCTTCGTTCTTCTTCTGTGGTACTTTCGATGTGACATGTCGATGATTGGATGCCTAATGCCTTGACGTAACGCCCTATCATTCGTCTTCGCCGTTATCAGATTCGTTGGTGAGCCATGGTTGCCACTATGCTGCATATAACGGCATAATAATAAGCCCTAGGGACACAAGCATGGGCGTAGCACTGAAATACTGGAAGGAGCGAGAGAATCATTGGGGAAAACTTCGAAGTCATCATAAGTAGACGTGATAGATCTTTCTGCTCCTTCGTGTCTAACATACCTCTCTGAGCCTGCTCAAGACATGAAATCTATGTCCACGTGAGTGTTGACAGGACTATGGTGAACTCGGATCTGTTGATCCGTACCAGGTGAAATGCTACAACCAAAAAAAAACAAAAAAAACAGACAGGTAGGAACAGGAAATCAAGAAGGACGGGGGGAAAAAAGAGATGGAACAAGAAGAAAAATGACATAGATGACATTCATGGAATCCAAAAGTTCCTGGGGCGCTGTCGGCAACCTGGCCGCCGCCGACGGGGCATCAAGCTCCCCCTCCTCTCTCTCCCTCTCTCTCCCTCTCTCTCCCTCTCTCTCTTTCTCTCTCTTTCTCTCTGTTCAAAATCACAGTTGACAGCAGACAGTTGACAGCAAACATTCCATGTCAACAGGAAAGATATAAAAAGAACAAAGGAAAAGGGTAATAATAATAAAAACGATTATAATCATTAAAAAAAACGGGGCAGCTGGTATAAGAAGGCGACGACAGCTACTCCAAACGGCATGGGCTTGTATATATGTGTAATCCCCCTCCTTTAGGCGCGGAAGCGCGAATGGGTACGGTCGCGTATCTGCATGTCGGTAGAGACATAAAGCTGGTCGAGATAGTCCATGGCGGGGGCATCCTTGAGGATCTTGGCCACCTGGATACCGGCCGAGATGAGCTGGAGGATGTTCCGGTCGTCCTTGAGGGGTCGGCTCTGGTGCTTGGAGGCGTGCTTCATCTCGAGGGAGCTCTCGAGGATGGTGACGAACTGCTTGATCTGGCCGTTGTACAGGACGTGGGCGGGTATGCGGCGCTTGGTGGCCAGTCTCTTCAGGAGGTACACCCACTCGGTCCACTCGCGGTCCCGGGCGCACTCGACGGGCCTCATGTCCTGGGTGAGGGGGATGGGGAACTGGTACTTGGCGACGAAGTCAAAGGCGCACTGGGAGAGCCGGTCGTTGACTCGGCTCAGGATGTGGTCCTGCTCTTGGACGTGTAGGTTGGTGGGCAGGTGAGGGAGATCCCTCTCCTGCATGGCAATTACGTTGGGCGGCGGACGCTGTAGGAACTGGTGCGGGCCGTCAAACTCGTCCCTATTAGACGGTCGTCTCTGGGATCGACGTCTGCTGCCGGCACTGTTGCTGTTGCTGTTGCTGTTGTTCTTCTTGGCAGCGTTGCCACCTGCCGTCTCCAGGGAATAATCCGATAGGTTCGGGGATGTGATTATATCCTCCACTGAATCCGCCGATGAGTACCGGCCTCGCGGATCTCTCGCCTGCGAGCTGTTGGAATTGTTGTTGCTGTTGCTGCTATACACCCCGTATGATAGACCCGGGGTGCCATATTGGACGGGAGATGGCAGTCCAGTGTATACGCTACCGGCCTGGAAGCCCGACGAGTCCAGCCGCGGCACCGCCGAGTTCGGGGTCAAGGGCACGACGGAGCTGCCAGATAGATACGCATTACTCGAGTAGCTTGCGCTGCTTGTGGGTGCAATGGAACGGAGGACGCTTAGATCAGCACACGGTTCCCGCTCTCATCGTCCTTTTGCGTATGCATGTGTGTGTAGTATGTGTGTATATATCTTGTTGTCCGATCGATGACGGGACATCATGAGGTTGTATCATCAAGCAAAGAAGACTTACCTTGGATTAGCGTATAGGGCATTCTCAAACCCTCTATTGGCCCCGTTGAATGCGTCGATAAAAGAGCTAGCGTGGGGTCAGCATCGTCACTTACTGGACTCGAGACTTTTTTTGTCTTCTCAGCAATCATGAAGCCATACCTGCGGTTCGAGTCCCATGGACCTCCCCTGCTAGCCATAACCCCGCTGACAGGGATTTGCTGCGACATGTCTGCTGAGAAAACGATTGCGGCAAGAAGGAAAAATAGAGAATACAAGAGACTCGCCAAGAGGTTCGGTCAAGTCCAAGTCTGGTAGGGGCGAGGGGCGGGCTGGCGAAGGGCAAAGAGCGACTGGTTTCCAGGAAAGGAGTAGAAAGATATGAGGCAATATGCAAGGGAGTTGTAAACGTCTATGTTCTGATCAAAGACCCAAGACAAGGCATATGTTGTCGTTTGGCCTTTTCTTCTTCTTCTCCTTCTCCTTCCTCTTGTCCTTCTTCTTCTTCTTTCTGGTTCCCGCAACGCAAGTATCTGGCTACTTTCCTAGGGCGGTCTCTCCCCGGCAGTTGCAGCTGGACTCGTGGCTCCCCTCGCAGATAATCCTGGGGTGCGGCAATATCCTGAGCTTGCTCCGTAGCAATGGAGAAAGGGGACCAGGAAGAAGAGAATGTCAGGCGGTGAGATCCAACGCGCCGTGGGGAGGGGGGTGTATCCGTCCAAAGACAGTAGGTGTCTGCGTTGTGATTTTTCTGCATAGAACGAACTCCTTATGCAAGTGACAGGTAGGCCACGAACATCATTGCGCCAATATCAGAATAGAGAGCTCCGGGCAGTATCCGTATTCGGCTTTTTCCTTTCTCGTTTTTTTTTTCCTTTCGGAGAACTGATGCCGGAGAAGAAGAAGGAAGGAGTAGGGTCGAGAGCACGAGAGGTTGAAGGGGAAAAACAGCCAGGTCGTCAGCCTCGAAAGACTAGAGGAGGGTGTGGGATCTAATGGTCTTCCCGCGCGAGACAAACAGCACACACGCACATATACACACACGCGCACATACAAGATCCAGAAGAGAGCCCCCTCAGAGAGAGGCTGGCTGACATAGGCGTATAAATGCTGAGCAACGAGACACCCACGGTGCCGAATGATGGCCGGGTGTAGGCGGGTCCTGGCCGTGATGCTACGATGAGATTCGCCCCAGTAACGGTTAGGCTGTGATTATCCGTCTTGGGCTGTTACTTTTCGTCAGAAGGAAACGGATCTAAGTATTCGCAACTGCCATGGCATGTACAACGGGGTATGAGACACGATAGGCTCTCAACAGCAGCGAAACGGGTTCACGTGAATCGGCCGCATAAATTCCGGGGCCAAGGCAGTAGTTTGTTTGTTTCTTTTCTCCCTCGGTCGACGCAAATAAACCCGATAGCAGCTCTTGCACACGCACTTGTCGTTCCCAACCTCTAGAATGTATGGGATGGACCTGGAAGAGAGAGAGGATAAGGAGTGAGCCTCCTAGACCACTGCCTGTATGTCCTCTGCGTCCTGCGAAGCCGAAGAGGCTAATAAACATCCAACAGTCGTCAAGTTGGCGACAGATCCAAACCCAGGTAACCACGGCCGGGCTTCCTCATTGGATCAAGGCATTGTTGCCCAACTCAATCATGGATGTATCGGGTAGAGACAAGGAAGGCCCAGTGGCGAGCACGTCGGAACAGCAGGGAACCCCCCGGATAATGACAAGGGGCGGTCAACGGCGAGCCAAGCGATTCGCGACGGCGGCGGCGAACGAGTTGGGCAGCAAGGCAAAGTCACTTTCGGGTGCCAGCCGCAGCAGTAGCAGCCGCAGAATCGGTAGCAAGGAATATACGCGACCCCCGTGGTGTCAGCGCATCAAAGCATCCAAGGCCCGGGTACACACAGGTGATGTCCGCTGCCCCGTGGAGAATTGCGTGTCTCGATCCGGCCGAGGGCTTCCCGAAAGTAGCGGCGTCGGTATGTAGTCTATCCGGACAAGGTAAGAATAGAGAATCCATCGCTGCCAAATACAAGCTTTTGCTATGCAAGGAATCTCGTCACCGGGGGGGGGGACCTTTCCCTGTAGGGCCATCGGTCGAGGTCAATGGCTCGTGCCAGGCAGAGAGATTGAACAGACTACGTCGAGTGAGGGGAACTAAAGCTATCGCACGTAAGGAAGTACATCGCCTAGCCCCTTCTGTTCAATACTATCAGATGTACCTGCCTATCTGTACAGATCACATACTCATTGCCAGCCGCTTCAATACATTGAGCTACCCGGTAGTGGGATCCTGATTTCTGGGGAACAACAGTTTGGTGTTTACGGTATTGGATTATAAAAATAAAAGAAAGGAAAAGAAGGGAGTTTGTAATATTCATGATACTACTACTGGATACCATTCCCATGCCTCAGCATTCTTTCATCTAGACTATTGCTCGTAGAACCCGTGAAACATCTGGTGCTGTCATACAGCATTACTCATCAACGCTCAACTCTAACCAAATGCCAGGTTATGAAGACAGAACATAATGATGAGTACCAACTCTCATGTGCAATGCAAGTATTACACTGTACGAGTTAAAAGGAACAGAATAATCTGTACAGATTATTTTAGGCGGAGTATTAGTCCCTGAGACCCCATATCTAGCGGAGTCTAATATTCTATGACAGTCATGATTGGATCAATCTTATGCACAATTCGTATAGAACTTGGCAGACGGCCACACAGGGCAAGTCTGTTTGAAGTGCCTTGTGCGTTCATTTAGAATTAACGTCTCTAACTAAAGGGCCCCCCCCTTGATCGTGTGCTTCTTCAGTAAACATGTCGCCGAGGTGTGTCGGCATTACTTCCAAAAAGTTTTAACCACTCGTAGTTTCTTGTTTCAACCATGTCATTAGCAAATCTTCGCCTGTGATGGCCCCCCCAAAAGATCGCAAGAGAAAATTTCACCGCCGAAGCAAAAACGGTTGCAACGTGTGCAAGAAGAGGCATGTGAGGTGCGATGAGAAGAGACCTCTTTGGTAAGTGCCGTGTGTTGCGTCCCAGGTCCCTCCCCCCCCCCCCCCCCCCCCCCCCTGGTGGGCCGCCGACCACATGCCACATGGCAATTGGCAATGATTGCTGCTGCTGCATACGGCTGCTGGCCTGACAGTTGCTATCCTTGTCAGACGCCCCATGGGACGCTCGTTTGCTAATTGACTGCATCTTGCACAATCTATAGCACGAATTGCCTGCAGACTGGAGATGAATGCATATACTCGCCTCTTCGCCAAGATGGTTCGCCGCATGGAACTGACGGGGGATACGCCTTGGTCAAACGGGATGTCCCATTAGGCACCATCGTGTCGGCCAGAACTCTGGATATGAAGAGTCCCCTCAGTGATTACGTGGGCGGCTCATACGAGGCCTTGCCTGACACGTCGAAACGACTCCTGAGGCACTGTATGTTGGGGAGAGACGTTCGTATACGGCTTCGGGAAGCGATACCGTGCTGACGTGCCGCTGGTGGTGAAAGTTGCGCAGTATGCAGTATGGGGACAGCAACCTGTGAACCGCGAACTCGAATCGAGCGTGTAAGTCGACTGCCGTCAAAACATCTACCTCCTCCTCTGTCAGTCTAGCTCATAAGCGGCAAGAATTCACAAGGCATTCGAGACACCAGGGTATATGCACATGTGCCTGATGCTATCAGCTTGTCAATGGGCATGGGTCAGAGGCTCCATGGACGATGTTAGGATCCCTTTCATGTATCACAAATCCGCGACATACCAGTTTGCCAGGGAACAGCTTCGGGCATCAGAGACGGCACAGAGCGGTGCCACAATGCTTGCCATATCGTCTCTCGCTCTAGCAGAGGTAGGGATCCAGCATACGCCCCTGCAGGATACTCACGGAGGAGGAGCTAACAAGGTCAAATGCCAGGGTGCGATTGGTGATCTGGACACTTCAACAAAGCACCTCAACGGATTCCGCCTGGCAATGCAGGGCCAAGGATCATGCCCGTCGCTCGCGCAGGAGATGCTAAAGATGTAAGACTCGTTAGGCTTCGTCGCGCAAGTAGGCACAATGGCTTACAAGGCGATAACAGGGCGGGGAATGGTCTTCGTGCCAGCAAGTCTACTACATTGGTCAATGTGCCAGACTACCAGCCTACCTTTATGGCGCTCCTCTTTGCCTCAATATGGGACATTTCGACCCTGCCGCCTAGAGAAGCTCCCAAGTACGGTTGGTGGGAGGAAAATGACACACAGGCTGCGCGACTGTGGCAGAACCACACCAAGGAGCTCAACCTCAATTATGAGATATCGCGGGGATTCGACCCAAACACGTACATGCCACGCATATTGAATGGCGACCCAAAGAGCAGCCGCACATGTTTCATCGCCACCTTCTTCTACCTCTTCTCCGAGGTGGGCAACGGTCAGATGGATGCCGTTCTGGTAGACTGGATCCTCGAGCAGCTCATTGACGACGTCAACACCAACGAGGAGAGCATCAAGACCAGCGCTTGGAGCGGTCCGTTGTGGCTATGGTGCGTTATGTTCGGAGCAGCCATAGCCAGCTCGGGCAAGGCATCGAGCCTGGTAGAAGACAGGCAGCTGAGGAGGTGGATCAAGGTATACGATGAAAAAATTCGACTAGTCAGTAAGACTCTAGGTTTAGATTCCTGGGGATCTGCGAGGCGGGTGCTGGGCCCGTTCCTCAGCGGCTCGCAAGATGAGGATGTGGACAAAGGGTTGATGGATATCTGGGAGCGAGCTTGTGGGACCAATGTCGCATGGGACGTTGAGGAGGTAGGCGATGAATGAAAGTAAACATGAGGCTCAGGTCTGAGATGCTTTCCCCATATTCAGAGGTTGAACTGGGTTGGGGTATTGTGGCATGAGCGGCATCAAGAATGACGCCGTATTACCCGGAGGCATTCCCGAGAAGGAGCACTCGATGGCTCCTGCCAATACCTTGGGTATCACGTGCCCGCAACTAGACGTCATGTCGCTGTGAGAGCGTTGGCAAGCTAATTAATTCACTCCCACTTACTCCGCATCCACGATAAACCATCACCCTGTGGCATCTTTCTCCCCGCTTCATAGCCCGTGTGGTCACCTCTGAGTCTATTACCATATCTTCAGCCACTTGGCGTACATATCCACATGCATATACACCCGCACCATCCGGAACGGGCGGGGATGGTGCGTCGTGTTGCTGAAACAAAGCCTCACAAATCGCCAGCGTGACACGCCTCGCGCATGGCTCAGCGACAACCCCGCCTTAGTTGTGAGCAATGGGAAGCATCCACGACGTGACAGAATACAAATAGTGAGGCAAGTCGACGCGTCCGGTGAGAAGGATTGCATGAGGTGCTGCTTTCACGCCCTCATGATTTGCCCAGCACAGCGCGCGTCGAATGATGCGTGGCCGGTCAGAGGGGGACCGCCCCCTCTCTCATCTCTTCATGCATATGGCGAGAGTGATTGAGAACCAAACAATGAGCACCCACCGGTCCCAAGGGCGGCGGTCCCTTTTAGAGACCGAATGATTTTGATAGGGGCTAACCAACGACTCACGTCGAATATTACACATCGTGACATTCTGGCAGGATGTCAGCTTGAGGAGGTGTGACAATGATGCGGAGGTGGGAGAAGGGGGAACAAAAGAAAAGCGGCCCTCCATGTGCGCGCTACGAGCAGACTGTCTCGTCATAACACGCCAAGCATGCATCGATGTGTTGTCCATCAGCGGTAGCAAAGCTCGGCCGTCTTCGATAGGGCCTTCCCGACCGAATCACCCCACTACGCCTTGTGAAAAATCAAGGTTTCTCCCCTCAGACCCATCGACGGCCACGATACCCCTGCTCTAAGGGGCCTATCATTGACAACTTCAGACCGCCAACTCAGTCCTGCGGCCCATTATGTGACCATACCTGCATCCAGGGCTGCGCAGAGGCCTCTTCATCACATTCACCGTATGGTTATTTGACGCACCTCGAAAGGATTTTTGTTTTGCTGTGTTTTGGGCCCCGAACGCAGCAATAAAACCCGCATGCCCCCTTCGTTGCGTTGACTTGAATTCTTCTTCCTTTCTTACTGCCCAACATTTCTGCCCGATATCATTTTTGACCCTGGTCCTCTTGGATATACTAGTCCACTTTCGCCTCCACATCTGCCCAAGCATTCAGCTCTTATACTCCTTACCGCTCGCAAAACGACCCAAAGGAACCCGAGGAATTTCCCCCTGGCTTTACACGACAGAACAGTTCTCTTTCGTGATCCCTAGCTTGCCTGCATCTGGACACAAAGACTGGTCTTTTGATCTGCTGGATCTCATACACGAGCCATTTTGCTCTATTCAAACCAAGGATATCATGCCTGCTGCCATTGCTGTGCCACGTCCGGCTATGGCTGGTTACAAGAATTCTGCCGACGATGAGGCCCATTCGCTCTCCAGGTACTGTTTACTCGCTATGATTTCCTTTAGTTCTGCTTTTTTTTTTTTTCATCATGTTGCAGCGAACATTATGTTTCATTCTGTCAGCCTTGCTCTTGCATATCTTTCTTCGGACCAGCGGATACATCCACAGGACATTTTCCGGACTCAAGCCAAGGACCGTTCATTTTCAAACCAGGACTCTTTTCTTTTGTGTTTTGCGTGTGTGTGTGTTACGCACATGGATCATGGATTCAAATCTGGACGTGCCCGAGCCGGGCACGAAAACAAAGAAATGAAATATCATCTAGATGCTTGCAACAGCAGTAAGTATCGCCCGACTGTGAAATGAACAAAACAAACAGAACCGTCCCTCGGGAACATTTGAGGATTATATTTTTTGTTGCTTTTTTCTGCCGGATTGTTTACCAAATTGGACATGCATTTTTACCTGGATTGTTTTCTTGAACCCGGATCATGAAACCTGGATTTGAAAACGGACCTTTGTGCTTTACCGCGGAGTATTCTCGACCAACACTCTCACCAACGGACTCTTATGGATCTTGGACCATTCCCTTGGATTGTCTCTTTGCAATCTTTTATGGAATTACCAGTAGGCTTGCTTCAAGCCTGGGGAAGGGAGGCAGCCGCCTAACCATCGCAATCCAATTTGATTGCACGCAACCGCGATTGGATAGAGGAATTGTTCCCTAAATGGACCAACCCGATGGATTATGACCACTTGGACCTTGGATTGTTTTATTTTTTTGCCTGCTTTGGAACTTCTACGACCCCAAATGGAGTTACATGGATTTTCGACACTTAAGGACTGACAGTCACATCGGAATTTGGATGTATCATCTCTGCTATGCTCTTTTTCTCAAAGGCCTAGCCAGAAAAAGATGACTGTCAACGGTCCCAAAAGGATTTTGAAACCCAGGATTTTTCCTTCGTTTGCATTTATAGCAACTTTTACCAACCACTGGATACTATTCGACACGGGGATGACGAGAACCATCGTCACCTCTGTTACCTTTTCCCTACCGGAATTCCCTGGATTGCAAGTTCACGCTGTCAGAAGACGCGAACTGTGATCAGCAATGGGTTTGTACAACCTTCTCACTTGAATAATCGTGTGATGACAAGCTGCTAACTGGTTCCCGTGTAAAGATCAAAGTTGATTCCATGCTGTACACTCATTTCTTTATGTCATGTTGAGGATCAGATAGTGGAAGAACAGCACACTAACCTACGCAGCGATTACAGCTATGCTCAGACTACCGTCCCTCATACCTCTGGAATGTTTTGCTTCTCTCAGACAGAACCATCGACGGACCTAATGAACGGTTCGTCATGGGCAACATCCACAGAAGGACCACGGAACTTTCCGGACTTTGCAGACAGTGGATCGTCCCACTCGGGAGAGAACGATGAGTTCGTCGTGATGTCCGGAAGCACAACCCCCAGAGGATCAAGATTGAACCGCACAAGGCCCAACGGTTCATGGACTGCCGCAGGACTCTCTCAGGCTTCTGTTGATGGACATGCCATGTCCCGGATAGACTCTAGCCGATCCTCTGGATCTATGCTATCACATTCATCACACTCGTCCAACTTGGACGTTGCAGGTAATGCTTCTGCTTTTCGCCACGGATCTCACGTTACCGGAACCATGGTCGGAGCCGATGCATGCCTTTTGATGGACCCTGATACCACGTCCATGTCACAAGTGTACTGGCCTACCTACGGTCTGGACATGGAGAACACACCCCTCTCGATGCCGGAAGCCAGCCCGATGCACGTGGTGCCGTCGCAGATGCAGTTTGGACCTGACGCGAACCTCGCGGACAACACTTCGCCAGGCTCTTGGGCCAACTTCCCTGTATCTGTGACCCGGACCTCTTCCCCCGCCACTATCGACGAGACGTGGATACACGGCCAGGGCCCCATCAGCCCCCCCAACTCATCGCCCGAGCTCCACTGCCAGTCTCCGAGGTACGTATCACTTGCGTGGCCCAGCTCTACGTCACTGTCGCCAGTTGCTCACAAGACCCGTTGCTCTTATAGTAGTATGGACTTTGGCAACCAGATGAACATTCACGGCGAGGTGAATGCCACTGGTATCCCGGGCCTCCCCGAGGGCTTGGCTCTGGCGAGCCCGATGAGCAACCGCCGGGAGAGCGAGAGCGCCAGGAACCATGACCTGTACAAGAACGCCAAGCCGCAGGAGGACGGTCTCTTCCACTGCCCCTGGGAGGGATCTGCCTCCTGCATGCACAAGCCTGAGAAGCTCAAGTGCAACTACGAGTAAGCATATCTGTGGGACCCGCCTAGTCGGAGCTGACTGTCGCTAACCTTCCTCGACCTCTTTCAGCAAGTACGTCGACTCCCACCTGAAGCCTTACCGGTGCAAGGATGCCATGTGCGAGGGCGCTCAGTTCTCATCGACGGCTTGCCTCCTCCGCCACGAGCGCGAGGCCCACGGCCTGCACGGTCACGGCGACAAGCCCTTCCTCTGCCACTACGAGGGATGTGAGCGTGGCGTTCCCGGCAACGGATTTCCCCGCCAGTGGAACCTCAAGGACCACATGAAGCGCGTGCACAATGACCACGGCAGCTCCGGTGGATCTCCGGCCAACGGCTTGAGTCAGCAACCGACCAAGGGCCGCAAGAGAAAGACAGACGTCTCGGAGAACCAGGCGCCCACCAGCCGCAAGGCGTCCCAGAAGAACATGCCGGTCAAGGAGCCTCGCCAGACTGCCTCCAACAAGCCCCCTCTGTTGGAGCAGTGGATGGCCAGCCGATCCAGGGTCGAGGAGATGGTTCGCGGCCTCAGCAGCCCCACGGACGTCCGCACGATCCAGCAGATTACCGACATCCAGCACCAGCTGGCCGGCCTGACGCAGCTGGCCGCCGAGCTCGGCCCTCTCGGCGAGCACCACGCCAACATGATGACAACCGGTTGAAGTGAGACAGCCGGTGGATTGGATGGAATTAGAAGATGGAAACAACGGAAGCCAACAACAAGGTCGACGACAACGACGACGACGAAAGCCCCTCGCATGAACGGAACGGGGTGTCTGACGATTCGGATTTTCATACTGGGTATCAGTGCGAGGTTCGCAGGGCCGCAGATCCACATTGTGTTACGTCCTACAAGACGGAGGAAGACACAGGAGATATTCGTGGACAATATGACGGCCCTTGCAGCACAGGGCAAGACTTTTTCTTTTTTTAACCGCGAACATGAACATGACGATCCCCGATACGGGGCCATGGAATTGGCGGATAGGGGAGTCTATTGCTCACCCTGGATGAATGAAGGACACGGCTTGTTTCGTACGGACGGAGATTGGCCTGCGGACTTGCGCAGGGATTATTCTGCGACGCAACAGCCAAAGGACATGATGATCTAGGACAAGGGAGGGGGAGATGCAGGACAGTCAACTAGTGACTAGTATCTGGGATTACTGGCATTTGCCAGATTATTACTTTTATTCTTCTTTGTTTACTCTTCTTTGTCTTATTCTTTTTCTTCTCGAGCCAACTTCTGCCCCGCCGAACGCTTTATTTTCCTTTGTCTATCCTTCTTTGATAGTTTTCCTCTTTTTTTTTTTTTCTCTCTCACGACTCTTTCTGTTTCTTCGAGTCTTGTTTTTAGATGCAGTTACTTGAATGAATGATGACTATATATATACATATATATACATGTACAGCTGCACACGTGAGAGATGTTGTAGACTAGTAGTACTTGGAACGTTGAAAATGAGAGGATTGCAGGCGCGCGGGACCCGGCTAGATGGATGGAGTAAAGATGGGAGGAGGACCTCGGCTTCAGGGAAGATGAAGGAAAGTATCGGGTGTGTACGGTGTACGGTATAGTCAAGGCAGTAATGATTATCATTTCTTCTATGCGATGGGGCATGCGAAGCTTTTCGGTGCTATATTACTACGGTGTTGTAGTGCTACTACTATGGATAAGTTTCTTTAGGAAAGTGAGATGCAAGATGCACGGATGAAAGGCGGGCAGACACTGTAGCAAGGTAGAATCACCATTGAGACGGCTACGGAACTACGGATTATATTAATAAGAGTCGTACGGAGTACATGTTAAAGCATTATATAATACTTCGTATTACCGTTCTGTTCCAGGACGTATCATACGGAACATTACGGAGCATAACGGAGCCCCTCTTCAGTAACATGCCGTCAGCTGGAGGTAAAACGCTAGGCTGGTGCTAATTTCGTTACATGCAACATGTACGGTGTACCTCTTGCCTCACCCCTCACTTGCACGCGTTGTGGCCTGCTGCTGCTGGGTTTGCCCCTCATCAAATCGAACGATGGAGCTACTTTTAATACTCTCTCGTATGACACTTGAGCTACTTTTGCTCGCGGCAAATTCAAGAGCATTTCAGAACTAAATCCTTCCATTGCCATCATCACCTCCACTCTTCCGCCCCAATCTAGTACATCCATCTGTCTCTACACTTACTTGTACGAGGAAAGTACACATTCTGCCCATCATGGCTCGCAAGTTCTTTGTCGGTGGCAACTTTAAGATGTAAGCTCCCCTATCCTTTTCTTCCTCCCTCCCGTCCTCTCTCTTCTCTCCCATCCCACGATTGACCGACCTCTGCTCTCTCTCTCTCTCTCTCTCAAAAACATAGGAACGGCTCTACGTCGTCCATCAAGGCTATCGTCAACAGCCTCAACAGCGCTAGCCTCGACCCCAACGCCGGTAGGTTTCACATCGTACTCTGCCCGCCTCCACCCCCAAGACCGATTTTACCGATCGAACTGAAATTAATCCCCCCTTCCCCTTCCCTTGGACCCCCGCAGAGGTCGTCGTCTCCCCTCCGTCCATCTACCTGACCCTCGTCCGCGAGACGCTGGACAGGAAGATTGGCGTGGCGGCCCAGAACGTCTTTGACAAGCCCAACGGCGCCTACACGGGCGAGATCTCGGTCGAGCAGCTCAAGGACGTCGGCGTCGACTGGGCCATCCTGGGCCACTCAGAGCGCCGCACCGTCCTGCGCGAGAGCGACGAGACCGTCTCCCTCAAGACCAAGTACGCCACCGAGAACGGCGTCAGCGTCATCTGGTGTTGCGGCGAGAGCCTCGAGGAGCGCGAGGCCGGCAAGACCATCGACGTCGTCAGCAAGCAGCTCGATTCGCTCAAGTCGCACATCTCGGACTGGTCCAAGATCGTCATCGCCTACGAGCCCATCTGGGCCATCGGCACCGGAAAAGTCGCCACCACCCAGCAGGCCCAGGACGTCCACAAGGCCATCCGCCAGTGGCTCCAGGGCGTCAGCCAAAAGGTCGCCGACGAGACCCGCATCCTCTACGGCGGTAGCGTTAGCGAGAAGAACTGCGTCGAGCTGAACAAGCAGCCCGACATTGACGGCTTCCTCGTCGGCGGTGCTTCCCTCAAGCCTGCCTGTACGTTCAAACATTACCCTTCCCTCCTCCCCCTTCGAGGCTGCTCTGCACACACACACACACACACACACGCCGAAACAACCCGCTGACATGGCCTCTAATCTGCAGTCATCGAAATTGTCAACTCTAGGAAGCAGTAAACTTCTTCTTCTCACAACATAGTTCAAAGGATGATCCTGATCTCGTAGCCCAGAATGGGAGAAGACTATCTTGGACATGACCACAGAAGAAGGGGGGGCTTTTCTCAAAAGATAGATGCACAAAAGAAGATTCATCCGTTTCGATAAATCTTGGCGTGAACCGTTTTCATTCCCGCCTAATGCTAGATGTAGATGTACATTGACCACAATTGATACAGCAAGGAGTAGTGGTGGTGGTGGTGGTGGTGGTGGTGGTAGTAGTAGCAGTAGTCGTAGTAGTAGTAGTAAAAGTATATGGAAAGAGCGCTCGTAGAATCAGCCAACAACCAGCCCAGCCGTCACCGAAAGGCCCCTTTCCCGACAGCGACGACGAAGGTGACGACCCAGAGAGATTATACAGACATGCCGTGGCCATGGTACGGGGACCAGACACCCCTGACGCTGGGGTTGCTGCTCGTGATGGCCTTGTTGGTGCGCCTCAGCTTCTCGCCGCTGGCGTCGCGCAGCAGCTCGACCTTTTGCAGGATCTCGTAGGGCGTCATGTTTCGGACGCACACGGGCTTGTTGCGGCCGTTGATGTAGTGGCCCGTCACGACAGGATGCTTTCCCGGCCGGGGGGAAACGGAGAATTCGATCTGGGGGTTGGCGGCGGCGAACTTGGGGAGGAGGGACTTGATGAAGCCGCTGTGACGGATGCATGTCGGGTTAGCCACGGCAACCTGCCCCTCCGCACACCCACTTCCGTCTTCTCTCTCTCCCATCTCGCAGAGGAAGGGATTGAAAACTCACTTCATGCCCTTGGAACTACCGGCCCAGTCGCAGTAGTGGAGTTCCATCTTCTTGCATTGCAAGACAAAGGCACCGACGCCATTCTGGGGAAAAGGTCAGCGGGACAAGGAATACGCTAGACTGATGGAAGGAGAAGAAGGGAAGCATACCCTGGCGCGGGCCACGTTCTGTAGTGCCTTGACTGTCATTGTTGCTGGTGGTGGTGGTGGTGGTGCTAGTGATGAACCCGATCAAGAATTCATGATCCGCTAGATTTCACGTCCCCTGCTGCTCGTCGCGAAGGGGACCAATGCAGATGATGCGGATAAATATCGGCAAAAGCATGGCTCTCACCCGTTATCATTACATGACCCGTTTCTCGTCGTACATGGGCCATTCCCATTCCCCCTTCGCCCAAGGCAGAAAGGTCTGAAATCCCAGCTGTAATATTAAGTCGGTACTGTTCGGTCAGTGGTAGAATTACTAGCAGCAGCCCTTTTCAGTACCGAAAAGAAGAAGAAAAAAAAAGCAAGCGCCATCATCCACAACGACACAAAGCAGGTGCATCACCAACCCGAAAAAAACCCCCTCCCCCTTCTTGGGCGAGCCTTTTTCTCTTTTCTTTCTTCTCCTTCTTTCGCATCCGTCATCCTCCTCGATATATATATTCTTGGAATCTATACATATACCGAGAGAGAGGAGGGCCTGCGCACAATGACGGACAAGCTCCCGCCCAACCTTCTCGCGCTCTTCGCGGCGCGTCCCCCCCTGCGATGGCTAGAACACCCAGACTACGCACCCGAGAAGCGCAGGACGGCCGCCATCCAAGGCCTGGCCGCCTTCCTCCCCGAGCTGCAAAAGTACAAGGAGACGGACGAGTACACGCCGACCGAGAGTTGGCTCGAGGCGCGCGACAGGAAGAGGCGCGAGAAGGAGGCTGCCGTTGTGCAGTTGCGCAAGGATGCACCCACCATCTGTGAGTTTGTCCCATCGCTTCCGTACCCTTCTCCTGTCCCATCACCAGCTGGCTGACAAGAGAGACGTGACAGACAAGCCGAGTGAAGACCCCAACATCCGCGGCGATGCTTTCAAGACCATGATCGTCGCTCGACTCAGCTACGAGGCCGACGAGCGCGATCTCGAGCGCGAATTTGGACGCTTTGGTCCCATCGAACGCGTACGATTGAACTGCGACCCTTTACTTTTGAATGCATTGGTCAGATAGTTGCATGGACTGACACTCCGTTTTGCAGATCCGCATTGTCAAGGACACGCACGCGCACGAAAAGCCCAGCAAGAAGAAGAAGGCGCATCGTGGATATGCCTTTGTCGTCTTCGAGCGCGAAAAGGACATGAGAGGTAAATATGAAGCAACAGATGCCCCTCCCTCCCCTCCCCTCCCCTCCCCCTCCTCCTCTTCCTCTTCCTCTTCCTCTCCCTTTCAATCATAAGAAGCCCTTTGCGGTTCACTTCTTCTCCCCTTCCCGCCGATTATGAAAGGAGCAATGGTATTGGAGCTGTGGCCCTCAAGCTCGCCCTTCCCCTGAGGGCAGATATTTTCTTTCCTTTTCTTGCCAGACGCGAACTCGAAAGGATGGGGGGGGGGCCCTCAAGCATGCCCCCTCCTTGCAGTCTGCGCATACTCTTACTCCTGTCTTCTCTCCCTCTTTGCCCCCTTTCGAGCTGTTCGGTAAGATGTTTTTCTTAACTGACACGTGCACCCCTGGGTGCACCCCCCACGAGTAGCGGCGCTGGACTCATGCGATGGAATCCGCATCAAGGACCGTAACGTCAAGCTGGACGTCGAGCGCGGCCGCACCGTCCGCTCATGGCTCCCCCGCCGACTGGGTGGCGGACTGGGCGGTCGCGGCTATACCAAGGCCGTCAGCTCACGTCCCATGGGCGGCGGCTTCGGCGGCGGCGGATATCGCGGCGGGTTCAGGGGGTTCGACGGCGGCGGTCGCGGACGAGGCGGCTTCCGCGGAGGTTTCGGTGGAGGCCGCGGTGGTGGCTTCAGGAGAGACGGTGGTGGTGACTTTGGCGGTCCCCGTGGTGGTGACCGTGACCGCGGCTTTGGTAACGGCCCGCCCAGAGATGCTCCCCTTGGCCCTGGATCTGACCGCAGGAATGGTGGCGAACGCTCCTTTGGCGGTGGTAACGATCGTGATCGCCCCTCGTACGATGACCGGCGCGGCGGCGGCGGCGGCGGCTACCGAGGAGGTGACCGATTCGGAGGCGGTGGCGGCGGAGATCGCGAGAACCGCCGCACCGGAAGCAACATGGAACCTATCGGCGGCCGTCGGGAGGTTGGACATCGCGACCGTGACCGCGAACGTGAGCGTGGCCCTCCGCGCGACCATGACCGACCACCTAGGGACGATGATAGCCGGAAGCGTGCCTACGACGGTGGCGGCTACGACGACTCCCGCAAGTCTCGCCGGTACTAAAGTGGACTCGGAGATATTCCTCTCCCACAAGAGGAAAGAAAAAGAAAGAAGTCCCATCGGTACACTGGGGAAAGTATGCTGCTTGTAAACCTACTCGTCCGGTGGGTTCTGCCCCCTTTCCTTTTCCTTCGTCTCCCTTTTTCCTCGTCGACAAATGGGCCCGTCTACTGCGCACAAAAAAAAAGGGAGGTGGGGGGGGGGGGGGGGGGACAGAAAACGAAAAAGGGAAGTATTATAGATGAGTACGCAAAGGTCAGGACATACTAGAAAAGGGTCAAGGTAATTCTTTCTCTCCTTTTCTTTCTTGTCTCTCTCACACACACGCACACACACTCTCTCTCTTTTCTTTTTGTACAATACGGGGGAGGTAGGGTATTATCATTGATTTTTTTCTTGCTCTGCGCGGTTTATGGAGAAGGCGGTTGGGTTTCAAGAAGATGAGAAAGAAAAAAAATATCACTCCATGGGAGGGTATTTCCGAGGATGCTATTTATCCGTTTCGGACGGCATTGTTGTTCTTATTATCAAAGGGGAAAATAACCGGTAAGGTCAGAGGTAAGGCTATGACCTGATGCTTTTTTTTTCATATCTACTCACCGCGATGTTTGCAGACAGACTGAGAGGTAGAATATGTTCTGATGGTAAAGCGTATGGCAAGGTTAGAGGTAGAGGGAGACGGTTGTACTAGTATTTAATATACATATATATAGAGAGAGAGTGAGAGTGAGAGAGAATATGCCACGTCAAGAGTGCCTTTTCATGCTGAGATGCAGAAGAATCACATCGAAGCACTAGAACGCATGTATACCTCTGTGCTATCCATGCCAAATACAGGAGAAACATGGATGATTCGATCTTCAAAGATGATCCTACTATGTAGTATATACTACCTACCTAGCACAACCCCTTGGCACATGACTTTGTCCTTGTCCCCTCCCCCCTTATCCATCTCTTTTTTTTATGTGTGTGTGTATGTGTGTATGTATCCCAAACGCCCACCCCATAGTATCGAGAAAAAGAAGAAGAAAAAAGAAGCAGCAAAATCAAAGAGGAAATATCCACGCTGGTATCAGTCATGTCATAAAACACAGAACATCTCTGTCTGTCTGTCTGTCTGTCTGTCTGTCTGTCCTCCTCTTGTCCAACCACCACCTTCTATGGGATGGGGGAACCAGAATGCATTGCACCTCGAGCGCCATGGTAAAAAAAAAGAAGAAAGAAAAGTATCAAAAACAGGAATGTAAACTGAAGTAGAAAGGCACAAGAAGCTTTTTTTTTTTCTTCTTCTCTTCTTTTCAATCGGCCTGCATAGCGTCGGGGTTGACCTCTGTTACTTCTCCAGTCTCGGAAGTCCAGTAGCTAAGAATTTGTTAGTAGACAAGGACGGAAAGAAGGAGAGGTGGCGGAAAGACAAGGGGGAGATGAGAGAGAAGAAGAAGAAGAGAGAGAGAGGGAAAGAAGAAGAAGAAAGGAAACATACGAGATGACCTGAACCTTGAATTCACTCAGGCAGACGGAAAAAAGCTTGAGGAGCCTCGTCTGCCTCGAGTCGAGGATTTCGCCCTCCTTGCAGACGGTGTATCCGTCGCCCTCGCCGCTCTCCTCGCCGAGGACGATCTTGCCGCGGACCATGCGGGTGGGGACGCCGAGGCGGCGGAGCTCGGGCTCGATGGAGTGCTCGAGGGGGACGTCGTGCTCGACGGGGACCTCTCCGGCAGTGGAGTAGACGACGCCGCTGGGGATGGAGAAGTCGCGGGTGGCGGGGACGCCGGCGCGGGCGAAGTCGACGGGGGTGAAGGTGTCGAAGTAGTCGAGGATCTCCTGGGCAGGGCGGTTGGTCAGGAGGAGACCGACGTTGCCGGCCAGGTAGCGGGACAGACCCTCGATTCCGGGGGCGGCAGAGTCGTCCGGGTTCTGTCCGAGCGCGCGGGCCATGAGCTTGGTCTTGCCGAAGAAGAGGCTTCGGAGCGTTCCGACCGTCAGACTGGGTATGCGTTGGGACGAGAGAGGGAGGAAACATACCGACTGTCTGACAGTTCACGACGGACATCCTTGAGGTGATTGTTGCGCATGTTGTCGACCCCGAAGACGAAGCAGTGCTGGTATTCGGGAATGGCATCGCGGATATTTTGGAAGAGCTGCTCCTTTTGATCCTTGGTCTTCTTGTCGACCTGGGTCATGTGGACGACCTTTGAGCGTCTCGACTTGGGCATGATGACTGGATTTTTTTTGGGTTATCTCTTCGTTATCTTCTGTTTTCTTTTACAGTCTCCTGAAAGAAAGAAAAATAAGAAGAAAATGAGAAGGAGAAGGATGATCAGAAGAAGGCAGTGGTCTTTCTCGTCAAGTTGATATGTTTGTGGTGGTGGTGTTGAAAGAAAATTGGGCGTGGGGGAAACTGCAAAACACAAGGCCGACCGAACTGATAAGATTGTGCAAAAAAAAAAAAAAATCATATTCGAGGGTCCCTCCCTCCTTCTCGATTAGGTTGGATTCACGTGTGCAAATTTCATGGTCAGCAACTATGGTAGGTGCTAATTCTGCCAATCAGAAAAACCCACAATTTTTCTTCTTCTCTAGGGAACGAACCTCCCCCCCCGCGCGCGCAGCAGCAGTTTTTGCTTTGCTTCTCACCGAGAATATGCGGAGACCTCACCGAGGAATTTCATTCAGCCATTCAGCCACACAGCTCAACATCTACGCCACACATACTGTCCTTGCTCTGCCGGAGTGCCGTCTACAGCGTACGGGGTAACGTTGGACGTTGGGCTGCCAGGCAAAATGAGGCTAGAACAGTTATACAGGGCAGTATCATCAGATGGGCACGCAAACACGGCCCAATGCATGGATGACCCCTTGGATGTACACAGCGTCACTCACTGCACACCTCTACACACACACACACGCACGCACGCACGCACAGAAAAAAAGAGGGGGGAATTTACTGGTTGGGAGAGGGAGGAGAGTGTATCGTGTATCACCCCAGGCAGGAACAGGGTAGATTGCTGTTTTCGTGTGCTACCCGTACTGTTATTTATTACCTGTACTGGGTATATATACAATGATACTGATATACATCACACAGCTGATATCTGTACTGGTTAATTTCTATTTGGGACACGACTGTCAAGCCATCACGGTACTGTGTGAACGGGGGAACTGAATGGAAGTACGTCAACCATGGACACGGGAAGTATCAGAAGCTGTAGTGATCGGGTAACCCCTGAGGTTCTACTATAAATCCCTGCCACCAGCACGCAGCTTCCTTCCGCCCCTCTCTCCCTGTGCTTGTTTGCCCTTTTGATAGATGCCCTCACCCTCTGCGCACACATCACACGCCGCATACACACACGGTAAGCGCACGGACCATGCCTCATGTCCAACCTGGGGCCTAATAATTATTAGTAGCTTTTTTTTTTTTTCTTCTTTTTTTTTCTTCCTCATCCGCCGCCATCCACGGCTTTCTTCCGACTCCGCTATATTCCTCTCGATTTGCTCACGACCTTGTTCGGACCTCCTCTCTCCCTCTCTCTCTCCCTCTCTACCCCCCATCGCCACATTCCACTCCGAATCACTTCCACCGCTCCGTCCATCGCGTTCTCATCTCCCACGCGCATTCTACCGCTCCTCCTCTTCCCCCGTCATCTACACATCCTTCTCTTTTTTTTTTCCCCCTTCCATTTCCTTTCTCCCTTCCTCTTGAACTCTCTTCTCCTCGCCTACATATCCGCGCATCCCCACAGCGCGCCCTGCCATCCTCCGCATCCCATCCTCTCCTATCTCCCTCCCCGTCCCCTCCGATCCCTCCTCCTTCCACCATAGTTCGTCGCCCCATCATTCATTGGGCCCTCGCCGCGAGCTGTCTATCAACAAACACCTAAGAGGTGGCCACGACGACCGGTCCCTTTCGCAGGATCATCACCCGCACCTCGTCGCTTCCGAGCTCTTTGACACCTTCGCGATATCTCCCGACAGTCCGAACACCCCTCTTCTTCCAAAAATACTCCTTCCGTTCACGGTTCCGTGGAGCCCCGCCACCCAATACGAATCTGCAACCATGGCTACCAACGGAAACTTTGCCCACCAGGACCAGTACAAGGCTCCCGCCGACCAGTACACTGCCGCCCCTGCCAGCATCGACCCTGCCAGCTCTTCGGGTGCTAGCAACGACTTGTCCAAGGATGAGGTTGGCTGGTACTTTGTCGAGCAGTACTACACCACCCTGAGCAAGTCTCCCGAGAAGCTCCACGTATGCTCCCTGTCCCCTGCGTACCGTCCTGATCACGTTCCGTCCAGCTAAACTCTTCTCTAGCTCTTCTACGGCAAGCGTTCTCAATTTGTCAGCGGAATCGAAGCCGAGGTCACCAACGTCTCTGTCGGTCGCCAGGTACGTCTTCTACCATACCTGACCAAATCTGGAGCCAGGCAGCCTAAGCTAATATGACACTCCCTCTCCCTCAGGCCATCCAGGAGCGCATCAAGAAGCTCGACTTCCAGGACTGCAAGGTTCGCATCTCCAACGTCGACTCGCAGGCTTCCTTCGAGGGTATCGTCATCCAGGTCATCGGTGAGATCTCCAGCAAGACCGGTGAGCCCAAGAAGTTCGTCCAGACCTTTGTTCTGGCCCAGCAGCCGTCGGGCTACTTTGTCCTCAACGACATCCTGCGCTACATTGACGAGGACGGCGACGAGAACGCCGAGGAGGCTGCGGGCGAGGCCGTCGCCGACAAGGCCGAAGATGCCCCTGCCCCTGCCGCCGCCGAGACGGAGGCTGCCGCCGATGCCCCCAAGGAGGAGTCTGCGGACCTAAAGGCCGACGCCGTCGACGAGAAGCTCGAGGAGGTTGCCCACGAGGGCCAGGTCAATGGCGACGCTGCCGCTCCCACTGCCGCTCCCGCTGCCGACGAGCCCGCCCGGGAGGCCGACGCTCCCGCCGATGCGGATTCCGTTGCCGTTGCCGAGCAGGTGGCCGAGGAGACGACCAAGGAGGCCGAGGAGCCCAAGGAGCCCACCCACACCCCGGCCGTCAAGGCCGAGCCCCAGCTGGTCGAGGAGGCTCCGGCCGCCCCTGAGCCGGCCGCCCCCTCCAGGCCCATGACCTGGGCCAGCCGTGCTGCTGCTGCTGCCGGTCCTCGCCCGGTTGTCCCCCTGCCCAAGACGGCCACCCCTCCTGCGCAGGCCCAGGCCAGCCGCGCCCCTCCTCAGGCTGCCGCCCAGGCCGCCGCCCCTGCGGCCCCCGCCGCCGAGGCTGCGCCCACGGCAGCCGCAGCTGCTGCTACCACTGAGGCCCCTGCCAAGGAAGCCTCTGGCTGGCAGACGGCCGGTTCCGAGGCGAAGCGCCAGAACCGGCCCCAGTCTATCTCTGCTGCCCCGGAGAAGGAGGGTACGCTCGGATACGTCAAGTACGTGACGGACAAGGTCCAGGAGGCCGACCTGAAGAAGGCGCTCGAGGCCCACGGCGAGCTGGCGTACTTTGACATCAACCGCGACAAGGTAAGTGCGGTGTCCCTGTAAAGCCCGGGGCCGTACCGGTACGGCCAGAGATGGCGTCCCGACAGACCAGCTGACAGCATCTCGACAGAACTGCGCCTTTGTCGAGTACAAGACGACCGAGGGTTACCAGGGTGCCCTGAACTCGAACCCTCACATTGTCAACGGCGAGCAGATCATCGTCGAGCAGCGCCGTCCCAAGACAAACGCATACGGCGGAAACAGCTACGGACGTGGCGGCGGTGCTCAGCGTGGCCGTGGCGGCTTCAACGGTAACCGCGGCGGGGGCCAGGGCCCGAGGGGTAACTTTTCTGGACAGGGTCGTGGCCGCGGCGGCGCCCCGCGCGGCCGTGGTGGTGCCCAGGCCACCAACGCTTAAGGCATAACTGCTTTACTCTGATGTCAGGTATCTGCAGATCCTCCGGAGGTGATTGGATGTATCCACGGCAACCTTGAAGATGACAGTCTATCTGCCCGTCCTTTTTTTCTTCTTTTTTTCCCTTCCCTCTCAACAGGTGCCGGGCATGAGTTTGCTGGCAATGTCAGCCGATTCCTCTGCCAACCTGCTGACCCCATTTCGGGGATGTACGGCCATCGGTCTAGATTCCAGCAAACGGGGAGAGGGAGGAAGAAGAACTACGAAAGCAACCGGAGGAGTGGGGTTTTTCGGTCACGACAGCATAGGATCTGGAGTTTGGTGGGAGCCGCATTGCCATTTCCACCTTTTTTTTTTCTTCTTTTCTGATTCTCGACTGTCTTCTTCTCTGTGTCTTTTTTCCTCCCCAAGACCTTCTTTTTTATTCTTCGATTTTATAACGTCTTGGTTTTGCATTTGGCGCAGCGTCGGCTTTGCGATTGTCACGGCCTTGAACGTGGCATGGTAGGGTAGGGGTTACCTTAATTGGCTGGTGTCTTTTGTTTTCATCTTCTTGTGGAGCAGATGGAAGAGGAGGATGGAGGGGGGGGGGAGGGTTCTGGTTGAGAACGCGTTCTCGATGAGCAATACTCTGATGGAGGGACTCGGGTCCTGGGGACGATAGCATGGAGGAAGAGGGGTAGGTTAAAGGGGGGGGGGAGAAGAGGAAGAGGATGCACAAGCATGTGGATGATGATGGTTGCATGTATCATATTCTGCCCTGGTCTTTATTTTTTTATCCCTTGTGGGGCGGATAGGCTTTACAAAAATATATATACAGGAAAAAAGGGGGGAGGAGTTTGGTTGAATGGAAATTCAAGGGAAATAACTGAGATGGACATGGTAACATCTGTGCGCGCGCGCGCGCGTGTGTGTGTGTGTGTGTGTAATATGCGTGCGTGATGAAAGAGGCATTCCAGTGTCGGGACTATGAGATGGAGTGTTGTATAGGTTGCAGGATGGCAGACGTTGAGCTGATGAGATTTTTTTTTTTTTTTGGATCTGTCGCTTTGATTGATGGGTTAGGAGAGTATCGGCAGATGAGCAATACCCTTACCTCGTATTAGTCATTATCGTGGTGATGACTTGCTTCAAGTTGCTAAGTCGTAAAATGTATATATGTAGTCAGTCATGTTTATCTTGAAATCTTGTATTTTTTTTCATTGAATTTTTTTGGGGATGCATTGAGATGTTCTCTTTCTTCTCCCCCCCGATAGTCGATCGGATATCCTTACGAGTATACCTGCACAATGTATGGAGAGGTAGGGACGGGTTTAGTGTATCCGTATACATATACAGATTAGATATAGTTGATAGACGTCACGTCACTGTCAGTGCGCGATGCCAAGACGGGAGGGCGGTTGAGAGTGTTGGGCTCTGTACGACGAGTACGTGTCGTCCGAGTGTGGGGGACGGGTCGGTCTGCGGTGGACGGTTTGTGGTGGGACGGACAGTGGTGTCGTGTCGCCTTGGAGAGTAATGTGCGTTTTCTCTTTCCTTTTTTCAATATATATATATATATGATACATACATTTTTCTTTACATCTTCTTTATTTTTCTCCCTTCTGTATGTGTGTTTTTGCGTGTCTGCTTGTCCTCTTACTACAGGGTACAGATTAGATGGATGTATGTATGACGTGATTTTAGTACCTGTTTTTGTGATGTCTTAGGTGGTATCGTTCTCTTGAGATTGACGATCTCTGATAAGGAATCTAGGAGTCTGACTCTCGTGACGCTATTCGACAAGGGAAAGGAAAGGAAAATTACGATGTGCCGGATTTCCATAGTCCCCGCGTGACGGGGAAGAAGGAAGGGGGGCGGGGGGCGGATTGATGATTTTCCAGCTTTCTCCTAGTCTACTCTTATAGGAGAGAGAGAGAGAGAGAGAGAGAGAGAGAGAGAGAGAGAGCCCACACAGAGAAGATCAGAGGGAAGAATCCAGTCGGTGAAAAAATGAAACTCGAACCCTCCCCCCCCCTCTCCCCTTTTCAGATTATTCTGTATGTGCAGATTATACATGCTTGGTAGCTCGTCCGACCGAGTACGGGTAATGTACGAGTAATGTGCAATGGGTTTGATTATTGACGTAGAAATATGGATAATCTCTCTGCAGTGATGCAGTAAAAGGGGAAGCCAAAGAAAGAAAGACAACAAATTACATAAGATGGATTATTTTCTTGATACATAAATAAAAACTACCCCAAGAATAAAATAAAAAGCTGTACGTAAGCGGGATCTTTTGATCTTTCCACCTGTACGAGCGAGTCTAGACTAAAAGCAGGAGGAATGATGCGGGTGCAGGGGTAGGGGTAGGGGTAGGGGTAGGGGCATAGGTAGAGAAGAAGAAGAAGAAGAAGAAAGAAAAGAAAGAAGAAAGAAGAAAGAAAGAAAAAAAAGTTCCCGTACGCTGACGGGAGAGATGTGGCGGGGTAATAATGAGACTAGGGATGGATGGATGAGGGCTTTTTATTTTTATTATTTTCTTTTGAAAAAGAAAAAAACCCACCTTGAGAAAGAGAGGGAGGAAAGAAAGGAAGAAGAAGAAAGAGAAAAATAGAAAGAGAAGAGAAAAAAAAAAGTACCCGGTGCGGCACATGTACTCGCTCTCTGCGCTACAATGTTGGAGTCGTACGGGATAGTATTGCATGTACTCGGTATAGAAGACGAGAATATCATGAACCAAGACATGGGATCGAGAGTCACGGGGTTGATGTGTGAAATACGACATTCTGAGAGAGAGGAGAGGGAGAGAGAGAGAAAATATGGAGCCAGCTGCAAAGGTGCCAAGCTCCACAAAGCCAAAAAGGCCACACCCCCACCGCGACGGCGTTTACCAAAAGTTCCGACAGCTCCAGCAGAGAGGGAGGGGGGGGGACTTTGGGGGCCTACCATGGGTCAAAAGGTCAATGTATATGTGTGTGTATATGTATGTGGGTGTGTATATGTATGTGGGTGTGTATATGTGTGTGTGTTATCATGACTCTGTTTAACGCGCCGGACTTTCTTCTTTTTTTCTTCTTCCCTTCTCTCCTTTCTTCTTCTCCCCTGCATGCACTGTATATGCACAAGGTGTAGTAGATGACAATTCGGGCATTGGTCAGGAAGGGGAGAGAAAGAAGAAAGAGATGAAGAGATAGAGAGATGTAAATAAATATATATATATATATATATATATATATATTCTACTGCCCCAACTCCGGGGTAATATAGCAGTAGTAGAACGGTTACTGATACTACCTACTACAATACTGTACGACGCATAGCAGTCGAATGGGCAAGGTACGAAACAGCACAGGCGTGTACGAAATGATACTACGTAGGTGGTGGTGACTACCATCACTAACTAGTACATGTGCGCGTGACGGGTACTCTGTAGTCGGTATCCCTTGAATCGAGCATATATACCATGTGATGAGCAGCGGGACGGAGCAGCAATACGGAGCAGCAATACGGAGCAGTAGTCATATAGAGCAGTAGTATTACCGAGTAGTAAAATCCCGACAATGTACGGCAGCAATGTACGGCAGCAGCGGACACGCAAAGAGAGTGTGGTCCTGAACAGGCTCTGATCTGATCAGCCAACGACAGCCGATGCCAGGTCCCTCTGATGCCAGGTCCCAAGGGCAGTCCGACGCTGTCCGTGGGGTGGGGAACCGCTCCAGCTCTGTCCAGCCGGCCGGGCGCGAGCGGTGCAGACCGTGCGCAGAGCGTTAGGGCTCGAGGACTCCGGACGTTGATATTGCATGCCGCGATATGCGTCCATACCACTCACCGGCCAGGCCCGGACGGACGGCGGAGGGGGGGGTGCTCATACCGATACCGGTGCGGATCGTGAGCGGGACGGAGATGGACTCTGTACAGATCTGGTATATCGTGCTCCCCGATAGGCCACCCAGGTCTCACACAGTATCATTACTGTACATGTGATATGGAGTATTGCGGAGTACAGAATGTGTACGGAGTATTGATATTATCTTCTATTCAACTTTTATTCCTTGTTATATAAAAAAGAAGAGAAAAAAAGAAGAAGAAATGTAAAGAAGAAAAATACACACGCACACACACACATATACATATGTATACATATTACATCATGACCGGGCTCTAGTAATCTGTTACCTCTTACTTGTAGCATCCCGTAACACTCGGGTTACCCTGCCGATCGATGCAGCAAAACAATCCCCTCCTCTCCCCACCGTCGCAATGGTCCAATGTGGAAAAAAAAAAAAAAAAAAAGGTACTCTCAGCCAAGAGATGTGAGAAGATGTGTTCTCTTTCCTTTTTTTTTTTTCTCTCCTTGAATTTTTTGAATCTTTTCCCATTTTCTTATTTCATCTTATTAATCGTGGGACCTGGATGAGGATTGAGGCTTGGCCGTGACGGAAGAGGCGTACCCTGATGGTTCATCACAGTTTGCAATCTACGTACTGTATCGATGCACCGTACAGGATTAGTATCACTACATGAGATACGACTAGGATCTGATTGTACCGCTCGCCATGTATAATGTATCGTCGCAGGGCACTCCTCTTTACGTATAGTACTACTCCGGGTATGGATAGCATCATCATCAGAGGGAGGGTACGGGTATGTATGTGATGGTCTGTCGCTGGCCACTCTTCTGCTAGAGATATAATGTACGAGAGAGTGTGTTGGTCGTACCTTCCTAACCTTTTTTTAATATTTTAATGTTCTAATGTTCTAATATTCTAATATTCTAATATATATATATATATATATTTGGCCTTTATCCCTGACAGGTGACAACGACCTCCTCCCCGAATGAGCTTAGCGTCTCCTGCACTGACTCCCTTCTTTCCTTGGGCCTTTTGCACTCCCATTCCACCTGCACTGATTTATCTTATTTTATCTTGTTTTATAAAAGGTTCCCCTTTAACAGTCGATTTTACAGGCAGATGATAGTGCAGAGTGTACAGAGTGCGCAGAGTGCGCAGAGTGTGCAGAGTGTACAGAGTGTGCAGAGTGTACAGAGTGTGCAGAGTGTGCAGAGTGTGCAGAGTATAGGCATCATGTAGACGCAGGTGTACGGAGCAGACAGGAGTGGTAGACAGAGCAGATCATAGACAGTATAGACAGAATGTAGTGAGCGGAATAGTGCGCTACCCGTGACATATCCAGCTTTCGAGCACGAGTAATACTAGCATGGACCGCAACTGTCCACTCTCCGGAGAATAATGACTCTCTTTCTTCCTCTCCCTTCTCCCTCTTCTCACGGATGCATCATCCAGGTACCCTGCCGTCCAATCAGCTCCTCCAGACTCATCGACGTCTTCGAGTGAGTCCCAATACCGAGAAGCATACCACGTAGCATCTTACTCTTCACTACCACTCTACATACAGTAATAGATGTAAAAAATTTCGAATATATATATCTACTACAACATGCTACTACTCGTACGGAGTAGAGTCCGGTACGGAGTGATTATAGTACTGCCAGTACTTCTCGTAACTCGCCTACCTAAATCCCTGTTTAGAGACCGAAACTACCATAGTCCCTCCACCCTCCCCTCCCCCCCCCCCCAAAAAAAAAAAAAAAAATCTGCCGTGATGCGACGCTTTGCTCTTCCCGTCTCATCATCCATCATATTAGATCCACGCCCATCAAAACCCATCAAACCCTCCAAATCCTCCCCGAACCCGACCGACCGTCAAAATGCCAAGGACTACTGATCGACCGCCACTCTCCTCCAGAAACCTCCACTCGCTTCTTCTCTGCCGGCGGCCCAAGTCCATCCGTCGGCTTTTCTCGTCTCTCTGTCTGCGTCCCCTTTACTTTTTCCCTCTTCCGTCTTTCGTAACTCTCTTCTTCTTTCTTTTATTTATTTGTCTATCAATCTACACAACTACACAACACCATCTCTCCTCTTCCTAGTCCTTCTCCGGCAAAGATAAAAAGAAAGGAAAGGAGAGGAGAGGAGGAAGAAGAGAGAGAGAGAAAAAAAGGGTACTTTCTTTCCTCTCCCCCCCCCCCTTCTCTCTCTTTCTCCCGGACTTCTCTTATTCCCCTTTCTGCAGCCTGGCGGGTCCACCGCACGCGCGCGACCGCAGGTTGCAGACGACGAGTCCATCGACTACAAGTCTCTCTCCTTCTCTTTCTCACTCACTCTCACTCTCACTCTCACTCACTCACTCACTCACTCTTCTTCTTCTTCTTCTTCTTCTTCTTCCTTCTTTCTTCTTTTCTCTTCTCTCTCCATCTCTATCCCCTTCTCGGCCCCTCCTTCATCATTTGGGTTCCTTTTCTCTCAACCGGCTACCGAGTAATCTTACCATCACTACAGATTACTCGTACCTGATCAGAAAAAAGAGGCGGGAAAGAAAAGAAAGGGAGAAACTCTCTCTCTCTCTCTCTCACACACACACACACACACACACACACACACATAAAAGTGTCTTTTGGAACGGTTCCCTGCCCTTCTCCCTCTGTCATCGATCCTCCCCGCTCAATCTTCAATCTTCACCAATAGCCTCGACATGTCTCGTGCCACTTCGTTATGATTATTATCTCTACGTCAACTCCATACGCGGAGCCCTTACCTCTGTTCATCTACCGGTACCCGCCCAGTCGCCTACGCACCGAGCACCGAGCTCGATAGATGCTACCTCCAGTTGCAGTGCTCACCATCCTTCTCCGCTGTCCACGCTTGACACCATCTCTCATCAAGACGTGAGCTGGTGTCAAGTCGTGGTCACACACATCAATCCTCCCGAGCACTCGCCTCAAGACTCCCATCTCAGAAAAATCTCATCTCGAAAAGACTCACCTCGATCCCTTCTCCTCTCATCTATCTCTCTCCCTCACTCTCTCTCTCTCTCTCTCTCTCTCTCTCTCTCTCTCTCACCCTTCTTTCTCACCTCGACCGCCTACCGGGTCAGACCTCTGCCACCGGTCGCCTCAACTGCCCGGCCATCCCGGTCGCCGCCCTCGGGCCCTATCCTCCCATCCTCCTTGACATATATATACCTGACTGCCACGTAAGACGTCTGCGCCGGAGTAGAACATACACGACCATGGATCCGCGCAACGACCCCTCGCTTCTCCCTCATGGACCGCCGACCCGCCAGGGCCCGCCGCCGCCGGCCGATGCTCGCCGCGCCATCTCCATGGACCAGGACTATCGGTCCATCATGACCGCGCGCCCGAGGCGGTCCGAGCCCCCTCCCCCCTACAGGTCCGACGACCCCCGCTACCGCGGCCCCCGACCGACTCGCGCAGAGCCCTCAACCTCGGCGCCATCGCGGACCGACGCCCCGGGAGCGCCGACCACGTCGTCGCCCGCCGACCCCTCAGCCGCCCCTGAGCCGCTACCCGGCTACTCAAGCTCCATCGACCTCGAGGGCATCTTCATGAAGAAGCACGAGATCGAGGACACGACAAGACGGGCTGAAGACCGCCGCTGGCACGCCACCTACGTCACCCTCACCGGCACCGCCCTCAACCTGTACAAGGCCAAGAAGAACCGGACCTGGGGCAGGACCCCGCAGGACGGGCCCAAGATCAGCCCGGACAACCCTCCGTGGATGCGCAAGGGGAAGCTCGAGAAGTCGTACAGTCTGCTCTACGCCGACGCCGGCATAGCTGCCGACTACAAGAAGTGAGTGCCCGGGCTGACGTGGTTGGGTCACCGACCTCGAATCCTCGAATACGGTCCGCACCGCCCATGGTTCCGTACCCTGCTAACAGCACCAGACGCCGATACGTCATCCGCGTACGTGCCGAGACGGATCAGTTTCTCCTGTCCTGCATCGAGCTCAGCACCTTCAACCAATGGCTCGAGGCCTTCTTTGCCGCCATCGACCTCGCCCTCCCCATCGACGATCGCGACTTTCCCCGCGACATGTCGATACCGAGAGTCCAGCGTGTACGGTGGTACCGCCTCCCCTCGCCCGCCCGACAGCCCGAGGCTCCGTCGGCGTCTCAGCAAGACGGTAACGGCAACGGTGACGACGACGACAACGACGCAACTCCCGACGCCGCTCCCGACGCCGAGCAGGATGCCACCCCCGGCCGACGTACGCTCAGACGGCGGTCGTCCGTGCCCGCCCCCCTACCAAGCCTGTACGAACACGACGAGCTGTCACGCGTCGCGCCAGACGCCGACGAGGACGGGCCACGCCGAGGCAGGCAGGCGGCGTTGGCCATCGAGGGAGAAGAAGAAGACGACGACGACGACGCCGACGACGACCAAGCCGTGGATGAGCATCCCCCAGCCGCCGACGACGAACGATCTCCCCCGCGGCTCGACCCCTCACGCCGCCTGAGCTCGTCGTCGTACCACAACGACGGCGTGGACCCGCACTCTGGGAAATGGGTCCCCGAGCACCGCTGGTCGTCGGCCCACGACCTGCTGTACGCCAAGCTCTGCTACAGCAACCTGCTCTTCCGGAGCCCGCGAAAGTCCAACTTCATCATCCGCCAGGGAAAGAAGTGGTTCGTCGACTGGTCAACCGGTCGCATGGTGCGAGTCCTGCCTCCGGCGTATGGGGAGGTGGAGTTTTTCGGTCCCTGGCAGGTTGTACACACGGAGAACATGCGCATCTAGCGGAGCGGAGCGAAGGGAAGCAGAGGAGCAGGGAAGCAGCATATCACCAAGGACGCTGCATGCATGGAAAAGACGGCACACACAGAAACACCGAGAACAGACACTGCATGCATGGAAAAGACGACACGCACAAAAACACCGAAGACACCCTCCATACATGAAGAAAACAACACGCAAACACCAAGGATCCGATCTCTTTCTCTTCTTAACTCACGAACATGACTGGATTATACATTATATTGTCTCTGGACCTCGACACCATGCAACATTCTGTTCAAGAACAATCTAGGACATATAAAACCCTCAAGGGCAACACTTGACTTTATTTTTTTTATCGCAAAAAAGAGTCGGTTTTTTTTTAAAAAAAAAAAACGATTGTTAGGAAACGAAGACACACACACACACACACACACACACACACACATGACAAAACAAAACAAGAACAAAAAACCAATCTGTATACGACGAGGGAAAAAAAATTTCCTGGCATTGGGGTCTGCGTCGGTGCATTAGGCGGGCGCATAGGGAGTGTTTATTTTTCATCTAAAGCATAGTATCCATTGCATCTGGCCTTTTTTTCTTCTTCTTTCCCTTTTTCTTCGAATACTTATGTTATATTATTGGTTTTTTGGTCATTGGGAAGAATTTGTACATATATATATATATATAGTTAGTACATACGGTCAAAAACATACATTGCATACATGGCACTGGTGGTGTTGTATCAGAAGTGGTATTCATTAGAAGGTGGTACGAGCGCAGAAAGAAAACAAGCAGTGAGTGATATATATCTTGATACCATTTTTTTCCAAGTCTGGTAAAAACAAAAAGAAGAAAGCAAAAAAAAAATCATGTACTTGTACGCCAGTCATCCTCATGCCGAGTAAAGACATATATATAAAAAAAAAAGAGCCCCCCCGCCCCCCCCCCCCCCCCCCCCCCCCATCCAAGAAAAATAATCCCTACAATGTCTCCTTCCTTGAGGCCAAAACAGCGGCATGACCCTCCCTAGTCTCGAGACCGAGCTGATCGGCCACGGGACCCAGGGCGGCATTGGCCCCCTTGACATCCGCGGCGGCGGCCTCGACCCTGGCGAGCAGCTCTCCTATCTCAGCCCTCTGCGCACGGATGGTGTCGTACATGACGGCGTTCTGGGCCTGAGACGTCTGCAGCCGGGCGTTGAGCTGTGATTTGTGAGAGGATAATGTACGGGAGAGATGAGCTCTCATGATGCGATCGGGTGGTAACGTGTTTGGTCTGGGGGGGATATAAGATAAGAGAGCATTTGTTAGCGTTTTTTTGGCCTATGATAAAATAATATATATATATATATATATATATTCTTCTCAAGACAGAAGAAGATATCAACAATTGATATATATTCAATCTCTCCCTCTCTCTCTCTCCCTAATCTAAGACAGAAAAAAAAAGAAGATAAAAAGGGGAGGGGAGGGGAAACTCACAAAACTTGAGGGGCATCTACACCTGAATCCCTCCGAGCTTTCGCCTCGGTCACCAACACATCCAGCTCATTCAGTCGCGACACCACGGCCCTGGCCTCGAGGATGGAGTCGAACTCCCGTCGGCACTTTTCGCCCAGCTTGCCCACCATCTGGGCCTGCACCTGACGCAGGACGGGACCGGCGCGCGAGGAGACGGTAGGGTAGCAGCCGGAGAGGTTGTCGTCGCTCAGGCGGGAGAGGGTGTGCTCCAGGGCTTGGCCGTAGACGTCCCTTAGCCGGGTCGCGCGCGGGCCCGGTGCGGGGGTCGACGTCGACGCTGCCCTCGTCGCATCCAGGGATGAGGTCTGATGGGCGTGCGTTTGGGACCGTTCCGGGACGTTACTCATCGTCTGATCTGGGCTGTTGAGTCCGTGCGTCCTTGTCTTGTTGTGTGTGCGTACGTGCGTGTATGTGTATCTGTGCTTGTACTCTTCGTCATGAACGCATCCTCTGTGTTGAGGGCGCGTTTCGAGGTCGCGTAGGTGCACACACGTGACGTCGTGGGGTGGTTCTTTTTTTTGGATCAACCGACTGACCGATCGACTGACATCATATTCTGTACTCTTCCATCTGATAGATCTTTTCCGTTGCCTGGTAATTTACTCGTGCAACTTTTCATGTTTTACTTGTTCGGCTTATTTAGCTAATATAGATGTGCTATGTGTCATGTCAACAAATACCGTAGTCTATCCCACCGCTGTATGCATGCAAAAGAAAGGGAAATAAATGAATAAGAAAGACAGGACAAGAAGGAGAAAAAGAATGAGCATTGCCAACGTCAATGAATCCTCCCTAATTCGCCGAAAGTATAGCAGCCGCATCCGCAGCAGAGTTGTGATGCCTCTTCCCTCCATCCCTACGCAGCTGTTCCTCCTTCTCCCTCCTCCGTCTGTCGTCCTCCTTCTTCTCGTTCATCAGGTACGACGCGTACCGGATCGTGCCGAGCGTCACCATGGCCATGAAGAAGATGCCCAGTGCTGACCGGCGGATGAGGATCCACCTCACACCTTCGATTTCGGATTTGGAGTCGCTGACTAGGCTTGTGCTGATTTTGTAGTTGATTTGTTGGATCTGGGTGAGAAGAGGCGATTAGTGGTTGTTTTGTGAGAGAGAGGGGGGGATAGAGAGAGAGAGAGAGAGAGAGAGAATACTCACAGAGCTATCCGCCGTCTTCTGCTCCTCCCTTACAGCCATCCTCCTATCGTCAAACATCCCCCTGATGCGATGGTTGAGAGACAGGACCTCCTGGTTGAGAGACTGCGTCAGTATGTCCACCTCGTGCTGGAGCAGGGTCCTCTGCTGACGGGTCTGCTCGTCCTGCAGGCGTCTATTATTCATGATTTCCTGCCTCAATTCTGAGCAGGCCGCACTGAAGAGGTATGTCTCCTATAAGTGTGTGTCAGTTTTTTTTTTTGGGTGTGTGTGTGTGTGTGTGTGTGGTTGGGGTTGAGGTTGGGGTTGGAGTTGGGCTGAAACTCACATTCTCAACATCACTCTTGCTATGCAGACTATCCTGAGCAATAGCTAGATTATGCTCCAGGAGCCCACGGATCCCCTTCATGGCCACGATCGCCTGCCCGGTAGTGTAGCCCTCTTCCTGCAGCTGCTTGACGAGAGAGTAGCTGTCAAAGTGGTGCACGTACGGAGGCGGCCTGAGCGGGTTCCCCGGCGTCCCTTCCCGTCCGGGCGGTTTGATCTGCAGCACCTTGTCCAGCGGACCTGTATGTCTTTGCTCGTCCTTGTCAACCTCTCCGTCTTTTCCTCCACCACCACCACCACCACCTCTCTCCCTCTCCCCGTGCTTCTCCTGCCACTGCTCCTGCTGCTTCTGCTCCTGACGGCTATCGTGCGTGGTACCCGTGTCTTCCGTCCTGACCATGCTCGTTTCCGGGACGGTGCGGGCCTGAGAGGACGGTGCGGATGTTCCTGTCCCTGTCCCCATCTCTGTTGCTTTCCCTGTTGTTGTTGCCGCCGCCGCCGCCGCCGCTGCCGCTGCTGCTGCTTCTGCTGCTGCTTCTGCTGCTGATTCTGCTGCTGCTCTTCTGGTGGTGGTGGTAGCTATACCCTTTTCTTCTGCTTCTGCTTCTGCTGCTTCTGCATCACCATCATCAGGCTTTACATCCCCAAGGTTGACGGGCTCGATGGCCTTGCCGTGCCTCCTCATTAGACTGCTGCCCCATCGTCTGGTCGTCTGCTGTGAGGGTTGGTTTCGGTGTCTCGTAGCTGTTGCTGCCGTCGCCGTCGCCGTCGCCGTCGTCGCGCTTCTTCTCGCCGTCTGAAGGGTGATTTTCTGCCATCCTAGAAATGCTCTTGAGAGTGGTGGCATTTTTTTTTTCTGTTTTCTTTTTTCTTCTTCGGCTGTCGTCTTCTCTCTTGTATGTATATCTTCTCTCTTTTTGTCGCCTTTTTGTCTTGTCGTCGTCCGTCCCCCCCTGCCTTCCCCTTGGTATCCCCCCCCCTCAATATTATGTCGTCTCTGCGACGCGTACAGTCTGCGATCCTGCCACGATGTGTATGGAGAGTTCTGCGTGCGCGTACTGATCCCACAGCAGTCTTGTGTTTGGGCAGTCGTCAAGTTCCGGTAACATTCGGTTGTCGCGGCGGGTGGATGATGATGTTCGAGTCTCAAGTCCTGCCCGTGCTTGGCTCACTGGTTCCGGTTCATCGAGGAAGAAAGAGGGAAAAAGGGTAGTAGAGGGTCCACTTGGAATAATGCCGATGCTAACCAGCCTGAGCAACTCCCCCTCCCCGTAATACCCCCACCATTCCTCCTGGATGGTACGGATCTCATGTACCGACATTCATCAATTATTTTTTGCCATCTTGTGATGATACGTTTTATAGAGAGATAGCACACCATAATGATATTACATGCATTCATGCAGAGCATACATCACACATCACACGATATTGATACAACCCGAGTCTCGCTCGTTTATTTCGCTTTCCCCCTTTTACCTATAACCTGTTTATGAATAGAAGAAACATCTCCTTTTTTTTCTGCCCATAGAAAACTCTGCATCGTACTGATGCACCTTGTCTCTCATTGTTCCGGGTTCCTTTCGTCCTCGGTTTTTTTCTTCCTCCTTCTTCCCCTGTGGTCTTCTCCTGGGGAGCCTCGCTTGCTTCAACGCTGACCAGAGGAAAGATGGAGAGGAAAACAGATAAGACCACACATAAGAAATTCGTCCAGAAGAAGAGGAGAGGGTGACGGAGAGATGTAAGATGGAAAGACCAGGGCATGAGTACCTGTATATAAAAAAAAGTAACCATTTCTCCTCCTCTCTTACCACCACCATATAGCAACGAATAAGATAAGAAAAGGCAAGAAGAGCAGAGACAAGAAGAAAGAAGACAAGACAAAAAAACAAAAAAAAACGTCGCTCCCACCCGTGGGACCATGTCGAAACCATTAAAAGGGTATGGAAGAAAAAGAGACGTGAAACGAAAAAGAGGACAAAGATGGGGGAAAACAAAAGGACGTTAAACCTCGAGAAAAAAAAGAAAGAAAGAAAAGAGAAGACACCCATATCTCATATAGACAAAGTGTGGAGATGGTGTATCAGAAACTCCTCTCCTGACCGCCCTCTACCAAGATTGATAAGGGTACACGCGGACACGCAGATGGAAGGAGGAGAAGCACACCAGATGTCTCGTCCCTTTCAGCGTCAGGAATGCAGATTCTCGTCACCGGGTTCAAGGTCGTCCTCGGCAGCTCACACAGCCTCGTCCAGGATCATAGAGTACCGTTCACGTCCTCGGGGATGGAATTCGGGAGAGTGATGCCGGGAGCCGGAGCAACGGGCCTGACGTGGGCGTACGTCTTGGGATTCGGGCGGAGTCCGACCTGCGAGTGCTGTTCCAGCAGATGATCGATGGCCGTGATCTGTTTAGCGTGACCGCCAGTCTTCTTGACCACGTCAAAGGCTCGTCTGACCTCGTTGACGAACTCGGTCTGCTCATCACCAGTGAGGAACATGGCCATTTTTTCTGTTTTGTTTACAGCGTTAGTCGTCGTGGCAGGCGGCGGTATCGAACCGAGGTCGAGGGAGAGGAGGGGAGCAGAGACGGAGGGGAGGATACATACGAACGACATAGTTTCCGTAATTGTCACGCATCAGACGCAGCAAGAGAGCTTCCCCGTCAACGACATCCTCGATGAACCTCTTGCGGATCATCGTCCGCAGCTCGGGCACACCATAGATGATGCACTTCTCCACCACGTTGGAGGCAAACTTGTGCCTGCACAGCTCCACCAGGTTCTCGAGAACCAGCTCCACCATGCGCAGGCGGTCGGCGAACCTGCCCTTGATGATGATGTGCTGGGCGACGTAGTTGCCGTACTGGTCCGAGAGCAGGGCGTGGGCGTGGGGCCGGAGCTCGGCCACGATCGCCTCCTTGGCCGCGTGGCCGCCGCGGTCCATCATGCGCTGGACGACGCGGCAGCCGTACTGATGGTTGGAGAGCATGACGACCTCGCCGCGCATGGCAAGCGCGATGAACTCCAGATGCTGCGGCTCCAGCAGCGTGATGATGCGCTGCACGACGTGGTTGCCGTTCTGGTCCGTTATGAGCTTGGACGCGTGCGACTCCAGCTGCCGCACCATCGCCAGCTGCTGATCCAGCAGCACGTGCTCCAGCGCCTTCTGCACTGACCGGCACCCGTACACCTGCACCGACAGCTCCGCCATGTTGGCCTCGATCTTGTCCGCCAGCACCTTCTTCTGCGCCTGGTTGCCGTGCTCAAAGAACTTTTGCACGACGTAGTTTCCGAACACGTCCTTGATCAGCTGCAGCGCGTTGGGCTCGATCTCGCGGAACACGCGGTCCTTCTCGTCGCTGTTGGCCGTCTCCAGCTGATGCTGGATGAAGCGCGACCCGTGCTGGTCTCCGCTAAACTCCACCATGTGCCCGTAGAGGTCGCGCAGCTCCCATTTCCTGCTCTTGTTGGTCTTGTACTCCTCGAGGAGGGGGCTGCGCATCATCATGGTCGGGTCGTAATCCGCCATCGGCTGCGTCGACTGGTTGAGGTTGAAGCTTCCGGGGATCATGTGGAAGCCGGTCATGCCATGCTGGCGGAAAGCCTGCGCGTATTCCAGGAAGGCGAGATGGTTGGTGTAGGCTTGCTGCTGCTGCTGATGTAGCTGCTGCTGCTGTAGCTGCTGCTGCTGCAGCTGCTGGAGGAAAGCGTAGCTGCTGTTGCTGTAGCTGCCGTTGCCGTTGCCGTTGCCGTTTCCGCTGCCGTTACCGTTGCCGTTGCCGTTGCCGTTGCCGTCGTTGCTGCTGTGGCCGTAGGGGTAGCTGTTCAGGGGCGACGGGACGAAGCCAGGGGCCGAGCCGCGGCGCTCGACGTCGTTGGACCTGGGATCCCTTGACGGGGGGGGGGCGCCCCAGATGTCGGCACTGCCGCCTTCGCCGAGCTGGTGGGTGGACGGCACCCCGTGGTAGCCAGGAGTGGAGGCAGGCAACCTGTCGGTAGGCTGCACGTGGCCAGCAGGGTTCATGGCAGAGAGCTGGCTGGCCAGATCATCCATCTGGGCGTCGCCATAGCTCCCAAAGTACGGTTGCTGGATAGGTGCGGCCCCGTTGGCCGAATGGTCGACGGTGCCCCTCCGGGGGAAGGGACTGTTGAGCTCGTCGTCGACCTGGCCGTTGACGGCGAAGGCGCGGCTGTTGGCGGCCTGATGGGGCACGGAAGCCGAGCCGGGCATGGCGCGCGAGGGCTGGAACGAGCTGCTGTGGTTGCGGGCGTGGCCACTGGGCAGCCCGTTGGCAGACATGCTGTGACTGTTTGTGCGGCCGTTGGACAGGCCGTTGGACAGGCCGTTGGACAGGCCGTTGGACAGGCCGTTGGATCGGCCGTTGGATCGGCCGTTGGATAGGCCGTTAGATAGGCCGTTGGGCCGACCGTTGGACAGGCCGCCGGTCATGTATCGTTCGGGGATGGCGTGCGGGGGCTGGGACGTATGGGACGGCGACGGGTTACCATCGATGGCGGAGAATGGGGCGACGGGATCGAGGCGGGAAGGGTCCTGGTAGCCGGCACCATTCAGGGCCGATGGGACCCCATTGAAGCCAGCATACCCCGGGGGGGCAGCACCGGCGGCCGAGCGGGAGTCGGAGCTGTTGCCAAAGGTCGAGGACCTAGACAGGCCGTTCTCGCGCGTCCTGTTGGGCGAGGTGCTGGTAGGACGGCCGCCGTCGTTATTCCAGATGCGGTTGTTGTTGTTGTTGTTGTTGTTGTTGACGGACTTCTGGAGGCTGGTGCTGGGTCCGTCGATGGTGTCTGGCAGGAATGCGACGTCTGTCGTCAGCCTTCATCTTCCCCGTCAGGCAGAGAAGGGAGCATGGCAACTCACCTCTGGTATTCATAGACGGGACCCTATTATGGCTACCAGGAGCACCGGGGTATGCGCCACCCCCCCATACGGTGGGCTTGATGGGACCGTAGTCGCCGTTGAACCCAGAGTTCCTAGGCGGCTGCGACTGGTCATTGGGGGCGCCTGTCGGCATCGCGCTCCGCTTGTCGTTGGACTGTGGTTGAAAGATGGTCAGTGGGAAGGTTGCAGCGGATAAAGTAGACCGGGGGGGTGATGGTTGGTTGTGGTGGGTGGTAGGTTGGAGAGAGGGTAAATGAGATTAGAGATAGGAGTTTGGTTTTTTTTCTTCAAAAGAAAAGAAAAGAAGAAAAAACCGATAAAAAGAAAAGAAGAGATGATGAATGCTGATGGGAATGAGGATGATGGGAATGCAAGTGTTGAAAAAAAATAAAAAAAGGAATGATAAAAGAAGCAAATCGCAAAGACATTCAAGCACGCGATTGTCCCGAGTTTCCAGCTGTTGCAAAATAAAAATAAAATAAAAGGCCAAGGGCAAGAGACAACGGGTGCAGCAAGGATTTGTTTGTGACGTGGGGGAGGGAGTTTGGGGGCAGAATGGAGAGAGAAGGAGTAAAGCACCAGCCACAGTTTGATATAGCCCCACCGCCACAGGAGAAACTTGGGACCTAGCTAGACCTTTACTCGTACAGAGTACGGAGTACAAGAGAAGGACTTGTTGAGTTTCTTGTGCCTTGAGTCACTCGCCCTTGCGCCAATCCTGCTTTTTTTTTTCCGTGCCTTTTTTTCTCCTCTCCCGCTTTGCCTCCCCTCCCACCATCTTCTCTGATTTTCTTCCGTGTGACGTAGTGCACACGCTGGCAAACCAGGAGAGGACGAGGAAGAGGAGGATGATTTTTGGTTGGGGATTGAACAGGGTAGACGGAAAGAGAGTGGGGAAAGAACGGGAAAGGAGGAAGTAAAAAAAAAAAATAATAAAAAAAACCCCAATGACGAGACGATGAAGATGGGAAATGTGCTGCTCACCGGTGTCGCCGTTGTAGCCATGATTCTATTCTTCCAATAGAACAGGTGCGAAGTGAATGAATAAGATAGCCGGCGGAAAACGAAAACGAATATGTATACGTCGGAGGAAGGAAATCCGAAGGATTATACAACGGGAATCAAAGTAATAGTCCAGATGGCGATGACGATTATGGAATTGTCGAAATTGGCGTATGAACTCGCACGCTGATCGCTCGGTGGTCCACAGGATTGGAGGGAGGGGCGACGGTAGGAGATAGCTCGGACCCAACTACCGTGTGGTGGTGGCGGGGGAGTCGGGCAGGGATCGTGTGCAGGGTTTCGTATTAGGTGTCTTGGCAGAGAGGAGGGCGAGTTTGTCGATGTGTAGGTAGGACAGGAACGTATCTCTTCTATGCCAATATGTCGTCGAGATGTCGTATCTCATGTACGGTACTAACAATGCCGTATGCTGACGGGGGAGGAATACCAGCTTGTACTGTTAGTGTTTGGGCGCGACAAAAAAAAAAAAGACAAACAAACGTGTACCGATATGATTGATATGTGCGGTGCAGGACGATAGGAGGAGAAGAGGGTGGGATGGAGGGTCCAAGCCCTTTTTAAGAGGTTCCGGGAAGAGAAGAGAGAGAGGGGGGGTGATTTGAGAAAGCAGAGTGATGACTGTGACGATGATAGATGTGGTAAGAAGTATATAGGCGGAAGGAGTTTGAGTGTGAATGATATGATGTGTGGTGGCTTGCTGTGGCGGAGAAAGGTTGTAGCATGGCCACGAGACCGAGCACCAGCTGTTTGGAAAGCGAGTATATAATGCATGATCTTCTCTCCGTCCGATTAATTTTCCTTGCCCCCCCCCCTCCCCCCTTTCTTTTTTTTTTTCCTTTATGGAAAGTATAAAGAAGATGGCAGAGAACAGAGCAAGCCACAAAAAGATTGGACCGGAGAGGTGTGTGTGGATGTGTGTGTGTGTGTGTGTGTGTGTGTGTGAGTGCCGGGGTATACGTCACTCACCTTGTTATACTTGTCGACGTGTGAGGCGTCATCCAGTGTGTGAAGAGATGGCGTTTGCGTTTTGGAGTATCCCCAACAAGACAGAGAAGAAATTTATATAATCGATTCGAGAGATGGAGATGTCGTGTTTGTGGTCGATGATGATGACTGCTCTTCTCCCTGTTTCGATTCTTCTTGAAGATGTACGAGTCGCTTGGATAAACCGCAACGTACCGGTGGAAAAAAAAATGGTGGAAAAAATAGTGGAAAAAAAACGATTGGATAAACGTAGTGACGTGTGTGCGTATGGATAGACTTTTTTGTTGTTGTTGTTGTTGTTGTTGTTGTTATATGTGCCCAGATCAGGAAGTTATAATGTACTTTGGGAAGCGAAAAAAAAAAAAAAAAAGGGCCCTAGAATAAACGAAAAGTAATCTATATGCAGAAGATAGAGAGAGAGAGAGAGAGAGAGAATGTGTGGAAAAAGAAGGAAGGAAAGGGGAAAAATGGAAAGAAGAAGAAGAAGAAGAAAGAAAAGAAAGAAGGAGGGAGGGAATTCAGGTGGTCCTGTCACACCAAACAAGAAACAAGTAACACAAGAACTGGAAAGAAGTAAACGAAAAAAAAACGAAAAATTTTTTTACCAACGACGGGAAGACGCTTTGAAAGGGGGAAGGGGATGGCTAGAGAGAGGGGGAGAGTGAATGTGAGTGAGTGAGAGGAGGACGAAGCCACGAGGAATGCGGAACCTCCCTTGTAGTGTGTGGTCCGTGTTACCGGGCAATAGTGATTATCACTAGTTATTGTATAATTAGTGGTAATCTTTTTTATCGAGTCTCTGCTTGGCCTGACCCTTGAAGTATCCAAGGGAGGGAGGGAGAGAGTGTGTGAGTGTGTTGGAGTAGAGGAAGACGCAGACGCAGGGTGAATGGGGTGGGGGATAATTGTCCTCGTAGGAATGAATGGACGAGACAAGTTTTGAATGCTACTATGTTTGACGATGTTTGTCTTCTTCTCCTTCCTCTTCTTCCCTGTTTGCCTCCCTCTCCTCTCTCTCTCTCTCTCTCTCTCTCTCTCTCTCTCTCTCTCTCTTTAAGATTCCTGCTCTGAACTGGTCTGATTGGTTGCCCTTTTCTTCTTCCTCTTTTTTTTTCTTTCCCTTTTGACTTTCCTTGGTGCCTCGTCTTACTGAATTGGGTGTGATGGTGGGACGGGAAAGGGCCGCGATGCGGAGACGTATTTCGATACCGAGCTCGAGGGACGCATAGAAGGAGCAGGTGGTGATTGGCGTGCAGAGGGAGTGTGTGAGAGACAGGCGTAGATTAGAGAGGGAGGAGCATGAAAATAGAGGTGAGATTTGCGTGTAGAGAGGGAGGAGGATGAATGGAGACAGCTAAATCGGGTGTTTTTTTTAAAAAAAAAAAATTTAAAAAAAATCCAACAGGAGCGAAGATGAGAAATAAAAGCGTCGAGGATCTACTGTCTAGAAAGGAGTGAGAAAGGAGAGGGGAAGAAAGGGAAGGAGATAAGAAAGAGGGGAGGAGGGGAGGGTATAAATTCGTCCTGTTCAATGGTCATTGCATGATGCCATCAAGTTTGTACGACCTACGAACCTACGAGAAGTGTCAAGAAGACTACTGCCCTGCCTACGAACACTTACTCTACTTGCTGCATTACCACCACCACCACCACCACCACCACTACAATTATTACTGCTACCAATACAGTACTGGCCTTGCATGATGGTATCGAATCCCGAGAGAGGACCGGAAATAGGAATGATGCGTTGTGGAAGCTGTGGCTTATCCTGAGGCTCTGACCAGCGACGCAGAAAGAAATGGTGGCGTCGCCACCATGAACCAAAAAAGGGCTCTCGATCCTCTCTGATGGTGATGGGAGGGGGGAGGAGGAGGACGGAAGGTAATTACCATGAGATGTGGGGTCTACAGTAACTCTCGAGGTCGACTGAGCATCTTGACTCTTATGGTAGACTCGACTGGGTATGACTTGCCCGGCGCAAGATTCAATATTGGCGCGATATCGTATCGAGGCCGTGACGATGCAGTCATCGTCTATGCTCGGATACTCCAAGTAATCTGTCATCTGTACAGCCAGTGGTGTGGCGGGGTGTGCGGTTGCGTGTGCGGTGCGTGTGCTTGAGCGTCGATGATGGTCACCTGCTATTCTCATCCATCTCTCCCGTCATCCATCAACACATGATTACACGTACAGCGGCGGCACCATCCTTTGGTGGCACCCGATGGGAATTCCCATCATCAGATCGCCGTCACCGCCACCATCACTAGCACGGTAGCAGGGTAGTCAGCAGAGTAGCCGTGGCTTGAGCAGAGAGCACGGATTAGCTGGCAATGCCCTGGATGACAGCGTAATGACGAACCGGTCGAATCACGTCACGTCTACACGTAATGCCTGCCACTCTCACTCTCTCCTGCCCCGGCTCCCAACCGACACAGACCATGATAACCTCAGGCTCATGTCGGCCCCCGTCGTGGAAGAACACAAGAGGCCCACAAGGCACGGCGACAGCAGGGGGGGGGGGGGGGGGGGGGGGGGGGGGGGGGGGGGGGGGGGGGGGGTTCCGAACGTACAGTTTTACTTACCCTACGTGTATCGCCAATCTTTCGAGGATCTCGGCATCTTCCCATGGTCACTTTCCACCCCCCCCCCCTTTTTTTTTTWAAAAAAAAAAAAATTGTTATTACCTAGGTGACAAGCTGTATTCATTCCCATGACATTCAACGGTATTGTTCATACTGACACAGCGTGAGTTAGTTACCCTATGAGCTATCACCGACAGTGCCGTTGGCCCCGTGACAGCGGGAGGTGCCGAATCCATCAAATCGTATGAGAGACAGATTCAACCCTCCAGAGGAATGCTTCAAAACTTGCGATGATCATCACACTCTCTATAATCTGTAATCCGTACGCTCTCTCCCGCCGCGTCAAGGTCTATTGGGAATGACCACGTTGTTGCCCGGCCATGGGTTGGATACAAGGTCATTTTAAACAGCCGTTTTTGTCGCAGATGTAATCCTCGTACGCTAGGGTCTTTATTCCTACTACTCTTTATTCTATCTTTATCGAAATCTCCTTTTTCTCTTTTTTTTTTCTTCTTTTTTTCTTCTTTTTTCTTTTTTTCTTTTTCTCCCCCTGTTTTTCTCTCTCATTTTTTTCCCTCTCACCTCGGAGACGGGCCGTTGCCATCACCACCAGAAAGACATGCCAGTGTTCTGTGAGTACGTGTGCATGCTCATGATCGGACTACCAATGATGAATCGACGACACCTACATTTCACGTTGCAGCCCTGGTGCGTCTCTGGCTACTGCTGCTGCGACTCAGCAGCCGATACGGGAATCTGGCAGAAGACTGCATGTCCTCGATGTCTGCGCGTGAGGTGTCTGCGCTGCCTTGGGGGGGGGTGCGTTGCTATATTACGCGGTATTACTCGTATACCGAGAGCATGACGGGGAGAGAGCATGAGGGGCGACGTTGAACGATATGGCACGGCGAGGTGGTACTGCCGTATCTGCTGCATGGATACCTACGGAGCACTCTGTATGGGTGATGATGGGAATTGGACAGAACCGTCCATATGGCCGGTGCACAGAGCCGGTGCACAGATCCAGCGTCTCCGACTTCCATGAAGAAGGAGGGAGCGGTGGGCGGGTATACGGTAATATCACACCACCGTACCCGTAGGCCACAGCAAGATGACGCATGTAGCCTGTACATGGACCGGCCATACAAGAGCTGCGGTCGAGCTGGGTATCCGAGACAAGATGTGTCTGCCTGCCGGTTCATGCTGTGTCTTTGGATGAAACGGGTATTAGCACTGGCTGGCAGGACATTGAGCTGCCGTCTGCGAGCAGCTGCGAGATGCGGAGAGTACGTGTACCCGTATATAATGTACAGGTAGCAGAGCAGTATCCTTACTACCAGCACGGAGCGATACCAGCACGGAGCGATACCTGTACGGAGTGCGGATATACTCGCGTGTACTGGAGCTGGCAGCTCTACGAGTACATATACTGGTACCTGTACGGTGACCGACCTGCAATCTGAGGACGTGCATGTACCTGTACTCTGCAACCTGCCTGCCCTCGTAGCGCACGGTAGCTCTAGCAAGAGCAGCAGCAAGCCAGCAGCCCACGCGACCCGCGGATATGCAGTTGCCGTACGCGCTACAGATGAGAGAGGGTTGGAAGAGGAGACGGTATCGCTGAATATCGAGGATTGACGAGGCAGGATCCTCCCTCACCACGACTATGCGCTACATCTACGGATACCTGCAACGACAGCAGCTGCTACTATTGCGACTACTATCACGACTGTCATTACTGCGTGTTGTTATTACCTAGTATCCGTACATGTACAATCCTTAGGTAGGAGCACTGCCCCCGGTATAGGGTGGGTCCTAAAAGCTCCATGCAACCCGCCAGGGACGCCGTCCATGTAATTGGTCTGACCCATCCGGTCGCCTCCAGGGGTAGGCCAATCATCAGTCCGCTCATGGCCCCAGCGTAATTTCGTTTCTCTCCATTTTCCTTCTTTCCTGCATCCGGGCGAATTGACTTGGTTTCTGTCTAGGACTTCCAGGCCCGTCCATGCTCTCTACTGCCCAAGATCGTACACCTCTCTCTTTCCTCCTCTCACTCTACCTGTATTATTATATGTGCTTCACGTAATCTGTACTGCAGGTCCACCTCAAGTCAGGTATCGTACCTGTGCAGTGACCCCTCCCTCACACCCCCCTCCCCCCTGTAGCGTCCTGGGGTTCATTTCCAGTGTGGTACGTCTTCCATGTGTATTGGTGTGTATGACCGCTATAAACGCCTGTGCTGGGCGCTTGTTCAGGTGGTTATTATAAAATATGTAAGTTATAAACGACCTCTTCATCCCCAATCATCGCCCCTGTCTTGTCCACACCACGCGGCCCCCCCCCCCCCCCCCCCCCCCCCCCCCCCCCCCCCCCCCCCCCCCCCCCCCCTCCTCCTCCCCATCCCCTTGGCCGTCTGCAGTGCCAAGTTTACTAACCTTTCCTCTTCCTTCCTCTCCTCTCCTTCTTTTTCTTCTTTCCCTTCTCTTCTTTTTTTTAATATCCCTCAGCGGCGCTGTCTGTGTAGGGTTCTTCCTCGTTCTTTCTCCTTTCATACACTCGTTTTTCCTATTGTATTCGTACAAACCCTCACGCTCGTTTTTTTGTCCATCTGCTTGTCTCTTTTCTTTACCCGGTCATTCAAAGGGTTCAGTTTATACAACATAACCAGCTCCATTCTTTTAGCTGGTCTCTCTCTCTCTCTCTCTCTCTCTCTCTCTCTCTCGTGGTCTCTACCGTGCTCGGCTCCCCCCGGCCAAGTCTGTCTCTCGTTTCTACTATCCCGACTCAACCGATCCGAACCGATCCGACCATTGGCCTACCACGAAGAAACAAGACAGAAGAAACGAGCGAGCCTCTTTGAAATTACTTTCTATCTCGACCTGCGAAACTATTGACTGGTTTCCAACGTACGTTTCATCCTTCTCTAATTCTTTCCGCACCCTACAAAACAAGAACAACAAACGCTCTGCCTTTTGGTGGCCTGGAACAACATCTCAGATGGCATGGCAATGTCTTGGATACTGGATCCACCCAAACAATCAATTCCTGCCTCTCCCTTTTTTTCCCCTCACACTCCCAAACTGCCTTTGTCTGCTTCTCCTAAGCTTGACTTGGACTGGACTGGACAGGAGCCGACCTAATCATGGGAATGGGTGACGCTTGTATCACCCTTCCCTAGTCGACGTCAGGCCCAGCTTCCCAACCCTAACCTTCTCCCACCTCGAAAAACTGTCGATAGGGACAGAGAAGACCATGGCGAATCCATTTCCATACTAACACACAAAAACCTGCCTTATAGATCAAGGAGAAGAAGAAAAGAGAAACAATCAGACATCCCTCGAATCTCTTTGCCCGCCCCCTCCCTCCCTTCTCTACCATCTCGACCCGACAATCATCATGCCTCACGCATCCTACCACGCCCACCCGGTACGTAGCTACGGCCACGGCCACGGCCACGTCCACGCGCGTCACCTCATCCAGGAGCGCGCCGAGGAGGCTTATTCCCCCAAGAGTGCATCCTACGGCACCGAAAGCAACCACATTGTCCGGCGCGACTCCGGATCAGACGACACCATGATCAACCTCCTCCTCATCATCCTCGGTCTCGTCTTCCTAGCCCTCCTGTCCGTCGCTGCCCTATGGTTCCTCCGCCGCCGCCGTCAGCGTCTCGCGCGCGCTGCCGCCCTGGCCAGCGCCGGCTCCATGAACGACGACGGCCTGCCCTCCTACAGCGAAAAGGCCGCCTGCGGCCCCGGCGGCCTCACCATCGAGACCAAGCACAACGGCCGCTCCAGCACAATCTACATCAACCGCGACGGCCAGCCTATGCTCGCCAACCCCAAGTCGCCCCCCCACTCCCCCGACAATGTCCCCGAGATCCACATCACCTTCCCCGACGAGCAGGACGACCAGGGCAAGAACACGAGCGGCCGCGTCCTCGTCGTCCGCGTCGGCGACAACGCCTCGGTCGGTCTGGAGCCCGTCTCCGGTGACGACGAGCAGCTCCCCGCCTACGAGAAGGATTCCAAGGCCGGCTTCTACTCCGTCGATATGGACAAGATTGGTGGTCTCAAGGAGAAGGATCCTCGCTACGAGTGATTTCCTACTCTCTTCCATTTCAAACTCTTCTGTCTATTTTTTTTCCACATCTTTTTTTTCTCACGACGAAGCGAATCTTACTTTTTATTCTACATATATATATATATTCTCTTCTTTTTATAAAGCCGAAGAACTTTCCTTTTTGTTCTTGGTTGTGGTGAGGGCTGGAAAAGGAAATATACTTTGCCATTGCATACCATTTCCCCCCCTTATTTCCATTTTTTTTTAACTCTTGGGTCCCTTTTACCTCTTTGACGACAACTATAAAAAAAAGAAAACAGGAAGGGGGGAGGAGGGGTGGACAATTGAACTTGACCCTTTCTATGCACTTGTGCTCAACATGACGAGAGAAACAGAATATAAAACATGCTGTACCGTGGGGGTTTGGGGGGGTGGGGTTTCTTTGTCCCGTTTATATAGTGCACACATTATATACATGCCAAAAGAAGAAGGAAAAGACGCCTTCAACGTTGAAGAAAAGAATCATTCCGTTGACCTTTTTTTCTTCTTCTTTTTCCCCTTCCTTCTCTTCTATTTCTTCTCTTCTCTTCTCTTTTCTTTTTTTTTTCTAAAAAAAAAGAAACAATATATTGGATTGTAGTGAAATATGCTGGGATCATTTCTTTTTTTTCTCTTTCTCTTATTTTCTTTGAAGAAAAAAATTGGACAAATGGTATCGTAAATAACTTTCCTTCTTTCTCTTCTTTCTTTTCTCTCTTTTCTTTCTTTTCTTTTTTTTCTTTCTTTTCTTTCTTTTCTCTCCTTTTTCTTTCTTTCTCTTTCTCTCTTTCTCTCTTTCTCTCTAATAGTGTATGTTTCTTTTTTTAAAAAGAAACATTTCACCCGAGCTGGTGCTCACATTGAAATACTTTCAAGAGGATATTTGACTTTTGGTGGTCACATATATTGGGCACTACTCTTTTACTTTCTTCTTCTTCTTTCCTTATCTTCTTTCCTTTTTTTTTTCTTTTGATAGATCATAGAGGACCAAGTACTTGCATTGTTCGACTTGACGTTTTGGCATGGTATGACAGTGACGGACAGGGATTCAATTGTTGACATTTGACATGTATACTACATTGCACGAGTAGACTATATTAGTAGTAGTAGTACACACAAAGACTTCCCTCGATAAATACCTGGTATTATTCAGAACCCCCCCTGGTACCCATCACCATAGTGATAATCTCCGCTCATAAACATGGAATGATCGGGCAGATAATGTCCATGATGAGCAGTAGGCGTACCTCCCGTAGCGGAACTCGCTGGTGGGTGGAGATGAGGAAGAGGATGAAACATTTGCTGAGGTTGCGGCTGCGGCTGCGGCTGCGGTTGCGGCTGCTGCTGCCGCGTCTGATCAATCTGCATCATAGACGTGTCGTCACTATCCCGTGACGGGGCCGCTGACTGTGCAGCGGTGCCGATAAAGTGTCCATGTCCGTGCCCGTGCTCGCCGGCAGCGTTCCACATCCTCCCCTGCATCATCATCGCATGTCCGTCATCGCCGCTGCCGCTGTAGACGTTTGACCCGTGAGGTTGATGTTGATGGTTCTGATCGAACGCTGTGCTGCTGTTGTTTCCCTGCGCTGCAGCGAGGTACATGGGCATACCGGGCGGGCCGTAGTCGCCGTCTGGTGCGTCCGGGGCGAGGGCGGGGTGATGGGTTAGGGTCGGCTGGGTCTGGGTGTGGGGCGGTGGGAGGTGAGGTTGAGGGATATGATGAGGAGGGGAGAGAGCAGGAGGAAGAGGATGGTGTGTCGCTGCTGGGTAGGGAAAGGCGTCGGCGAAGTGGGTTGGACGGGACCAGCGATCTTGTTGGTGGTGTTGGTGGTTGGGGATGGCGCCGTTGCTTTCCGGCATGTAGTGTTGTGTTTGGCCGGTGCGTCGGTGGGACGTCTTCTTGGATTCCTTGTAGGCTTCGAACATGGCTAGATTTTGTTGGTGCTGTTGTGAGGGCCACGTCAGTTCGCGTCTTGTTCGGGGTTCTTCTGATTTTCATCTCTCCCAGATCTGATTTCTCTTTATATCGCCCCTTCCACCCCAATCTATATAAAAAACAAAGAGAGAAAAACCGAGAGAGAAGAGAAGGATAAAGAGAACATACCTCCTTCTCACAGGGAGCGAGAACCTCTGCAAATGAGGCGGAAAGCCTGAGGAGACCGTCCTGTATGAGGTGTAGGACAAGGGCCTCGTCCGGCTGCTGGAATCTCCAGAGGGGCGAGGTGGAGCCTTCGGCCAGGTCGTCGTATATGGCGTGCTCCATGGCGATGACGAGGAGGCGCATGGCGTGGGAGGCGACGTGTGGCAGGTGGCAGTCGCCGGCGAGGTTGGCCCTCCCGGGTACGCGGTACTTGTCCACCTCGTCCTGGATGAAGATGGCGAAGCGGCCGAGGCAGAGGGCGTGGCCGACGGCCTGCTTCCCGCACCGGGCGACGAACTCTGCCGGGAGCTTGTGCAGGACGTGGTCCTTTCCCGGGGGCAGGATGCCGGGCAGGGCGAAGCGGTAGAGCTCCATGTGGCAGGCCGAGATGTGCGAGTGGAGGAAGGTGTAGGACGAGCGCTGGGGCAGGGCGACGTACTTGGCTATGCTCTGGTCGCTGAGGCGCATGTCGTCGGGCAGGAGGGTGTGGAAGCGGGTGAGCTCCTTCTGGAGGCCGTTGATGGCGCCCATGATGGCCGACGGCTCCAGGGCCGCGTCGCTCGACTCGAGCGTCTTGGTCCACCGCCTGATGCGGTGGTGGAGGTCCACCATGCGCACGCTGAGGGCGTGCAGACCCAGGTCGCCGGCCCTGGGGCTCCTGTCCATCAGCCGGGGCGCCGTCACCGGCCTGCCCTCCCAGAAGGCCTCCTCGCTGCAGGGGAGCCGGATTCGCATGTTCTCCGCCGGGCACGACAGGTACTCGTCGTAGCCCTCGGCCAGGTTCCGGTCCAGCACGAACAGGTGCCAGGCCACGCGCCGCATCGACTCCTGCTGCTGGAACGTCTTGCCCCGCGTCGACCCGTCCCAGTTGAGCTGCAGGCCCGTCATCAGCCGCGAGGCCAGCCCGAAGCACTGCCACACCTTGGAGAAGTCGCCGCGGATGAAGTTGAACGCTAGGATCAGCGTGTACGGCAGGAGGACCCGGTCCGACAGCTGGTTGACGTTGCGGAACACGTACATGTCTATCTCGTCGGCGCACCGCCGCCCAAAGTCCTTGAGCGAGTCGGCCTGCCCGGAGAAGAGGCTGGCTATCGAGCATATCCCCGCTGCCGTGGGCGGGTCAAACGTTCCTTCCTATGTAGATTGCCGAGTGTCGTCAGTACAGCGTACGCAAGCACAGGACAGGGGTTGGGGATGTGTTCCGGGATGGAGAAGTGTGCGTGTGCGTGTGCACATACCTCCAACTGACGATATGCCGTGTCCGGGTGGAGGAAGCCCATGCAGGGAAGCCAGTAGATGTAGTCAAAGTAGATCGCGAGGTGTCGCATGGTGAAGTTTTTCCTGGTGAGCAGTTCCCTTTCCCCCCCCCCCCTCCAATGTCAGTACAGATGATTCAAGATGGCAGCGGATGAGAGACAAAAGGACGGGAGAGATAGAAGAGCATACTGCGCGGTGAGAAGAGAGGTATCAATCGCCATGACAAAGTTATCTCCCGTAGCAGCCGTGTTGACGGCGCCATGACTGCTACCGGTGCCTGTAGTGGTAGCACCAGGACTGGCGCTGAGGCTCTCGTCGGATCTAGAGACGTGGGTGGACACGACGGAAGCGGCGGGTACCGGCGTCGTGCCCGTCGGTGAGGTGGCGGTAGTAGTCGGGATCGGAGTCGTCGACGTCGCGAGTCTGTGAAGCGTCACGGGGTCACTGCTCGTCCCTCTCACCGCCGTTGCCTTGCTGTTGCTGCTGCTGCTGTCGCCGCCGCCGCCGCCGCCGCCGCCGCTGTCGGTGGAGGCGCCACCACTGCCGCCGGCGGCGGCGACGGGAGATCTGGAATTGAGACGGACGTCGGCGGACCTGCGCTTGGTAGCCGTGTACTCGCACTTGAGACCCCCGGATTCGCAGCGCTTGCAACGCGGCAGGTCACCGGAGCACTTCGTCTTTTGGGCGTGGCACTGGCTGCACGCTCTCTGTGCTCTCTTGCGTAACGTTCCCGCCTCTGTGTGACTTTTTGACGGTTTGACCCTTGATGTGACGATGCGTTCTAGTGGGAGGTCAGATGTGTCAGCATAGGAAGTTGATCTTATCCGTTCAATCATTCCAACGAAGATAATGGGAAAGGAAAAAGAAAAAAAAGAGAGAGATAAAAGAGAGAAGACAAATACCATAACCATCATTTTCAATCTTGGCGTCGGGTGCAAATGGACAATCAAGCTTTAGACGCGCACAGTGTGTGCAAGGACCATTCTTGGGATTGCCCGAGCACTTGACCTTTCGCAGACGACATGTCCGACAGCAGTTGGAGGGGAAAGAAGGGACGCGACGACTTTTCTGTGACTGAGAAGGAGGATGAGGAGGAGGACGAGGAGGAGAGGGACTGTTGTTGCTGCTGTTGGGATTTACACGAGAGGGGGTCGTCAAGTCGTCGAGCAAGTCGTCATTCCTATTCAGGGGGAGTTGTCCATCGCCATGAGGGGCAGAAGCGGCGGCGGCGGCAGCAGCAGCAGAAGCAGAAGCAGAAGCAGAAGCAGAACCGGACTCTCCAGGTGCAGGTCGTTCGTTGGCGGAGAGGAGGTCCATGGCCATGTGTGTGTGAGTCGGGGAGAGTGATCGAGAGAAAGCGAGAGCGAGAGAAAGAGAGAGGAGAAGAAAAAGTGAGAGAGAGAGAGAGTAGAGAGGGCCAGCCTGCGTGGGGGCAGGGGATGATGTCCTTCCAGACAGTAGACAGAAATGGAAGGATAGATCGGTCAATAGAAAGAATAAAAAGATATAAAAAAAGATATAAAAAAAAAGAGTCACTGAGGAGTAGTTAGTGAGTTGCAGAGGAAGAGAGAAGCAGGTTTTTTTCTCTCCCTCTCTCCCTCACCAAGATGATGATGGTGGCGGCTTCCTGGCGGTACTCGGTAATCGCTAGCTTTTAACCTTGCGTGACGATAACCGAAACGGTCGTGTCCGGGGGCAGCCGTGGTGGGGAGGGAGGGGAGCAGTGACTTGAACTGCCTGTACGGATGCATGTACGGGTAGAGCCTGCTCTCATACAGGATCACAGAAAAGCTACGAGTAATGTACGAACGTACTGTGCTGTAGCAATATTGAATATCTCCTCTATATGTCGTCTCTCTCTCTCTCTCTCTCTTTCCGGTCCTATTCGTAGATAGTACTCAGGGTCCTAGGTCTGTGCAAATGTCTCTCTGTTGGTCTGTTCATCAACTGGTCACAACCCTGACTGTGCATGATACCATCAGAACCACCATTGGACTTCAACCCCCCGGTCGAAGAAAATAATAGACCGGATAAATTGAGAGGAATCGGAAAGACACCCAAGCGTTTCCATACAAAAATGCGGCTGTACGGAGTAAGAGGACAGAGAGGAGACATCCCCCCCCACCCATAGCAAAAAAAAGAAAAAAAAAAAAAAAAGGGAAAAGAGAGGGGCTGCTGCTACTTCAGCGAATATACTCGTAATATATGTACGCTTAGTAATGTTGGCTGGGAGGAGGTGTCCACCCCCCCCCCATAAGGCTACTACTATCCTGCACGATTCCTTCTAAAGGCCGATAGCGTCTACTATAAGCATCGTCTCTCCTAGGGAATAGTTCTATCAGAATCTTCGATACTTTCTCCATCTTTCAAGGGGTTTTTTCCTCGAAAAATTCAGCTCAGAATGAAGGTATCTTGGCAGCTATCACGGGAAAGGCCGCAGATAAAATCGTACAATCACACCAGGACGAGGTCTTCTATGAGTACTCCGTACTACGGGGTAGGATGATAAATTAAGTGGACGAAGCGGACCTTTTAAGAATGCCTTAGATGGGCAGTCTGTGGGGCATGTGGCCGCTTCCCAAGGATTGGCCGCTTCCTCCCGACTAACCTTGATTGGTACGGCATATATTAGAGTAGCATTGGGGGACCATCCAGGGCCATTAGGGAAGCCGTGTCACGGCCAAGGATGGCGTGTGGTGGACTCTGCGGTCTCCGTACCTTGGATTCCGAAACTCCCGGTTCCGCAAACGGTATAGCTCGAGAGCGATTTGAGCACATGTATGGAGTACATGTGTATGTAGCTTACTAGTCGCCAGCGTCGTATCATATCAATCCTCCGTCTTGTCGTCTCTCTCTCGTCTTTCTTCTTCTTCCTTTTTTTTTTCTTTTTTTTTCTCTCTTTTCCCGCCAGATTCTGGTCTGGATTCTACGACTATCGTCATGTGTACGAGTACTCGTGGACTGTTGGCTGTCTGCCTGCCTGCCTGTCTGTGCATGTTTAATCCTTACTCTTCCAAGAGTCATGATAGCATCTCCTGCATTAGCACCAGCTGCAGAACATCACGTGACTCTCGTGGATTCCAAATACATGTACTCCGTACTGTCCGTCTTTGTTGGCGGTCCTGGCTTTTCTGGACTCTTGGCTTCTCGACCTGCTTTGGGCCCCCCCTTCCTCGGGCCCCCCTTCCTCGGGCCCCCTTCCTTGGGTCTTCGGGTCTTCGGGTCCTTGACAGTCCTTTCAGATACGCGCTGATGCTGCACACGTGGCGGGGCTCATCTTCCAGATTCCGTCTTTTTTTTTTTTCTTCTTTCTTTTCTTTTTCCGTCTTTCCATCTTTCCATCTTTCTTTCCTTTTTCTTTCCTTCTTTTTTTTCCGTTTACCCTTTTCGTCTATTCGATCGCAACACTCCATATCCATATTCCCAGCAGCATCAATACCATTAGCAATCCCGTCCAAGTGGCAAGCACTGCCCTCCGTTCCTTCTACTTCTGATCCACTTACCGAACGGAGGGGCCCGATTATCGGAGTGGTCCGATGGTTTATACGATGGTTACCACGAATCGTCCTTCTTCTTCTTCTTCTCTTTCCTCCATGATGCAATTTTTTCTTCTTTTTTTCTTTTCTTTTCTTTCTGTATGACTCGAGCTCGCATCGCATTTATATGCAGGTATGGATAGCTAGTTGATAGAGGAGAAATTTCACAATACAAATAGTTCCCATTTATACATATACACACATACACACACACACACACACACACACACACACACACACAAAGCAAACCAAAGAAACAAAGAAAATCTCTTTTGGCTTGCCCACCCCCCCAAAATGCCTTCAACTCCTACCCACGACTTCCTCCACGACCTCCCCAAGTGCGAGCATCACATCCACATCGAGGGCACCCTCTCACCCGACCTCCTCTTCTCCCTCGCTTCGGCCAACAACGTCGCTCTCCCCGTCGAGCATGACCCGTCCTTCGCGTCGCCGGCGGCCCTGCGGTCGCGCTACGCCCGCTTCTCGTCCCTCGATGACTTCCTGCACTACTACTTCATCGGCTTCACCGTCCTCCTGACCGCCGACGACTTCGAGCGCCTGACGTACGCCTACCTGGAGGGCGCGTACGCCCACGGCCTCCGCCACGCCGAGGTCTTCTTCGACCCGCAGGCCCACACGGACCGCGGCGTGAGCTACGAGACCGTGGTGGCCGGCATGTCGGCCGCGCGGGCCCGCGCCGCCTCGCAGCTCCCCGACCTGTCCGTGATGCTGATCCCCTGCGTTGTCCGCCACCTCCCCGTCTCTTCCGGCCTGGAGATGCTCCGCACCGTCGTCGACGCCGGTCACTTCCGCGACGGCACCGTCGCCGGCCTCGGACTCTCCTCCACCGAGAAGGGCATGGACCCCGCGCGCTTCGCCCCCATCTACGACGCCGCCCGCCGCCACGGCGTGCCCCGCCTCACCGCTCACTACGGCGAGGAGGGCCCGGCCGCCTACGTACGGGACGCCCTCTCCGTCCTGGGCGTGAGCCGCATCGACCACGGCAGGAGGGTCGTCGAGGACCCCGACCTGGTCGCCGCCCTGGCCGAGAGCCGCACCCTGCTCACCTTGTGCCCCGTGTCGAACGTCGTCCTCAGGGGCGTCGACCGCGTCGAGGACGTTCCCGTCCGCGCCCTCCTCGACGCCGGCGTGCCCTTCAGCATCAACAGCGACGACCCGGCCTACTTCGGCGCCGACCTCGTCCAGAACTATTACGCCGTCCAGGACGCCTTCAACCTGTCCTTTGACGAGTGGGAGACCATTGCGCGCTCTGCCATAGACGGGAGCTGGTGCGATGATGCGAGGAAGACGGTCCTGCATGGCATGGTTACCGACGTCATTGGAAAGTGGAAGAGCCCTTGATTCATCTCTTTCTTTCTTTTATGCTTTCACTCTTTTTGGTTGGAGCGTTTTAACTCTTGGTTATCATTACTATAGTATATCCTCTATATATGTATGTATGTATGTATGTATGTATGTATATACATTATTCTACTTGACGTATCATCATCATCATCATTCATCCTCAACATTGTACCTTTTCCCCTCACAATGTATAGACATTCCTCTTCCTCCTCCTCCTTCTCCTCTTCCTTCTCCTTCTTCTTCTTTATTCCTCCTATTCAACCCCAAGCCACTTCCTCGGCACATCAGCCGGACGCTCATCCTGCACGCAGAAGCAGCTGTCCGCCGCCATCGTCTTGCGGCACTGAATAGCCCCTCGGGCAACATTGCAGCAGCAGTCGATCACCTCGGGCTCAGGCCTAGGCCCATCCGACTCAGTCGGCGTAGGCGCGATGGGGCAGAATCGTCGGAGTGGTCGGTATCGGCGGCGGCGGCGGCAGCGGCAGCGGCAGCAGCTCGGGATCGGGGCAGGGGCTCGATGTCGGCACGGGCACGGGAGTGATGGAGGTGGGATCGGGCTTCAGGGTCCTCGATGATGTAGAGGATCGGCAAGTCGTCGAAGCATACGTCCCCGGCCTCGCATCTGAACTCTGGGCTGGCGTCTAAGATCGGACAGACACGTTATCGGCGCAGAAGACGGTCATCTCGATAGATAGATGGCAGCAGCAGCATGCGTCTGACCGGACGGCGTCGACGCGTCGGCTGTCTGGCCCGATGGGGAGAGCCTCGCAGGTCAGGATAGTCAAGGCCAGGGATGTGAAGAGGCGCATTGGTGTTTGTGGTGATAACACTTCTTCTTTTTTTTTCTTCTTGTACGAGTAGGGCAGGCAAATGTGTGAGGAAGTAGGACAGTATGTAGAATCATGAGTGAGTATAAGCTTTTGTTGATGATATTCAATTCCCTCTCGTACATCCCCCCAAAGATCTTTTTCTACTGGTCATCATGTCCGTGATGCTATCCTTGCCCCCTCCCCCCTCCTTTTCTTCCCACTATTATCATTATAATTCTTTATTTTTTATTATTTCCATTTGTTTCTTTATTTACTTGCAATATGCTTCACCGGCCAGCAGCAGTATTCCCTGTACCCTTTTTCGGGGAGAAGAGCTGAGCATGCATGTATAGACAAATAAATCCCTTCTTCCTGACCAATATCCCTCATTTACCTTGCATTGTCACGGGTAGGATATATGATTTCCTGCATTCGATGAGCCAAGAGTCACTCTCGTATACTCGTCAAGGACGTCTTTACCGTTCTTCTCTCAATAGTACTATGTGTGCGTGCGTGCGTGCATGCATGCGTGTGTGTGTGTATGTATTGTATGCATATACGGGTCTAATAGAAGGCCCCCGGTTCACCTGCCCGGTGGTTGGCAGGAGCAGGAATGAAGGATATCAAGGGCAGAAAAGAAGAAGAAAAAGAGAGAGAAAACGTGAGACATACCAACCCTAAGGGACAGCTCGACTAGTCTTTCCTTTCCTAGGCAGTACTCGTATTTTCGTACATGTAGAGAGGGGTGTCAGTTCAGTGCTAAGTCAGATATTAAGAGGCTATCTTCTCAGTGAGGCTTGGTTGTCATGATCGTGACAGTATACATACATACATACTAAATATATACATATATATAATCTGCATACATACATATATATATATATACTCATTTCGAGACTATAAAGACTATACACTGTATCCTGGGTATTCAAATCCCTCCTCTCTCTCAATATCCATAACCATTAATACATACAAGGAGAAAAAAAAACCCTCACCCCCCGCGAAACCGGGTCCTAGATAGAAGACAGGGAAATCGGATAAAATCGAGCCCAATAAGAAATAAGAATAGAAACACCTAAGATCCAGGCATCCTCAGGATAGGGTAGAGTGAAGACCCTTCCCGCGGGTGACCGTGAGGCGGTGGGAGCGGCTGACTCCTGGGGCTTTTGGCATCGACTTCCATGGGCTCGGCCTCCCTCTCGGAGGCCCTCTCGGGGGCTCTCTCGGGCTTACCCTCGTCCTCCTGGTCGGCGACAAAGTCCCTCCGGTCGAGACGTCCACGGACGTACTCGCGTAGGCTCTCGATGACGCGCATGTTCTCCAGCCAGCGGTCGTACTGCTCCTCCCTCTCGCGGGCGGTGTCGCTCTCGACCGTGTCGTCCGACAGGGGGGGTGACACGGGCGGCAGGTGCGACGGCTCGGCCTTGGGGGTGATGGCGCCGGCGCCGCTGCCGACCGAGGGCCGCCTCTCCCTGTCCTCCGGCATGACGGACCTGGGCGGTGCCGGTGCGGGGGCTCGGGCCGCGCGCTGGAGCATGCCGCCCGAGTAGCGGCGCCGCTCGTTGCTCTCGAAGCTGGGGCCCAGGGTGGCCGTCGTGGACTGGCCGAAGCCCTGCGAGACGGCGGGCAGGCTAGTGGGGAGGCTGGGGTACATGACCGGGGCGGACGTTGAGTGGCGCGACTGGGGGGACATGGCCGACGAAGACGGGCTGGGCGAGTGGCCGGACGAGTACGACATGGCGCTGGACGGCGGGGTGACGGCGGGCGTGCCGGTCGACGACATGGCCGTGAGGGGCGAGGGCATGCCGGCGGCCGACATGGCGTGCTGGTGGTGCTGGTAGGCGTCCTGGGTGGGTACGGCGCCGCCGCCCATGGTGCCGGGAGACCGGCGCTGCGACATGGACGGTGACGGGCTGTTGCGGTAGCCGGCGCCGAAGCCGTCGGCGGCGCTGCCGATGTGGACGCCGGCCGTGGCGTGGCTGGCGTTCTCGTAGATGGTGTCCTGCATCTGCCCGAGCAGGTGGTCGATCTGCACCAGGTCCTTCTGCGTGCGCGCGTGGGGCGGCGTCGGGAGGTAGTACTGCTGCGTCAGGGGGTTCTGCGTGGGCGCCGGGCCGGCCGCGTGGGCCATGGCCGCCGCCGTGCCGCCGCCGCCGCCCATGTACTGCTGCTGCTCCTGGACCATGGGGGACGGGCCGGGGCCGGGCATGGAGAGGGTGCCGTGCAGGGGCATCAACGAGCGGCCGATCTGGCTGTACGACGAGGGGTCGATCTCGCGGCGCTTGGCGCTGCTGAAGAAGTCGTCGACCATGTCGAAGGCTCGCTTGCGCTGGTCGTAGCCGCCTCCGTTGTGTGCGGCCGGGGCGCCCTGGTAGCCGAGGTGCTCGTTGCGCTGGTTGTTGAGAGGTGGCTGGTTGAAGTAGAGGCCGTAGTTGGTCGACGGCTGGGGCGCGTAGTAGCCGCCGTGATGGGTGGGCGGGTGCTGGAACTGGTGGCGCATCTGGCTGTTGTGGTCGTAATAGCTGGGGGCTGTGTTGTGTGTCAGCACTGTGTTTCCTCCTCCTTCTTCTTCCTCTTTTCTTCCTCTCTTCTCTTCCTCTCTCCTCTTCTCTACTTCTTCTCTTCTTCCTTCTTGTTCTTCTTTTCCTGTTCCATCCTGCTCGCTAACATGTTGATTCTCAAAAGACTCACCCTTGTTCATGTGAGGTCTGTAGTTCATACCGCCCTGGTTGTGAGCCTCCTGGGAAGAACGCATAAGAACCGAGTCATCGGCGTGCGTCTGTTCATTCCGCGTTCTGGTCAGTCACGCCGTTGCCTCTCGAAGTGCGGTAAACATGGTGCATATGTATATACCTTGATGTGCTTCTTGAGATCCTGAGGACGCTTGAACGACTTGCCGCACATGTCGCACTTGTGAGGCTTGAGTGGCACATGGACACGAATGTGCGAGGTGATGTGGTCGCGCTTGACGGTGGTGGTACGGCACGAGTTCCACTGGCAGGTGAGATTCAGATTGTTTGTGCTCTTGCGACCAACATGACGTTCACAGATGTGGTCCTAGAATGGTGTTAATCTTCCTCTTCGTCCCTCTCCTTCTTCTTCGCATCTTCCCCAGTCCTCCTAAAAGGGGGGGGGGGGGGGTTAAGAGCGAACGAGGGTGAGGTGAGACATACATAAAGCAGCTCAGGCGTAGCAAACTTTTGACTGCACGAGTTCCATCGGCAGGTGAGGTTGTCATCAGCCGAGATGGGCATGGCGGCGATAGAGGCGGACGAGTCGGTACTGGATGGAGGAGGCGTGGTAGATTTGGAGTCGGCGGTGCTGCCGCTTGAAGCTTCCGAGGAGAGCTGGTGATCGGGAGTTGGGGGTGTCATGATGACGGTTGTTTACCGTCAAGTAGCAATGCTTGCGCTGTCGTGTGTGTGTGTGTGTACCTGTAAGGCCGTTTTACGCCGTTGGAGCCGATAGGGGAAGGGGAAAAGGAAGTAAAAAAATAAAAATAAAAAGGCTATGTGGTGGCGGGGTTATGAAAAAGTGACGATACTTACAACCCGAACAGGGTGGATGTGGCGAATGATATAAGAGTCCAACACACACCAAAAAAAAAAGAGGGAATGAAATACAGGGGAAATAAAAAGGGGATTATATCATGGATGAGAGAGAAGAGATAGAGAGGGAAGGAAAAGAACAAGGAGAAGAAGGAAAGGGAAGAGAGAGTGTAAAAGAGGTATATGACCCTCCTCTCGTTCACGTTGACACACTCAAGAGTCTGGGCACTCGAGAATGGGGCGAGCGGAATTCTTGGCGAGTCTTGGCATCGCTAGGACGGATGTACGAGGGAGTATACCGATACCTCTGATCTGCACCGTACTCACCACGTGAAGGAGGTACCTCTCTACGATTCGGTACCCCGGAGCTGGCGGGCGGAGCCAAGTTTGCCAAGAGGATGCCAAGGCTTAGCATCCTCTTGGCAAACTTGGCAGAGTGTACTACGACGGCAGGAGTGACCCTGGGCGGCCCTGCCATTGGACCTTTTGACTAAGCCTGCGCCTCCTCCATCCCACCCTCTCTTGTGGTGAGGGTCATGTGAGTCTGTGGAAATATTGGATGCGTTATTGTTATTGATTATTATTATTATCATCTCTGGTACACACACGTTATCCTCACGGTGATGATAGTGCACAGATTGCGGTAGGTAGAGTATTAAAGCGCATCATCACTGACTGTCTGTGTTGGATAAAGTGGGTGAGTGGAGTTTGGGGGGGGGGGTGTGAGGGTGAAGGAAGGAGGGATCAGAATAATACTACATGTACAGCTCAGTGTGTCTCTTTTCCCTTCATCTTCCTTTCTTTCGTTTCTTGCTTCTCCCCTCTTCTGTTACGTCGTGTTGCACTACGCACAGTCTCCGACAACGATGCGTGATCATGGATGTAATTGTGATTACGCCCTTAACCCGTACCGCTCGCAACAACCCCTTTCCTCAATCATGAACCGACCAAGAAAAGAAAAAAAAGGGGGGTGGGAGTGACACCTTTGTTGTCGGAATAACGAGTTATACTCTGCAGAGTGCACGGTGAGTACAAACCATCTATACCTTGAGCAAGACGACAATCCGATAGATTATCACGCCGTTGGAACACCCTGGAAAGTATCCTGCTCGTACCGTACTCGTAATGCTCGCGTCCACGGACGTCCCTCGCACTCCGAAGAGCAGATGCAGCACGTCAGACCTAATTCCAGAAGGTACTCCTAATATACAAGGAGAAGCGCCAAGACCGGCCAAGGTCAGTCAAGCTTTCCGCCCGCCAAGACCTTTTTTTCTTAATTTTATTTATTTAATTTTTTTCATCGTATTTCTGGGCATTTCACGGGCTCTAGCCTCTACCACACTCACCTACTGTACTATTAATACTCCGCCTTTTCTTCTTCTTTTAATTGTCGTCGTCGTGTTCCTGTATGACCTGGCTTGGCTTTACACAGAAAGATACGAATTCATTACAGAAAGGATCAAGGGGAACTTGTCTATCGGCTATCAGTACTGCTACTAATACTTACCCGTATATGTACAGATCATATGACTGATGGAAAACTATTGACAAATGAAAAAAAAAAAACAAGGCCCTGCTATTGCTATTACTACGGTGAGTAATACTTTTGCTTGTATCCGTATGTACGTTGCAGAACGACCCACTGATCAACTGACTAATCCATCCCAACAATGGGTGAACACCAAGGGAAAAAAAAAACATATGCACATCATCATTTCTTGTCCATCTCTTCTTGTCTTGGCCATCTCGATTATTTGTCCTTCGAGTGACGGATACAAGTACTCTTATGTATGGGCAGCAGAAGCCAAACACACAAATGATCTACTCCTTGGCACTGTAGACATGTTCAAAAGAATCGTCTTGGCAAGGCTTAATTCCTCCCGTTCTCTTCCCTCCCTCCCATTCTCTCCCTCTCTCCCTCTCTCTCTCCATTTTCCCCTCCCGTCCGCACCCGCGCGGGGGGGGGGACGCCTTTGATGTGACGTGCCCGTGCCCGGACTGCTTACCCGTGAAGTCTAGACCTCCGAGACCCAAGACTACCCACAACCCACTCACACCCACATCTCTCGAGACTATCCAAGTCGAAAATCAAGGCACACCTACCTCTGCCAAGAAAACTCGGTTTTTAGTCTGCATGAGGCCATTCTACGCGTACAGATTACACTTGCCTACTCTAACTCGCACCTTGGAGCATTTTAAGCATTTCAAGACCTCATCTACAAAAATTTGGCCCCCCCCCCGTCTCTCAGAAAACTCTAATTTATCAAACTACCTCCTACCTAGTCAAAACGCCCATCCGTGTGTGAGTGGCCGTCCACGCGTCCTCGTATGAGAACAGGATGCACTCGTATGAGAGTGATACGACTTGCAGACCAGAGACCAAGCAGATATTTACTACCTGCACTCCGTACCGTGTACACCATCGGTGTGATGGGGCCGTGGCAGAGGAGTAGAGAGGAAGAGACAGAAACAGCCACTCTCCGTATCACTACGAGTACAGGTACAAGCGGTAGAAGGGATGAAACCCTTGCAGGCATCTCTCATATGGTCTATGGATGGCCATACCGACATCTTACCCCGCCCTATCGTGGCGCAGCAAATGCATTCACGGCCTACTACATGTACGTAGTGGTAGAATAGTAGCACTGACCTACTACGAGTGACGAGTGAGTAGTCATCATCACCAACAATCGCACTGCACTGCACTGCATATGATAATTCTCTCTACTCGCACAACAAGAACGGGGGTATCATTGATCAATTCAGACGGAGCAAACAAGATGCAACGCCATGACTCGTCTCGGTAGAGTCACTATATATATGTAACCACCGTCTTCCTCGGGAAAAAAAAAAGGCATGTAAAAAAAAAAAAAAAGAGATAAGTTCCATAGCCTGTGTTGGCTTCTTCCTCCAGTATCTCATGCTTGTCCTCGACGCTTGTCCTCGACGCTTGTCCTCGACGCTTGTCCTCGATGCTCGTCCTCGACATGTCCAGCATCTCACGGTTTCTCAGGGCTGGCATTCTCCAAGATCTCATATGCCGGATGCCCGCCCATTCGTGTTGAAACTCCGTCCAATATGTGTTGTGTATCATCCTCCATCCATCCCATGCAATTAATTACCCACACGTTGTTATGACAAAAGGAAATAAAACCCACCCTAATGGCAAAGTTTCCTGTATATGTAAAAAAAAATAAAAAGAAGAATAGAAAGATGAGAACATGTAAACAGAACGCGAACAATGCTGATAAACCTAGAGTCCAGTTTCTAGGGAGAAGAATAAAAAAGTGTAGGATACTCTTTGCATCCAATAGTCCCAGCCATCAACCTGTATGCCAATGTGTCGGTTCTCCCACGCCTGCGGCGTACAAGTTCTTCCACAAGTTCTTTGACGAGTTGCTCAACAGGTCCTCGACAAGAGTTGCCCGGCAGTGAAGAACCGACATGACACAAGATATGAGAATATGCGATCCCACCCAAAACGCCGTCCGGTAAAGGGAAAAAAAAAAGTGTGAGGAGGGGGGAGGGAGGGGGGAAAAGAATGTTGCTGCTTTGCCGTCGTTGAGCCATGTGAGCTGGTGCCGCACAGTCGACGAGATTTCCAAGGCCTCTCGGCTGATGAGCTTCGTGTGGTCAAGGGTCCGTGGATGCTTGACAAGCTAGGGAGGCCTTGAAGGTTGGCGACAGCCGGTAAAGCGAAGAGGAAGATGAGAGCAGAGTCGTATAGAGCCCGTGCCGCCCGTGCCGTCGTAGGAGGTAGGAAAGACCCAGAACCGTCCTGAACCTCTTGATGATCAGGTCGACACGTGTGTTTCCAGTGGTCCAGCCATCACCGTACTCTGTCCCGAGGGGGATGATATGTGTGTAATGTGTGTCGTGCCATGGGGGATAGGAAGAAAGAAGAAGAGTGTAGTGGGGGGGGGGAATAAACGAGTATAAGAGTAAAATGAAATAGAATATGGGACCGCCACCAACGCCGCGCATGCAGAGAAAAGATGCAGAAGAAGAGAAAGAGACGGAAAATCGGGTATTATACAGAACCGAGACACATGAGAGCCTCGATGGCCTCGCGTTCCTGGGCATCAGAAGTGCCAGCGAGAGCGGCAAGATCGATGCTGCCGAGCTGGGGAGCGCCGCGAGCCACGCCAGAAAAGGATCGGGAGCCGGCGAATCGGGACATGCCCATCTGGCCGGCAGCAGCCGCGGCAGCAGCGTTGGTCGGGTAGGAGTCGGCGCGCAGGGCGGCGGCGCCCATGGCAGCCCAGTCCTCGTCGTCGGTGTTGTCTTCGGGATCGTCATTCATGACGTCGTCGTCCGGAGCCTCGGAGCAGGAGGCCTCGGCGGACCCATCCATCGACATGTTGTCGACGTCGTCATTGTCCGTCATCATGTGAACGTCACGTCCGTCGTGAGAGAAGTGGAACGAGTCACCGTCGGCAGGCGGGCTGGCGACGTGGACCCTGAGCCTGCCGAGGGCACCGGCCCGTCCTGCACCGTCACCGATGGGGATACCGGCCGGGCCCTGACCTCGGTCCTGGCTCTGACGCGACGCGGCATCGCTGGCGCGCGCGGCGCCACCCCGTCGGCGGGCATCCCATCGACCCCATCCGACCTTGTTGAACTCGACGTCGTCCTGCTCCATCCTGGCCGCCTCGCCGCCGCGGCCCTCGAGGGCGCTGACGACCAGCCGGCGAGCCTTGGTCGGGGGCACGGTGACGAAGCCCGGCACCGTCGTGGTCAGGTAGCCCATGATGTGGCGGATGGCCAGGGGACCGTGGCTCAGCAGTATATCCGGGAGGTAGTGCTTGGCCAGAAGGCCCGGGGTGATGCAGCCCGAGGCCTCGTCGGACGGCGACACGGACCGGTTGCGAGCGTCCTCGGACGCGTCGTGGAGGTCGAGGTCGGAGTCGACGGGCTCGAGCTGGGCCTTGCGCAGCTGGGCCTTGAGCCCGTGGGCGGGAAGTCCGGGAGAGATGGAGTTTGGGGGGGTCGGGAGGTCCAAGGGTCGCGCCACAGTCACGGAGGCGTCGCGGTGGTCCGCTACAACAGTCAAGTTGTCTCGGGTCGGGGACGTCTGGGGGATGTCGCGAGCAGCCGATGCCATGATGGCCATGATGCCGGTGTTGGCAGGTGAAAGAGTTGCTTTTACGACTTCTGTGTCCTGTCAGAGACCAAAAAGAAGAAAGAAGAAAAAAAAGAGTTGACAGTGTGGAGAAATATTGCAGATGTGAATTATATAGCAGAGATGTATTTGTCCTTCTTCATTGTCTGCATGAAAGGAAAGGGGAAAGGGTGATGACGTTGACGTTGCTGTGGTCGTTGTTGTTGTGGCGGTGGTGGTGGCAATGCATGACTGACTCACACACACAAACAAAACAGCGGACAGAGAGGTGCGTGCAACTTACATTTGGAGCGTAAAGGCGGACTTTGGCAGGACAATGTCGTTGTCTGACAAAGCACGGCGATGCAGACTGGCAAAAGCTGACGCGACTGTGACGTTTTGGATTCTCGAGAGGAATCGTGAGATTCGAAATAAATAAAAAGAGAAAAAGGGGAGGTGGGAGACTGTTATTTTGTTTTATGTTGCTTGAAGAAGGAGAGAAGAAGAGAGGGAGAGGAAGGAGGAGAGTGGGAAGAAATCGGCGATCCAAGTAATAATATGAGCCAGACAGCAACAAGCATCGATCTGTGACAGCGTTGTGCGCGTCTTTGTGTGTACATGTATTATGTTATGTGTGTGAGTGTGTGTGTGTGAGTGTGTGTGTGAGTGTGTCCGCT